GAAGTAATTACATTTTAAACGCGTGTAAACTGTTTCGCTGTAAAATGAACGTACAATTACTGTACTTGGGAAATTACAGAATGACTCAAAAGCAGTTTTCTCTTTCGCATGTGAAGCCTTTCCGAAACACATACAGGCTGAAGTTTATTTTAATAGTTATCATAATACGTGGCCTGGTGTGGTGAATTGTGAAATACAATACTCGTCATGGGTGTACATATGATCCTCGTTAACTTTAGGAGAATATTATTGTACGTGTAATTCCCTTTTTTCCCCATTCTAAAGTTGGACTATAATTACAATGCTCAATTTCTGGGTGTGCTTGTGTATGCCTCGGTCCAGCGACTTGGACGTGGGGTTTATGGATCACATAGAGACATGGTCATTATGGCGCTCTGAGATCAGTTATTTAAGTTTACCTTACAAATGTGTAATAAAGGACTCGATCACTGTGTCTGTCTCCGTTGTCCTTTATTCGGGTTCTTTACACTTGTCCCACACGGCTCTCTCTCAGAGACTCTCCGCTTGGCAGCCCGATGCTGCCGTCGCTCCCGTAGCCTCACTCCACTCTGATGCAGCTCCGCTGCTGATCTCCTCGTGCAGGCCTCCGGCCGCCCTCACTGCAGCCTCACCGCTGCTCCCCGTTCTTCCGTGCTCGGTCACCGCTGGCTGACGGTGCCGAGTCTTACTCTGTGTGTGTGGCGATCTCGCCACTCTCCAACCTCCGCCCTGCGTGGCCTCACTCTATCTCTGTCTCCAACTCTCCCCCTTCTCTTCCGGTATCTCTCCCTTAAGACCTCATCCTTCTCCCCCACGTGACCTAACTCCTCCCCCCGTGACGTCATATCCGCGAGGCCGTTTATGCCCGCATTACAAATGTAAATTATTATGTTTGTGCGGGACATCCTCCCGCAGGGCAATTAGCTGTCTCTAAGAGGCAGTGTAGTAAGTAGGATATGGTTAGATCCAGAATCGGAATATTCATACTGGAGGAATCCGATGAGCTATCAAGCTCTAGTTCACAGATGTCCAGTAGGGGTGGGTCACAACGTTACAACATCAACAAAATACAAAACACGATAGGAGTGCAATGTATAGGGAAGGTAAGCAAATCACTAAAATATACAAATAAAACCAAACTTTCTATTTTCTCAGGGAAATCCCACTGCGCTATTATCTTATTTTTCAGAAGCAACCTGGCCACAAATAATAGGTCAACGAAGTAGCGTAACATTTGGAAATGTATAGCAGATAAACAATGTAAATAATCGAAAGGCACTTTCTAAATGTGGAGTATTATTTTTTTCACTTCAATTTCCACTTGTGGGTCACTTCGAAGCACTACAGTTGTCTCCCACACTTCCTCAAAAAGGAAACTGACAAATATCCGAGGCAAGACCCTCATGGAGACCTCTGTCAGTCTCTTCTGGGCAAACACCCTCAACATGATGCCTACTGCATTGGCTAATGCTGTACGGCATCAAATGTATCAGACATCCCAGGCACAACTTCAAATTGAGTTCCTTTGTTGAAAAGTAATCACGACACTAGATTACAAGTCCTCTTATCTGCAACCCTAATAACCGTGTAATAAAGGACTCTCAGGCGATGTTGTTCTCCGTGTCCTTTATTGGGTTCTTGCTCGCACCCCGCGATGTCTCCGCTCGGACCCGCACCTTCTCCGCCTCGTGCCTCCGCACGTCGTCTGAGTCCTCCGCTCTCTCTCTCTGCAGCCACCCCGCTGCCCGTGTGCTCCGCACACTCCGCAGCCCCCTTGCTGCACCGTGTGACTCCGCACACCCAGCAGCCACTCTGCTGCTCCGTGTGCTCCCGCACACTCTGCAGACACCCCCGCTGCCCCACGAACACCGCTGGCCGACGGTGCTGTGACTCCTGCCTCGTGGCAATCGCGCCACTCCTCGCCAGCACTCAACGTGGCCTCTCCCTTCTCTATCCTGTCTCCACTCTCGATCCCTTTCCGGTTCTCCCCTTATATCCTCCCCCTCACGTGACCCTGACTCCTCCTCCTCACGTGACCCTGACTCTGTCCACACTCACGTGACCCTGTCCTTGCTCGCATTACAACCGTGAAAGCTGTAGGGTGCGGGAAAAACTCCTATTATCCACCTCTCACTTCTTCTTACAATAGGTGATTATCCAGGGATATTACCGGCACGATGCACTTCAGGTAAATACATAATTTACTCCTGTTTATCCGCACAATTTTCACATGTAAAAGGAGTCGCATTGAAAATTCACCAGATTCACAATTATTTCAACAGATTCACAAGTGCAGTAGATTCGTGGATTATATTGCGGAAAATATGATCTGCAAAGTCTCGCACATATTACTGTGGATGAATTATACTATTATTGTTGCTACAATGATTCTAGAAACAATTAATGTATTTGCCGAGCTATTTCAATGTAAAGCTACAGTACCGTACAGTACTTGTAATTACAAATCATTTAAGTGTTCATAAGGATCACTTTTCTTCCAGTTATTTGGTGATGCTGCATTGGCAGTGGTGAAGAAGCACAATTAATAAAACTCAGTGTATGAATCAATTGCGCTGTGGCCCTGAAAAAAAACACATTGTAGGTGACATTTTCGGCATTGGCCCTATTTTATAGTACATAGGATGGCCCATTAGCCGAAACGTTGCCATATATATTTTCCTTTTTAAGCCAGTGTGATTAACGAATGTGCATCTTTTATTAATTTTCTATCTAGTATATAACGGCGCAGTTGATTAACGCCTACGCTATTTCTACACCTTGCAAGAACAAAAACACTTTTAAAATTGCCCCACAAAATTCCTCCTCAAATTTTGCAAATATCAATGGCAAAATACAACGCAGTCCCAATACAATGCCATTTTATCCAGGATTGTATAGAATTGTTAGCAAATCCTGCCACTCAGTGGCGATATTTTGCAATTGCATATCACCCGACGTGGTTAAAACAATGGAGTTCGCCACAACTCATTCTACGGCCCCGCTTGCGATTTGTGGTTGCAAACAAGAACACCTGGAGAAAGAACCACACATACACCAGAGATGATGCTCACTCTTCCGCTGTGTTTGCCTGCTAAATCCACTGACTGCCAGAATACAGTGACGTGCGGTGAGGTCAATGGCTGGGGAGGCACTGGCTCGTGTCAGAGCCAGATTCACACACTGAGGGGGGCGTGGCCTCACTGAGGGGGGCGTGTTAGACACGTCCCCCTCGGTGAGGCAGATGTGATAGCTGCCTCCCCTGGTGCTTTTTCATTGCAGTTTCATGACGAGACCAGCGAGCCTAAATATATTTATACACATACGTGAAATAAGTTACCTGGAGTATGGAAGGCGAGGACATGAAATGAAGGGGTCTACAAACATTACATTGGTGACACACTGAGATAGTAACAGGCACGCGCTTATTGCCCGCGCTCCATCCAGTTACTGAGGGGTTGCGCAATCAGAGGGGAGGCTGAGCTCGTCGCTGCCTCACATCTCGTCTCTTCCTGTATTTGCAGCAGAGCTCCCCAATTTGGCGATTTTGACTATAAAAATTATTGGAATCGTATAGAAATTACTCCAATTTTCATTGGAGTATGACAGGTGAGGCTCTGCCTCCCCTGCCTCTCCTGACTGCACGTCCCTGCCAGAATACCCATGTACATCAAGCTTCAATCCTAACTCACTTGCATTCGTGTATGTTGAATTTATTTCACACCGTACATAGGCAACCGTGCTAATCGTAGGTGCGGGAGAAGGACAACAATCTAAACAAAAAAACTGTTCTAAGGAAATTCTTTTCAATTTTGATTTAAAAGTGCGTAGCTCCAGTGGCTTCCTAATATCTGAAGAAAGAGCATTCCAGACGGCCGCAGAAGCGCATCTGAAGGCGCGCCACGCAGTGACTGTCTAAAAGTCGTTGCTATGAGGATGACCGGCGATTGGCATGACGGTTTATGCTCCGAAGCACACTGATCTTATACCTAGCCAGGCGTTTTTCTAGTTAAGGCACGTTCTTAATTTGAATAAGATTTAATCTTCCAAGGGTGTGATTTAATAAAAATCCAAACAGTTTAATGGTCTGCAAGCATTGACTTCTCTTTTTTTAAAGCAGGTACATAACTCCTCTTGTTCGCGGGAGCTGACACACTCCTATTATCTATGGCCATATTCCTATTTTCCACATCTGTTTTTTTTCTCCAAAATGTTATGTGGAGTATAGTCACGGTTTAATTTCATGGATATAATCCGCAATATTGTACCCTCAGATTACTGTGGCTATGCATTTCCCTGTCAAGTGTGTTTAATCACAGTTCTATCCAAAATTGGGGTCACATCTGTGACATACATTTCCCTGATGTTAATTTAATGAGGGAGAAATGTGAATTAAATTCTTAGATATAGTGGTTTCCATATTAGCGGAGATACCTAACACCAATTTGAAGAAAACTGTGAATTATGTTCTGCCTTTTTAGTAATGCCCGTAGGCTGACATCCATTTGTATCCATTTCATGTGTGGACGTATGCATATATGTACTGCCTATCTCTACGCTACCCTTTGGTGGGCACTTCAGCAATTAATTATTGCTGTGGTTGTTTCCACCTGATGACGGGCACTTGTGTTGCGCCCGAAACGTCGTGATTTAATTTATTTTGTACCTACGTGACTTTACCGAAAGAACCAAAGAGTATGGATTCCTGCAGTCACGAAAATTTAAAATCTATCTCAACGCTTTCATAGTACACACTGGTTTGTCGACTTCCATCCACACACCATACAGTGGTCACAGATAACAGAATGGCAGCCATATGAAAGAACACGCCTGCAAAGAATATTTCTAGGAGATGGAGTGATGAATTCGGCTCATGTGCAGGAGCCGGATGGTTTGGTGCATCGCAAGATCGTGTGATGTGGTGATGACTTGGCAAGATCTTCATCCAGCAGTGACTAGATCATGGCTGATGATGATGGTGATACGTTCAGAGCCACACAGTCTTTATAGGCATGCATTCTTTATTTATACAGAGTTATATTCAAATACGTACATGCTCATTGCTGTGCTCTCAAATAATTACAATGCGATTCTCATGACCTGATTGGTAACACAAATCAATGAATTACATCCTCAAAAAAGGTAACTCCATGGCTTATTTAAGTTACTTTGAAGGTTATTTATACCGCTTGCATTCTCAAGCCCGACCTTTCATTCTCCATTCTGTGGTCATCTCTTCGAATCACTTTTCTGTAAAGAAAAAAAAATGGCATTACATATTTTTCGAACTTGGGGTAAAAAAATAAACTAAACTAAACGTTTATGTATTTTTGAGTGAACGAACATCTCCACTGTGTCAACTGGCCAGACAATATCACACACTTCAGTGCCACCATTACACTGTTTACATCACTAGAAACGTGGGGACTTGTGCCAGGGACACTCAATTCACATTGAGAAGGAACTCGTTCATATTGTGGTCGGAGGTCAACACATCATTATCTCTCCATGTTTAATAAAAAACAAAAGTACCACTTTGTGAGAAGTGGTACTTTTGTTGTGGAGGGAATTGCACATGTCCTCACCATTCAGGATTTATACAACAGGTTCAGAGATGATTACAGCCACATGCTCATTTTAGAGCAGCGGTCGGGAACCTATGCCTCGCGAGCCATATATGGCTCTTCCAGTGACGGCATATGGCTCCCAGACAATTTTGAGTTGAAAAAATAATTTAAAAAAAATAAAAAATAAAAAATCAGTTTGGAACTGATTTTAAAATACGTGTGATATTACTTAATAAAACTGTGTCATTTTAAAGTAAACAGAAATTAGTTTTGAAGATAAATTTCATGGGTCACGCCTGCATGAAGCTCAACCTCACCACGTATGAACCAGACTACAAGGCCATCAGCAAAACCATGCAGTACCAGAAGTCGCATTAAAAGTAAGACATGTTTAATTTATTATACGTTAAAAATACTATATGGCTCTCAATAGAATATATTTAGAAATATTTGGCTTTTATGGCTCTCCCAGTCAAAAAGGTTCCCGACCCCTGGGTTAGAGGAACGCGTTGACTCCGTTATAAATGAGTACTTGAGTCCCAGGAAAGAAACTAAAGATCGATGGATTTACATCATTTGGGTTGAACTATCGAGAGGTACTTCTTACTGCTTCTCAGGAAGAGAGGCAGGACCAGGCCCACTCTAAGCTGCCAATAGTGTGCGGCGCACTCAACGTCCGCTGGAAGGAGCACCTCAATCCTGAAGAAATCTATGAAGGCAGCTTGCAGACTGAACGTCTCTATAACAAGAGGCTTATGTAGACCGGAGACTACCGGTGATGTCGTGGTAAGCGAGAAAGATGCGACTACAAACTAAACTATTTTTTATTTTACCAGGTAAGGCCCACTGAGCTGTATAACTCGTTTTCAGAAGTGACCTGGACACAAATGATAGCTCAACAAAACATGTGGGAATTTAAACGCATGTTTATAAATCTGGAGCAAAAAACCGAGGGACCCAGAGAAAAATCCACGTGACTACGGGGAAAACATGCAAACTCCAAATATACAGCAGGCGTCAAAATCGGGATCTAACTAACGACCTCCTGTATACCAAGCGAGGTAGTTAACATCTCGCCAGCGTGGTGCCCCAACAGGAGGAGGCCACAACACAGCAGATGAAACAAGGCAATAGCAGCTCATCTTTACACAGATGCTGCAGCATGCCAATTGTGTGACTGATTGGAGTCCAGTATTATTTGCATATGATTTAACGTGGAATTTGTTGTAGCCGATATTATGTTTCATAGTTTATTTGTTGGGTTAGGCCATGTAATGATCTGATCATAGTTGTGTTAAGACTCTCCACTACCTGAAAAGGCCACACATATTAGATAATAATCAGTTGATACTATTCCTATTTAATAACTAAATTTGACTGAGAATTACTCTTCAATTTACTGGCGAGCCGAGACAAAAACGGGCGCGTTGGACGGTCGTGACACGTGACAATGTCATTTGTTTGGCTGTGTCAGGTGGTGGAGGGCCTTAACAACGCAAATTTGGTCAGATAATTTCATGGCCTAACACAAAGTATATCAACTATCAATCGTGGCCATGCAACACTTACCTATCAAGTCCACATTCAGCAGCTCCTTGAACATTTCATTGAGGATGGCCCCATACTTGCGATATTCGTCAAAGCTCATGGCGATGCCCACCTCCAGAGGAGCCAAGATCTGCAACAACACGCGCAGGAAATGTTTACGTGAAGGTGAACCCAACACCATCTGCAACATTCCGTATGTACGTTGAACTTCTTTCGCACCGTACGTAGCCAAACGTGCTAACAGGAGGTGCGGGGGAAGGACAACAAACTAAACACAAAAAAGCAGTTCTTAAAAAAATAATTATCATGACGAACTGCCTGTTGTCTATACCAGACGAGACGACTGCGTCAACGAAATTATAGGATTGAGCTTAACACACAAGCTGGACCTAACCATGACATTAACAAAGAACTGCAGTATAGGAAATAAAACTGTTTAATTTTTAAAATGCATAATCCGAATTCAACTCCGTAATATAACCTCAGTTACAGTATATTAATCATATTCAGGAACATGGTATGTAATATTTTAACTAGTTTTCTAATATTACTATGCTATAGTACTAACATTTCAATCATTCACTACCATGATTACGTGCAATCGTAATTCCATGTAGAATTACAACAGCAGTACGATATATAGCTTAACCTTCATGTCTCGTGGTATTAGAAGCATTCCTCGTGATGCCAATCTCCAGAATGCAATCAATAATGTTCAATTCTAAGTTAGAGCATGAACACAATATTCTACTGGATTTGTATTACATTTTACGATGGAAGAAAGATATTACTCTAAATAAAATGCAAAATTGAGCACCCTTTAAAATACACAGTGTTCCCTAAAGATATCACCTATCACTACATAATTACAATTAGAGCCAGCCAGAAAAAAAAACTCTACGCACAAATTTGGTGATGTGTACATTCATCATGCGGGCTTAATCCTTTTAAACTGAACAGTGTCATGGCGTTGGTGACAGACATAATATCGATTTGTGAGTGCCAGATGTTTGTCGGCATCTCGGGAGAGATCGTTTCAAACGCTCATGTTATGTGCTGTTGAAGATCGCTCAAGAAAAAAATATATATATTTTAAATATTTTGCAAACACTTTATCTGGCGAATCACATGCAACACACAGTGCTGGAGTGCCAATAACGAATACCACCTGCCATAATTACCGCCGAATGTGTGGAGTTATATTTTTTCTTGCCACGATTAAAAAAAAGGTTTGCGACAAGCGATGGGGCACATATTGCATTGTGGACAAGTGGGTAGGTTCACTGTTATGAGCCAAAAATAAGAATAGGGTTTACCCTCTCTGAAAATAAAAGGTGTTAAGATGTTCAAACACCAAAATGGAAACATTTTGCAAGGCATCAAGCCTGCATTAACCACACGCTATTGTGGCAAAACATGCAAACGCACATGCTCTGATCATATAATAGAAAAGGCATTGTCTTTGAAACTGATTGACCTACACCAGAGACAGCCTTCTTTATCGCCTTATCTCACCACCAGTGTTAGACCAGAGGACGCCAAAAGGCGAACAGCACAAAGGCAACGCAAGTATCAGTGAACACTTATAGCTCGGGTCGAGCAGTTATATCTATAGGACATGTTTTGGCAGTATCAAAAATGATGAAGATAATGTGTTTTCATACCTGTCAACCCCTTATCAGTGCCTGTCTTATTACAGACCAATTCAGACCTTATTGGTCACCCCGTGCCCCTTACAAAGTCCAATCGCAAGAGAGAAACACGAACAAATAGATGCAAAAAAATTACCCGTATTGAAACGGCTGTACGTCGTATGGACCTGAAAACTAAATTTCCCTGTACAAGAATACGGGTAAACCGCATGGGTTGACAGGTATGGGATTTTCACTATACATCAGTGTTCTTCATTACAAGGCCCGCCGGTCACTGGTGGCCTCTGGTGGCCTTTAATGCGCTTCTCCAACAATAAACAAAATGTGGAAAACACCACCCCATCACCATCATCATCGTTGTGCTGCTGTCACAAACCCAACAATGGTTTCAATTGTGTGGTGGCCCTCACACTGATGATGTCTTATCGGCGAAAGTGTAACCCCCCCCCTCTGAAAATATGTGAATAACTCTGCTATTACAGTATGTAGTGAAATAGAAAACGGTGGTGAGAGAGAGAGACAAGAGTGGGCACCCGGTTGTTATAGAGCGGGACGATTTTACTTTGATTTGCTCCGTGTCGTCGTCAGTGTAGCGCTCCGCTCCCTCCGACCGGCGCTGAACGACTTCTGTGGGCGCCTTCTTGTCTTCCTGGATTTCATTCAAATGGCCAAATTCATGCACAAAAAAACCAAAGATCCCCCCCTGGTATAGCCTCTGAACAGACTGTTGGGGTAAGCGCTGTTGATGGCCGGCACGGCACACGAGGGGGTGGGTGGCCACCACATACCTGTCAACCCCTCATCGGTGCCTTACCTTATTACAGACCAATTCAGACCTTATTGGTCACCCCGTGGCCTTATAAATCTCAACGTCCATCCTACAAAGTCCCATCATAAGGGAAAAACACAAATATAATTTGTTTTCGTTTGCGCGTATTGAAACGGTTGTACGCCGTATGGACCTGAAAACTCAATTTGCCTGTACAAGAATACGGGTAAACCATATGAGTTGACAGGTATTCCACCTTTAGTGTATCAAAAACCCTCCACCACCCTTCACAGCCAATTAATAAGCAAGTGTCAGGTGAATCAAACGTGCCAAATGTATTACAGCATTCAGCAGCGCTGCGCGACCCCACAACATTTAACGGCGTTTCGCCCGAAGTTGCAATCCAGCAACGTCAATTGTTTACAGGAGCTCCGGTCCCGAGGGAAATCGCCTCCTGATCCCGGGTCCTTAAGTAGAAGTCGTGAGGTCATCGGCACAGTCAAGCACGTGGATATACCTACTATAATCACCCAGGAATATCTGTCCTTAACGCTCGTGACTTCACTCCACATCGACCAACCCCCCTTCATTAATATTCATGAGCAGGTAACGTCCTCCAAATGGACCCCCCCCCCCCCCCCATCCATAATAATTAGCGGCTGACTTCACTCCACATGGGGGCTGAGGCGCCTCCTCCCCCCTCCTCGGCGTCAACTCACAACCCTCACTACAAAGGCAGAACCCTCACGTCACGTGATCTCCGTAACGCTGTTGAGACATCGAAGTAAAAAGGACGTCATGATGAACAAGGGATTATAACCTTCAAATGAAATAGGTCGGTGTCACCGCGCCCTTACAAATAGCACACGAATTGATGCAATTAATATCACGTCGCGGTCTGCTTTTCGCTTGTAAGTTTCAGATTTACTGAAATACACAAGGCCTTGGACGGGCAAAAGGCTAGTGATTTAACAATTACAGTTCAGAATCGGAATCTTTATTTACAATGGAGAAATCCGATAAGCGATACAGCTCTTTCACAAATGTCCAGTCGGGGAACGGGTCAGAACGTTACAATGACAAAACAATATTTTTTAAAACACGATAGGAGTTCAAAGTTTAGGAAAGGTAAACAAAGCACAAAAAAATAAACTCTTTTTTTTACTGAGCGCTCAGCTTCTTTTTCAGAACCGACCTGGCTATCACAAATGATAGCTCAACGAAGTGGGCTTATCATGTGGAAATGTATAGCAGGGAACTCATCTAAATAATCTAAACGCATGTTGATTGTTAGTTGATGTGTAGTGATTGGCAGATAAGGTTAGTGTGATAAGATGAATCCATTTAGCGATTGGGGACAATAGGCTATCCTTAATTATATTAAGGTGTATTGTGTTTTAATAAAGTTGGACTTAAACGTTTGGTTCATTAACGGTGTGGGGAATTAGCACTTTCAGGAATGGATAAACATATATTATTGGTGTTTTAATTTGTTATATTATCATAATAAATAATTCACTATGTAACACAATTTTTGTCCCTGGGTACTAAGTGTTATTTTTTAATTGCTTATGCCTCAAAAGTACAGAAAATGGCTATTATTCCCCACAAACTTTGCTTTTTGTGACCAGGACTTTATGTGAGCGAAAGACACAAATGCACACGTTTTCTCAATGAAAATAGGTACATTTCAAAATATCAATGTCCTGGTCACAAAAGCAAAATTGGTGGGGAATAATATCCATTTTCTGTACTTTTGAGGTATAAGCAATTAGGAAATAACACTTACTACCCAGAAACAAACATTGCTTTTGTTCAGCAGCCACACGAAAGAAGAAGCTGCTGTCATTTCCACATAGCGATGGAGGGCCCAAAGGAGGGCTGAAAAAACACGAGGTCCTAATGCCTCTCCGTGGCTTCATCCGGCCCTGATCCGAAGGCAACAAAACGCGATTTACATTCTTAAAGTCGTTGGGCAGGAAGCTGACGCCACCCTGCGCCAGTTGGCACGCACAGAGCAGCACGGCGCTCAACAGCAGCACGCTGGCGACGCCTCGAGTCGGGAACATGGCAGTGGACGAGCACGGCCTGCCCAGGGCACACACAGCAACGGCCCCGGGTTATTCACGCGCAGCAGCTGCGACGGTGAAGATACAATTCTAGATTTGAAGCTTTCGTGACTGCAAGGATTCATATTCTTAGGTTTTTTCGGTAAAGTCACGTAGGTAAAAAATTTAAATTAATAAAAGTAAAATAAAATAAAAATCACGACGTTTCGGAGGCAACACAAGCTTCCGTCTTCAGGTGGAACCGTCACAGCACGATAGCTGTATCAAGTGATACAACTATCGTGCTGTGATACAGCTATCGTGCTGTGACGGTTCCACCTGAAGACGGAAGTTTGTGTTGCCTCCGAAACGTCGTGATTTTTATTTTATTTTTATTTTACTTTTATTAATTTGAAATTTTTACCTACGTGACTTTACCGATAAAACCTAAGAAGGTGAAGATACAGGTCCTCACCACCTTTACCTGTTTAACTTATGTCACTGCTGGGCATAAGGGCACTCGGCTAGAGGATATGCAGTTAGCCTCCTGTACAATGATGGACAGATGCAGAAGTTCAACAAACATACATGTCCTGGCAGAGGTGAGAGTAACCACACATTCGGCCAAACGACTACTAAGTGTCGTGTGACCGTTTCAAGACACGAGCGCCATTATTTCGACTACCGTGCTAGGAAATCGAACCGGCCACCTCTGGATTTATAAGTCCAGTGTGCGACCCATTATACTGCGACAGACATTCCTATATATTTAACATGCAGCATTAAATTGTACTAAACTTATTTTCAAAATCAAGACTCGTATGGGAAGGTTACAAGTCTTAATTGAAATAAAATCCACAGATTGAATTTAACTCATGCTATAAACTATGATGGCGCTTTGGCAGGGTTATACATTTGAAATTCGACGCATAGTCGAGTTTATAACTTCAAGGAATCAAACAACTTGTTTTGAGTAATAAGAAACTGGGTGGCCCAAAACAATACGGCTTGAAAATCAAATCGTTTGACACTTAGGGTCAGATCAGCATTCAGTTCTAAACTGATTTATATATCGTGACAAATACTTGAACATACATTCCCCATCATCAGTTCATCAATTCGCATCCCATGGAGTTTGACACAAAAGCCGATAGGAAACAATTGAACCAGTTAGTTACGAGTTTCCCAGTAAACATGAAACTTTGGCCCAATGTTGGTCCAATGATTCCAACTAAATCCCAACGTTGGTTCAACGTTGCATGTTTACTGGGTTTAACATATGAAACATGACTATCCACAAATTATTCGTTTCAAGTGTTTAAAGTTTAGCACATATAGTATTCGTACTCACAGTGGTAATGGCGATGATGCTGTTGAAGCTCAACAAATCTTGCCGTTTCTCTGCGTAGTTCTGTGCATGGGTTATGCCCGGGTATATATAGAGCAACATCAGTGTTTACCTTTAAAAGGACGGCTCATTGAGCAATATTAGTTCAGACTTGAGACGGCATTTAATGGCACCATCATCACTAGCATGCCTGCATTGTATAGCTACACAAGTATTTTGACAGATTACATGCAGTTATTCTGTGCCAATGTGAACAATTGGCATCTGAAAGCCTTCAATGCTCAAGGCTATTTGCTTTTGTATCATGATGGCAATATGGCCCAATGGCGGTACAGTATTACTGTTCTTATAAAGCATATCAAGTATTCAAAATTGCAACCTTTGAAAGCTTTGATCAATTTATGTTTCATTATACATTCCGTTTCATCCTAAGCCAACGTCTTTCTGTCTATCACTATGGTATTCATAATCACTCTGGATTTTCTTCCTCTGGTAGAGAAGAAAATGACATTGGTTGGTATCATTAGTTTATTTTTTTATAAATACCAACATTTTTACATTTCATATAACAGTTATGCTGCTGCGTTGGCGGTGATGCACATTCGCAATTAATACAAACCCAACACAGTCGATAACACTGTGGCCTCAAAAGAAACAAAATCAATGTCTTTTTTATGTGCAGATTACACAGTGGCTGAGTTCACAGGAAATCATGCAATTAGGAACGTTCCCAAAAACAGTGAAAACGAAATTGAATCGTCAATCTTTTAAGTAGCGTGTCTCATTCATGGCCAAGCCGCCAAGCACCGTGATCCACGGGCTTCGTGAGCTGCCAGAAAGCTATAACCAATAAGTAATATTAAAACATATTTTTTTAAAAACACGCTTTAATGAAATGTACCGTACTAGTAATGGCAGAACTCCACGACTCCAGGAAGTGGCCCCGAGGCTTGCCATAACGTAAGGGGCCTTGGTGATTTACAGCCAATGTCAGTTGAGCGTGGACAATTAGACCCAAGCCGAAACATAACTTATACAAAAGATGGTTGAAAAATACTTTTTTTAGTTTTTATGATAGAATATAGTATTGTCATCAGTTCAACATACATGTAAGTATACCAAGTTTGCAGTCGATACCGCATTGGGAAGTGGGTTAAAAATGAGTTACAAGATTTGAGGATATGACAACAACAACAGAGAGAGTTAATAGAAAGCGTGTAAAAAAGATTGTTAAAACATATATATTTTTATTTTTTATGATAGAATATGGTATTGTCATCAGTATGACATAAGTATACCAAGTTTGCAGTCGATACCGCATTGGGAAAGGGGTTAAAATTGAGTTACAAGATTTGAGAATACGACAACAACAACAGAGAGAGTTAATAGAAAGCGTGTCAAAAAAGATTGTTAAAATTTTGTTTTTTTATGATAGAATATGGTATTGTCATCAGTATGACATAAGTATACCAAGTTTGCAGTCGATACCGCATTGGGAAGTGGGTTAAAATTGAGTTATAAGATTTGAGGATACGACAACAACAGACAGAGTGAGTTAAATAAAAGCGTGTAATAATAAAAAATGACTCGGCTCATAATCCTGTAATGCACGATTGAGATACAGTACTTGAGCAATCTATTGCTACGACGTGTTTTTTTCCCATGGATTAATTGTTAGTCCGAGACTTTGATTTGCCATCATCCATAACGAAATTTGTCGTCTGCTTGTGTTAAGTGTGGGTTTTTTTCTGATTTGTCTTGAGATCAACGAAAACATTTTCTGATCTACCTGTAGATTGCAATCCACGTATTGGCCACCGGAGATGTAGAATTTGAAGTTGTTTTACCATGTCCACCATTCCAACCAAATTTAGTTTCACACACTCAATAATTGTAAATCATAAATTTGAAAGCTGTATTTTTAATGAATTAATAATGACAGCACTGTAACTACATTATAGTATTTGCTCTAAATTATGGTATATATATAAATAATTCCTTCCTCTTATTCACAACTCTATAGCCTGTATATTCTGTTATCCACGGAAGCTATAGGCTCTGGCAAAACTCCTATTGTCGATTTGTCTTCGTGAATAAGAGAAGACCATCGGCAAAGTTTTATTAATTTCCCCATAAATAAGTGGCGTAAATTCACCGATAACCCCTCCGACAATAGGACCCGTGATATTAGTCCCACACGTTACCCTGGATACGAGGAGTTATCATGTACAGTTTTTTTGATAGTTAATATCACATTCATTATATATAAATGCTTGCTTTTTTTTGCACATTTCTTTAAATTAGTTTGCTTATTTGCATAGTGCAGACGGTTAACGAGTTAGGCTAAATTGCAAGGAGCGATATAATATTATAAAGTCAGGCATTGGATAAGGTGATACTTGTAAAGTACATTTAAAACCTTACAGATATCACTGTATTTCTGTTCTGTTTTACCTTGCGTTTTGTCATGTTTAACATCAACATGTTTATAATGCAATCTGAAAATTCTAGCCGATGCAAACGAATTAACATGCTTGTTTCTGAGGACAGTGTCTCTGTGTTGGTGTCGTGTTAACACTGAGACCCTGGCACTAAGACACTGGTACTGAACCCCAAGGTAGCTGGCTCAAGTCAACATGGAGGCTAATTTGGGGATACAAAACCACCTCAAGGGAAACATTTAACATCAGGATAGTGACGCTAGTCACGTATTCCATTGTGTAAGCATATTTATTTCACTGTTTGGCCCGACTGTAACATTCCTAAGACATAGGAATGAACCATATGTGTTAAGGAGGGAGTGAAATCTAACGTATTTGATTTAAAACAACTCAATAGTGAATCGAACCGTCTGAAAATAAACACAAATTTCTGAAATAAGAGGGATAGGACAAAAAAGAACATAATAATTTTATGCGCACAAATATTGAAGAATATGTGAAAAGTCTATATTGTGTATGTTTCATTGAGTAGTATTTAAAATATCGCCGCCTCTCAAAAGAACAAAAATCATTTACAGCCTAACACTTGGGTCTTAAATCCCCGATGCTTTTAAACACTTTACAACAATCAGTGAGCAGGTGTATGAACACAGCGATCGATGCTAAGCAATGGTTCGAGCGTGTTGGGAGACAAACACAAGTGAAGGCACAAAGACAGACACCTGTCAAGCCATCTGCGCCCTGCTCCGTCAGAGTAAATAACAAGGCACGAGATCCTCGTTTTGCCATGGAACCAGACGCAATTACTGAGTTTCTTATCTTTGTTCAACAGAGCAACAGCATCCTGCAGTCCAACGTTGATATTAAGCTAAGTGGAAATCTCCTCCATTCTTTGCCCTTTAAGTGATTTTTCAAAAGCAACTTTAATTACCCTCGTAGCTTTTGGGCACAACGTAATAAAAAAGAGAAGTTCAAAAGCATGAATTTTTTTATTGCCATTATATATGTTCACATTTACGGTACTGATCTGGTGCAGCATGAAACAATTGAGCAAATAATATGTCCATCTTTAAACTACAGTGAAACGTAAACATATGACAAACTGCATGCGAACGTTTCACATTATCCTCATTGAATTATAATGCAACTTAAACAATGTCAAGGTTCACACCAGGCTACCAAGGCTGGCTGAGGCCATTATGTACGTGTGTTGAACTTATTTCGCACCGGACGTAGCCAACCGTGCCAATCGGAGGTGCGGGGGAAGGACAATGAACCAAACATAGGAAGCAGTTCTAAAGAAATTAGTATTTAATCTAGATTTAAAAGTGCATAGCTCCAGTGGCTTCCTAATATCGGAAGTGTGGCACATTAGGAATGGACCACTCTTTTAATTGTTTCCTCGTGCAGCAAGGGAGTAAAGTGTGGTTTTGTGAAAGTCCTGATGTGCTGTGCAGTACATCAATGCACGTGTGTACACCAGCATGTGATGACTGAGTTGGTCCTGTGGGTGGCTGACAGGGTTAGTGATTAATCGGACTTGTACACCAGTCACGTGGTTAATGGCGACTCGGTTGAGGATTGCTGTGTGACACACGTGTGCTTTTGCATTTTACAGATTTACCACAATTAATGAGTATTGCCCTCGATTTGGAGCACCTGCCCACGTCGTTCATTTCGAGGGTGCAACAGAAGGAACAGTTTCCCAGACGGTCACAGAAGCGCATCTGAAAGTGCGCGATGCAGGAAGAACATATTCCTGAATGAAGGAGAGGTTATTTGGAAGTTCATCTTTTTCGTGTGACCCCTTGCATGTTATGGTTGGCAGAGAATTTAGAGTCTGGAACGCTCTGCCAGAAGACCTTTGATCACATCTCATCTCACGAAATGTAAAAACAAAACATTTTAAAACACCGTTGTGTCGTGCAGCCTTTGGGACTCTTAGACTGAAAATGACCGTCGCATCCGGAATCGCCACATGCGTCATGACATCTCCGAAATATGGCGCTGTACAAATGTAACGGTGTTATTGGGCGTCTCTGGGGAGTTCCCACATCTGTCCCATAGGGGGCAGTCAACGGGTTGAGCCAGTACCACGGAAGTCGGGCTCAAGGGGCAAACAGTCAACTGGCAGAACGGATCCTGGAGCGAATGGGCCAACCCCCAGGTAGGGGGCTGTGGGGGGATGATGTCACCCTTCCAGAACCTGATGGAAGGTTCTGGAAGGGAGGCGGGGCTAGGGCGGAGCAAGCCTGGGAGCAGGATAAAAGGCCGGACCCCAAGAGGGTCCGGGCAGTGCTGCCAGCGAAGACTAAAGAACCAGTGGAAGACAGAAGGCCAGCTAGCCAGGACCCTGGGACTCATCTGACCCGCTGTCCTTATTAGGGCCGGGCAGAGTGAGCCAGTGGTACGACCCTGGAAGCCTTGAAGCCTGACGTCCTTATCAGGGCTGGGTTCGAGTGGCCAGTGGTTGAGACCTGCGCCTTGGCTGGGCCAGGTCAAGCTAGCCTCCCCTAGGGCCGTGTAGCCGGAGGACCCCGACAGGAATAGGGCGAGTACAAGAGGGGCTATACCCTTCCAGGCAGCGGGTACAGGGACCGTTATCCCTGTGTAGCTAAGGACTGTGTTGTGTGATGTTAAGTGTAATAAATATTGCCTCCAATCAACTGTCTACCCTGTCTTAAAGAACTCACTACACAAATACATGTGCTTATTATAATGTGCACATTTAGCCACTATGCACTTTTAAATCTAGATTGAAAAGTAATTTCTTTAGAACTTATTTTTTGTCTTTAGTTTGTTGTCCTGCACCTCCGATTAGTGCGGTTGGTGACGTACGGTGCGAAACACGTTCGACATCCATACACAATGTTGTATTATCCCCTACATATTCAGCCCATGTATTGCTGGATTACATTTGAGATAGATCTTCTCCACGTGGTCAATGATCTTGTCTTGTCCTGTAAGCATGTCGAAAGGTTCTTTTGTAACCTTGTAAAGAGTTACACTTACAGTTGCTAGAACACGCCTAAAAGTCTAACACATACAGCACAATGAATGTTCTCATGAACTTGAATTGACGTGTCTTGAAATTGAGTCAAGTTATAAGAACTTGGGAAAAGGGACGACTATTGGAGTGACGTCGCAGAAAGTGAAGGGTTTCAAGCTGCACCACCACCGGTGGTTGAACACAGTACGGATGAGACCAAACAGTCTGGCAGTCTGGTAGACTGACGCCTCATCACGGATAGAGCAATCAACGAGTGAAAGTCACAGGGATAGGTGACTGCTTGACAGGGCAAATACTCGTAGGAAGGCTGTTCCATTAGGGGCCGTCCATAAATGACGTCACGCGATTTTGGACGATTTGTGACCCCCCCCTCCCCTCGTCACACGGCGGCACAAAAAGTCAGACCCCTCCTCAAATATGACGTCACATAGCTCCGCCCCCCCCAAAAATTAAACATGCTTCAAATCGCTTTAAACTATTGTCATTGTAATGCGTATTTAATGTGGCGCTGTACTCTGATGTTGTAGGAGAAAACATGTATTAAAAAGTCTATTTAATGAAGTAGAACGTGTTGTCGATATTTATTTAAAGTTGCGCATTTTCATGTGACGTCACATTTCTCACCCCCCCCCCCACCTCGTCACACATCGTCACAAATGTCTGACCCCCCCAGGTGCGTGACGTCATTTATGGACGGCCCCTTAAGATGATGCAGAAGCCATGCAGAGCTGTCGTGAACCCTGAATCCACCAGCTGGAGAGGCTGTAGCACCCGAGGCCTAAAAGTATCGTTGGTTGCTACCAGGGAAAGGGCTGATATGGGAACAGAAGTCCCGAGTACGCCGCACAACGATATCCAGCGACGGTGTCACGTGACTGTTGGGGAATATTGGAGAACATCGATGCACCCATAGGCGGAGTTTGACTTCTATATTTGAGGCGGGTGGGGTGGGGGTGTTCGCTTTGTCCCTCACATTATGAATCGCGTGCGCATATAATCAATTAATTAATTTGTAATCATTATTGTAAACTACTGAAAATAAATCAATAAGCGGCAGCCATGGCATTACCAACGGGTCCAACGGGCTCTTTGAGGGGCCTGGGCACCCGCCAACTCCACCCATGGATGCACCGCAACTAATGAGCAATTGTAACAAGGTTGGGGGGTTCTCTAAGACCACCACCTGACACCCCGTGCCACATACGCACAGATGCCGAGGGCTCTTTACACGTTTTCGTGCGCGTTTCCTCTTTTTAACTTATGGATGCCTGGCCCGCATAGTGGTGTATGCTATGGGGATTTCTCGTAATTTACAGATGTGATTGATTGTTGGCATTTGCCTAGGTTAAGAGCCCCATAGTGTGGAAGTGGGGACTCCACGTGCACTTCGTCAAGAAATGTCGACGGTATTTGCATCACGCATGAACGCCAATTGCGTTTTATATGTTTTTGTTTGGCTTGAAACCAATGAGGTTCCTGTTGCCAAATGCAAACATTTCCTGGCCATGCCATTTGTCTCCCTGCCATTTAATTTAAATTTCCTTCCTGACATCATGTTTCTGTTCCCCCCCCCCCACCGCATCGCTTGGCCTAACCCCCACTTTGTCTGGCTTCTCTGCATTGTTCCTTCACCATCTCTGTCCTGGGGCTTTGTCTGCAACTGGCGCCGTCCTAGAACCTCGTTGTTGCTGCCCTGGCTGCCTCTGAGACTCGTTGATAAAGGCTCTTGGCACCCATTCATTAGCCCTGGAACTCAGGAAGGGCTCTGGCCTACTGAGAATGTCCTGGGGCTCAGTGATAAATTGACTTTGCCCTCCGCAATTCCTCTTGAGACTCGATGAAGGGCCCTGGACCCGTTGGTAATGCCCTGGCTACCGCTGCTGTTGCCAGAGCTGAACCCTGCTTGCTTCATCCTCAGCTGTGCCAGTGTTTGCCCTCTTCCATGACTCCCTACCCGGTCAAAACCCACCACCCAGTTTCTACCCTCATGTAGTTTGTTTATTTATTTAGTTTTGTAAGTAATTGTTGCCGGGCAGTTGCAGCGCACGCCTGTGAACCAGCCTCGTGGAGGCAAGGGTTGTTGGATCACACGCGCGTTGTGAAACCGCCTTCCCGTGGGCGTTGAGGTGCTTCGCCAGAAGGTGGTACAGCAAGCAGACCAATCTCCATCTGTTTCCTTCTGTAAGGGGATACAGTGTTGCTCCCTCGTCATGCACATGGTTTTTCTCGCATGAGTGGCACAGATGCATAATTAAGGTAAAAAAACACGACAGCGCTGCTACTATCTTGCGACACAGCAAGCCCAACATTGTTTGGTGCATGAGGTTTTTGGGATGATAACGCATAAATGTGTCGTTAAGCCCGCCACCACCTGACAGAGGCAATTAGTAAGGTTTGTCACGTAAACAAAACAAGCCAATTCGTTACTAGTACAGTACAGCACACCGGTGTGTTGGAGAGTGAACCCACAACATTGTTTGGTGGGTGGAGAAAACCCAGTCCAATCTAACACGTTTGAAAGCGTAAATCCGACTTTCAGTGCCACAGTTGGAATGCCACATTCAATGGCTCCGAGGCGCTCGGTGTCCAACCCCACTGCGAGTGAGGCTACTCAGCCAGCAGTTGAGCCACAAGAGCACTGCAATGAATCAAAGGCAGCGGTGGACACAGCAGATGCAGTAATACAATTACCAAAGCACGTAGATACAATGTTTTCTCAAGTTGGTGACTATTAGTGCTTGGACTCATGCAGTATTTCAGATCCTTTCTTTCTAGCTGGTGCATGGAATTATGGTCTTCACTCGAAAAAAATTGCAACAATTGTTTTTATTTCAAAGTGCTTGCTTTTCTTGATATCCTATTGACATGTAAACAAATGCTTTCATATACAGAACTCCTCTTACCCGCCATCCTGTTATACACAACTCCTGTTATCCGCAGCAGTTGTGGGGTCCGCAAAGAAAATCCCAATTTTTCCCAAGATCCTACATCTTCCTACTATCCAGGGGGTTATCTGAGAATGTTTTACCCCACAGATAAATTCGCAGATAACCCTGTGGATAATAGGGTCCACGATACCGGTCCCCCGTATCACCGCGGATAAGGGGAGTCCTCGCATACTGTACTATTTTGAAAGGGCACACGGTTACACGAGTGAAAACTGATTTTTTTAAAATACATAATTTACCTGTACATTATTGAATTCAAACATATATTGCGTTGGGGGGGGGGACCCCTCGGCAATATCTATGTCAACAACTATTTCAAAACACACTTAATCACATAATATACTTAAGAACTGGCATCGATATATTGCATGACTGCAATCACGGATGTTTAATTGTGCTGCAAAACTACGATTATTTTCTTGCCCCACATTAAGAAATGGAAATGTAACGTAACTTTCAAAATGTAGAATGCCTTTCAGTCTGTCCAATTGTTGAATACATGGTTGTAATCTATAAAACTACACCTTTGGTAGATTATCAAGGCCAAAATAAAGTTTGTCCATTCCAGTGAGCAGTAACCTTTCTACCAGTGTATAGCTGGGCAATGGTGGCATACGCCTGTAATCCAGCACTGTGGAGGCAAGGGTTGGTGGAACACGCAAATGTCAAACTCCCTTCTTGTGGGCGTCGATGTGTGGACTCCACCTTGTTCCATTTGCATGGGATAGAGCGTTAGAGCGTTGTCCCCTCACACGTCTGGGTTTTCTCTGGGTGCTCTTGTTTCCTTCCACTTTGTAAACACATTTACTTGGCTGAAAATATCTTAATATATAGGGAACCGCAGAGCTTGGACAACTATTGGTGCCGGCTCAGCGCCTGGCTGCCTTCCCACTTACCGAGTGAGCAAACACTATGCGTGTTACAAGTTGAGATTATTATCGTATAATAAAGGTTCCAAAATTTAGCCTAATAGGGTGTAGGACCAAGTGAAGTTGGTGAGCACCTAGTAAGGCTGGTGTGACATACATCATCTCCCCAGAACAGATGTTAACATCAGATAATGGACTCATGTCAGCCTAAGTCAGTGTCGAGGAGGCCTAGGCAGTACACCTTCTCACATGTTCTGTATGACCAGGAATCGTAAAATAATGCCACGTACCATTCTCACATGCAAAGTAAACAAAGCGAGCGTAACTGTTTGTGAGATGTCATCTGAGCGTTGGGACTCATTCACTTATCCTCACATCGTAGAATTGTATTAACATATGGCTTGTTGTTTAATTCAAATTCCTATTTTGTGAAGCTGGAAAGTTTCATGTCCACTATTCAACGTGTGTTTACAGCCATTTATAATGATATGTGCATATGGGGAGAGGTAGTGTAGCGGTTAGCGTGCTGCGCTACGAACCCGGCGACCTGAGTTTGATTCCCGCTCATGGCCAACACCAGTGATGACTATTTGAAACAGTGCCGGGCCTCCCATAGGTCGACTCAGCCTCAAATGAGTGCCTGGTGCGGTGTGTAAATATCGCCACTCGGGAGACAAAGGCGGCCGAGCATGGTGCTGGCCACCCACTCCCTTGTGTGCTGTGCCGGCCTTCAGAAGTGCTTGCTAACAGCACTTGCCCCCACAATCTGTTTCGGCTATACGTGGTATCTTTGTCTGTTTCTTTAAAGAGTGCACAAAGGTGTGTTATAACTTCTAAGGATAATGGGAAAATGTTTAAAGTTCCAAAATTGCTGAATGTTTGTACTGTTGTATTCGTGCAAAGGATGTCACACGTACAGCCGCAGGGCATTTTGTGTGCAGCAACGTCTTCTTTTGCGCGGCACTTGCGGGTGGGACTCAGTAGTCGAGCTGACAAAGGCATGCCACCCCACGGGTCACCCAGTGGTTGCTTGGCTGGTCGGTGGGAAACTTGACGGTGAGCACGTAGTTGGTGGAGTGTCCCGTGGTGGAGACGATCCCTCGCCGCGCGCTGGTCTTGTACACTGCCACAGGAACGTCACGCAAACGAGCAGCACGGGGCGAGACCCAGAGTTGGCTACCACGGGCATTGTACAGCATCTCCATCAATGCCTACAGCCTCTGCGGACTTTCCACCACCAGAATTATCCGAGATTCTATTATCCCATACTTTGAACTCCTACCGTGTTGTTGTATTGTTTGTTGTTGTGTATGAAACAGGCATCTCTGAAAAATTGCTTTATAACTCATCGGATTGCTTCAGTATAAATACATATTCTGATTCTGATTTACCTAATATGTTTGCTTAAGATGTACCTGATCTTGGCAATCGATGAAAGTTAGATGGGAATCAACCAGAAAGAGTACGTTATTTTTAGCTTAAAAATTAAGTCAAATATTAATTTTATTATTCGCGATATTATTGATGGTTTGTCGAGCGTTCTTAAATCCGTGACGTATAATTCAATTGATTGCAGTCAGCAGCGCATCACGTAGCTCACAGATCCTGGTAGATGGGGGTCAACACTACTTCTGAACACGCTGCAATAAGGCTCTCACGTCAAACAAAACATGGTTCGACATTTTATACCCCGTAGTTAATTGTGGATCTTGCAGTGAGTGCAGCCATTGGTCAGCTGAACTTATATGACCAAATTTGTGACACTTGAGAAGCTAAACGCGGGTAGGCTGCCCTGCATTGCAGCAATGGTTCTCAAAGTGTTGTCAGCTCAGCACTGATGTGGGCATTAGTCCCCGGAGACACCACGCAATATTTCCTTGCAGTTTTTAGCAATCTTATTGTATTGACTCATTGCAATCCCTGTATCGATAATACTTAATACACATTTCTTTATACAACTAATAATGTGGAGGAGACCTTTGTGAATGTACTGCTGTATGAGGGCGTCCCATGACATATCAGTCATGGCAATTTGACCGTACTTGGCCATTATTAACGACACTTTTTTTTTCTAGGTAAGTCCCACTGAGCTATGTAGCTCTTTTTCAGAAGTGACCTGGCCACAAATGATAGCTCAACGAAGTGGCTTATCACGTGGAAATGTATCTCAGCCAAATACTCTAAAAGCGTGTTTCTATAAATGTGGAGGGTAAAACTGGACTCCACCACGAGGATCACGAGGAGGAACATGCCAACTCCAAATATACAGGCATCAGGGTTGGGATCGGACCCACAACCTCCTGTATATCAGGCAAGATAATTAATATCCTACCACCGTGGTGTGAGTAGATGAAGGGGACTATGTTAAGATATTACCCGCGACTGATGTTAGCTGTGGCTGGTCACGGTGCCAGGTTCGTAGACCAGTGCGCTAACCACTGCACCACAACTACTCCCTGTGATACATGTGAACCACATGATATACAACCTGGGCATGCGTATGTTGACGTTTCTTCAGTTGTGGACTTCTCCACTGGCTTTAACCACATCTGAAATTATTTGTTAGGGAAGCATTCAAAATTCACACCTTGAAAAACACAAGTATTAGATTATAATTCATAACCATCTTACTGCGAACGGTACACCCCCTAACACTGAGGGCGACCCTCTGTCATGGCAACACTATCCCACATGTGATGCCTGTATACGTAAAAAAATGTGTTAATTTTTACCACGTAAAAAGAACAATTAACAGTGATATTCCAGCCACTTTTATTTCAAAGACCTCTACGATTAGCACGATCGGCTACGCCCGGTGCAAAGGAAGTTCAACACACATACATACACATACGTACATACACATACGTACATACAATCACTCCCCCCTTGAATCTTTGCACCTGATGAGTTAATGAGTTAATGATGACGTCACCCTGCTGCTGCTCTATATAAGAACGGGAGACACAGCAGAGCCTCACCTTTCTGGCGAATTGCCCGATGATGCTGGATGCAATTACCAGCGAAACGTCGTACTCAAATTGTAAATGTTGTGGCTTCAACACACCGGTGGGCTAAAGCAGTGAACTATTTGTCTTTTGTCAACGTGACACTTTTTTACTGATTAGCCGTGTCGGGTGGTGGAGGGTTACGACACATTTATAAATAACGCGATCTAAACCCAAAAACGTTGATTACAAATGTATGTTAAATTGTAAACCTCCTAAAAGCATAACATATATTCACCTAAAGTATAAATACTCTAAGCTCCAATTTCAATAAAGGCCTGGTCCACACGCGGCAACACTGATCACAACACTGCTCTGTGCACGGCACAATGAAAGGATACCACTGGAAGGCTTTCGTATAAAATCTTGTGGAGGGACTCTCCGATGACTCTTTTCTCTCGGTCCCATCGCCCGCCTTCCATGAACAGACCTGTGATATAAACGCCAGCGTCCTAGAATGCATTTTTAAAGAGAGACAAAAATATACATATATAATTAGCGCAAGAAAATATGTGGATGTTTATAATCAATCTGTGGCAAGCCATTGTCATACTAACTACTGTGTCTGACGAACCACAGCTTGAAATCTTTGAGAAAAAAAAGTCCTGAAGAATAAATAGAAAACATTGTCAAAGGGAATCAAAATGATTATGAGAACATATTATGTTGAATTTTTTTTTTAAATTGAGTGCTGCTTTTGTCTTGAAAATGTTTTTATTTGTTAGAGATGTGTCTATTTTCAGAGTCAATATGTCCAGTTTCATCCACACCAACAACCATGATCATTCTAAGACTGCATGAAGTCCTCTTGAGACCATCACCATCTCTCAAGGCCTGACAAGGCCAGTGCATTTTGTTAAATAATAATTGTGGTTACAGCACTTGGGACTGTGATGCTATACTGCTTTTGTGTTCAGTTTATCCATCTCCCGCACCTCCGATGAGCGTGGTTGGCTACGTACGGTGTGAAAGAAATTAAAACTTACACACATACATAGGTACAAGTAAAGCAAGAATTGTCTCACAAAGCTACACTGTAACTGGCTGTCGGTGGCTACAAAATGACAAATTATATGCATGTGCCCTAGACCAAGTAGTAGCGCGTATTGTCCCGCACGACGTTCCGAAGAAGGGACCGAGTTCCTGAGGAAGCTCGCAGCGCGTGGAGCGAAACGTCGACGGCGGACAACACGCCGTACATTCCGAAACGCTTCCGAAAGATATATGTTTGTCTGTGTGATAATCCAGACGGATCTGCGATTCAAACGACCATCCACCAACGCATCACGTACAGGCCTCTCCGCCACGTGCTTCTCGTGCTCGGTGATGTGGTACTGGAAGCCCAGTTGGTCGATGGGAACTTTGTGCTTCCGCGCGAAGTTCTGGAGGGCGCCGGTGAGGAAGGACTGCGTAAAGAAGAAGCCGGAGATCCAGAAGACGGAAGGCGCACCCTTCTCTATCCAGTCCTGGGGCGGCAGACACCGAGTGGGTGAGAATGATAGCATCAGGTACGTTAGTCACACGATCGCAGAATACAGCTTACTGTGGCCGAATAATACAGAAATTGCATTACCTCTGACTAACGTGACATCTGCAAATGTAAATGATTGATAATGAATTCTGCAAATCAATATTAATCAAGTAAGAGCTTATTGAGACAGAAAGCTTCTGTTTCAATGTAGATTTTAGAGAAATACCAAGGAAAATACATGAACATTGGTGTAACATACGATAACAGTGGTGCAAAACAATGTAAAAAAGCAAGTGTTAAAATCACAAAATAGTAGAATATCTTAACCAGGAAAGATCTATCTGCTCATGGATTAAGGTATTTCCAAGTCGTTGCCACCCCTCATGTTCTCGATAAAAAATATTGCATATATTTACCACAAATTAGCTAATCTATCTCCACGGTGGACTTCTTCATGGGTGTGTTCCCTCCTTTGGCTGTCATTCCATCATCAGATTAGTCCTGATTATTGGCCATTATCCCTTTGAGCCTTCCGTCCTGCTCAAACCAACTTACTTTTTAAATAGTCAAGATGACATCACTAATTTGTATGTGTTCTCTGTTCCACATGTTCCTCTTTCTGCTTCTCAGTATAACTTTTAGCGTGCACATCGTCAAACTTGTATGTATATTGACCTTCTTTTGCACCGTACGTAGCCAATCGTGATAATCGGAGGCGCGGGGGAAGGATAATAAACTAAACACAAAAATCAGTTCTAAAGAAATACATTTTTAATCTAGATTTAAAAGTGCATAGCTCCAGCCGGCCGCAGAAGCACATCTGAAAGTGCGCAATGCGGTGACCATCATTGTTCGATAGCTAGCCAAAATCCACTGCTGCGAGGATGACCGGAGTTTGCGTGATGGTTTATGCTCCTTGACGAGATCAGTAAGGTATTGTGTGAATCACAAATGAGGCTAACTTTTGTCTGGTACCATATTTTTGATGTGTGTTATATCAGGTACTATGCACTGATTGAACACTTTCTTCTTTCGGCACAACATGAATGTTATTTTTTTTATTACTGCATTCCAACTTGCCCTTGCTCACATCTTTATTTCATCAGCTTGATTCGGGTGCTCTTTCAATAACTGCCCTAGGTAGCAATACGCACTGCACTTTATTTTCCAGCGGTGTTCCCCCAGTAATTGTTTCCTTTTGTTCAGCAAACCTATTGCACTGGTATTCTTGGTTCTTTCGGTAAAGTCATGTAGAAGGGAAATAATACAATAAAAATAGCTTGTTTTATTTATTTTATTTCCCTTCTACGTGACTTTACCGAAAGAACCAAGAATATGAATTCCTGCAGTCGCGAAAGCTTTAAATCGAAATCTATTGCACTGACTTTTGTTTTGCTTTTAATCGTTAGCCCCATTTTCTTTTTATGTTCTGCAAAAATTTCCTATAGTAAGTTAGCATTGGATATTGTAATGGCTATATCATCAGCCAACATTGGATGGTTAATACTTTATACTTACAGCCTCGATGTTTATGTGTTTATTTCTCCAATCCACCGTGTGTACAAATTTCATCTCGCGCATAACTTTGGTGACGGCGTATTTCCTTGCCTAACTCTGCCCTCCTGATGCACAATTACACAGCGAACGCCAATGTACAACCCAATGTATGGGTTGGTAGGAGATGCAGTTCTTCATACACAGTATACCTTCGAACTCACCAAACCCACAAATATAAATGTAAAATGTGCTAGGCCTATGACAAGGCTCGGTTACACCGTGTGGGCTGATGTTGGCACAAGACCCGAAACGTCTTCCCAGCTCCGCGGTCTATATCCGATACAAACTAATTACATGGTCGTCCGTCAAATAAAATACTGTTGTTGATACAGCCACAACCAATTTTAATAACAATATAGTGTATTCCTCCAGTAAATCTTAACACTGTAGACTGAAGACATTTTAGGAGGCTCATACATTGGCTGTTTGGCCACCTAAGAGGAGTGCTTTGCTAGTGGACGAAAAACAAAACCAAATCGAGGAGAAAATCCAAAAATATGAGAGAATGACCCTAGAAAGTCTGGCATATGGGTCATGGTCCCATGTGCTGTGCTGCTGTCCCCTGGCCACCTCGCAGGCCAGCGGGTTAGGGGAGTCTCATAACTGGATGTGGTTGACCACACCCTGCCTCTATGCCTGGCACGTGTCGGCATGCGCAGCTATTAACCATGATCCTGGACGATATTTTCAAGCGCAGATTTGTACACTTCCATTGATGCAACAGGCGTTATAATGGTTGTATCGTTGTGTATTTTACCAGGCCTCTAAGTTGGAAAACGAGCATTGTGTGAGTCTGGCCAGCAGGTGGCAGGAGACAAGCAGGAGATGGGAATAGCGAGGAGAGCTGACAGGACTTCACAACATTGAGCGGTGTGGGCAGTGAAGGGTAAGGAACATTGTGGTGGTGGTGATGTGTGAATGTGAGCGTGGATTCTCACGCCCGTGGAATGTGTGTGAGAATGGATACTGCTGGAAGCTTGATTTTGTCTGCTTTAAAACCACTGTTACATTGTTTAATATGATCTCCCTTTTATCAAACATTCATTTGCAACACAGCAATTGTCCAAGAAGGATCCTCCACAACTGAGTGCAGGGCATCTCTGTCTAGCAAAGAAGTGCTTATTACTGTACATGCAAATAAACATTTTGGAGAATTAACTTTAACGAGGTTGCTGTATTCCTGAATGTTGGCAGACAATGTGATTTAAGGGTAGACAGTTGTCACAATCCATCAACACGCATAGCTTCGATAAGTCAACGAAATAATGCGCTAGGCCAGGAATTAAAGGAATTAAAATTGGAGGTGTTCTGAATGGGGTGGAAAATAAAAACATGGACATGATCAACTGAAACTTCCCTATCCCAAATGTGCCTTCGTGTCTGAAGTAACGTTGAACATTACAATTAGCGTGCAATGTCAAATTTACCGCCACCGTTTGAATATGATGCGTGGTAAAGTAAGTTATATGGGACAATGGAGTATTCAAGGTTGATAGAACTCGATGACATGGCCATCGAGTGCTTGACTGATTTGTATCTCGACCTGAAACGGCTGACTCAAGAAGGAGAGCATGCATTGTCAAACAGACCACTCGGCAGACAGGCCAACGATAATATACAAGGAAAGCTCTTGCTGTTCCATACATTTGTTTAAACACAATTTACACGTATTGCAGGCCAATATAGAAAGCTGCTTGCTATTTTTTTTGGGGCAAGAGTTGAGGAAGGCCACTTTAGATGGGACTATTTTGAAGACTCCTGCTTTTGTTCTTCAATAAATAAGAATACATTATCTCCAATCGCAATGTGTCGGATAATGCATTCCACCTTTTTGCACCTGACCAGTGGACAGCATTGAAAGTTTTAAGATGTGGGAGAGTGCAAGTTCTCACAGTGAAAAATTGCAGTCTTGCCAACAGGTCCGACACGTAGCTTCCCAGGGGTTTCAAAGACGGATAGGACTTGGCAGACCACATCGCAGGCACCTGCAGCAAAAAATAACACGGGAAAACAATGTGAATATTTATTTATTTATGTTCTCACATCTTATACACTCAGGTGCACATGTCTTTCTTGGACTTTTATTGTTTCACAATTGAAAAACTCATCTGAAAAGTCTACAATGAGACTCAATATCGCTTCAGTTGATGAAAAATATTCACTTTAATCTCTAACCATGGCATCGGATTTTGCCGTTTTGCTGCGCAGCTCTCTGACGTGCCTCTGCGTGTTGTTCAGCACGGTGCCCGACGTTTCGCTCTACGTGCTGGGAGCTTCCTCAAGGACTTCAGGGTTGTCGGACATTATGCCGAACGACACACGGTACAACCCACAATGCACATCAGAGAGCGTTCAATAGGTGATTGTAAATTACATATACAGTGCATGGATGCTCCAAATAGGGTTGCGTGCTTAATTGCACAAGAACCTTACAAATAAACTTGAGTTTGTCATTTACATTATGTGTTTTTAGCAATTATAATCCAACTGTGCTGTCAGTAAAGCTGCGAGGAAATTGGTGGAAAACCCACCACCGCCGCAGTCGCTGCCCACCACTTACATTAACATTGGCTGCTGACATTTGGGCTACGCCCGTTTCAAAACTTTATAAGCAGTTGTCTTTAGAAGCTAACTCCCCTTTTCCTGATGACGACCGCTTGTGTCGCGATCAAAACGTCGTAGTTTTTTTTCATTTATTTGAACCTATCTACGTGACTTTACCGAAAAACCCAAAGTTAATGAGAAAACGCCCTTCCAAATGTCAGAGCCAGCATCACTTCACGCTGCGGCAGAGCCTGGCAATTATAACACCACTTATGGAGGCACTGCTCCTTTGCATGTTGTACAGAGTTGTTTGTTTCATACTGTTTATCCGGTTAATACGTGGGAGAAAAATCAGACGTAAATACATCGATACATAATACAGTTTTTTTTTGGTTGAAATCGCGTAAATGATAGTGTGTCGTTAAACCCGTCACCACCCGATACGGCCAATTAGTAAGGTTTGTCACGTAAACAGAATATGCCAATTGGTTACTAGTACAGCACACCGGTGTGTTAAAGATAAAATCCACGACATTTACAATCTGAGCATGACGTTCCGCCAGTAATTACAACTAGCTTCATCAGGCGGCAGCCAGATTAAATAAGTAAGATAAATACATTGACTTACATTTTGTATCTGCAGATCAAAATCAATTATTATTTTTCACGTTTGTGATGTGGACTTCCGAGGGCTATCTTAACCAGCACCATAATTTTAAGCAAACATTTGGACCAGTTGTACCCTTCATGGTTAACATAAGTATAGAAGGCCATAGGCTGATAAAGTCAGCCTTTGTTTGTGTGGAAATCATCAGCAGTCATTGTCTATCCATTGCTGGATGAAGGCCTCCCCATGCCATTGCCATCCCTCGCAGTCCATCTCACTGGTCTCTCATCACTCCATGTCTCCAGTGGCTGTCCTCTTGGATGGAAATTGGTTTAATTATTTCATTACCTAGACTGCTGCACGGCAGCATAATGGATGTTTTGTGCTTTCATGAATGACCAATCCAAACACGTGAAAAGCTTGTTTAATTATGGTTTGGTTGCTCGGATACACACCCAGTATCTCAGCAGAGCCAATTCAAGGCTCTGACATGCAGATTATGACCCACTCAAACCTTCTGACACTTGAACACACCGTAGCCACTGGACATGTAAAATCCAATTCACCTCTGATCCAATACTACTCAGAATGGATAACCGGACAATATGTCTCATTCACATATCCATCTCTCCACATAAAAAACGTATTTCTTACATACCGCACCTTTGATTAGCGAAGTCGGCTACGTACGGTGCGAAAGATGTTCAACATACATACAAAACATCAGCCGCACGATCTTCTGGAAGTGCTCAATATCAAGCAGCATTGTTTCAAGACAAGTAATCCTTTGGACGGCTTTTGCACAGTATCTCATCAGCAGAGTCAGGGTTGCTTGAATCAATGCCGGCCCGTTGCCGATCTTACAGGCAGCGGGCCTGCAATGGGGGTCCCAATACGACTCATAGAGTGGTGCAGACGCCCACACACCTTTCCGAGGATGATGCTGCTGTAGATGTCCTCCAACTCGGCCGACATGAGGGCCTGGCCGCTGACGGCGCGCGTCACGTTGCGCAGGCTGCTGCGCACAGTGCCCGTGAGCCCGTTGAAGCGCACGAGCTCCTGCACCAGCACCGTGTGCATGGACTCACTGTAGCTGGTCGGGAACTTGCTCTGCGGTCATGTGAAGCGAGCACGAGGACGGTAAACAAACACACCAGGAGACACACAGTCATACGCTGAATCACGAAACATCACGTTGTAAAAAGATACACCCCTGCGGCCGCTTGCTTACGCCATGTGCTGGCTGAATGGCCTCCACTAGATGCAATCCTAGAGAATCACCCCTCTGGAGGGTATTTGGTCTCTTCATCTACACTTGCCAGACGTCTTAGATAGGTCGGAGTACCATAATTTTGGCCCACCACACGTGGCCCGCCAATTGATTAACTGTCGTGCAACTCGTTTATACCGCTGGGTGGACAACGGCGGAGGGTTTTAACAAATTTGCACCAGTTTCAATTTGCCATGCCGGGAGATCGAACCGGCAACCTCTGGTTCGCAAGTCCCTCCAACCTCTGGTTCGCAAGTCCCTCCAGTGGAGGCTCGTCTGCCATCAGTGGTGTGAGCAAGAAATTGCAGGGCTGCACCTAAACCTTTAAAATCTCACCAACAGCAATATAAATCAATCTGTGTTATTTAAACCAAAGCCAACTCATTCTCAGGTTAAGCCTCAATGTCGTCATACTTAAATGAGCACAGAGCGGTGCGAATATCTTTTGGAAGTGCTGAGCCAGTGGTAGAAATTTCACATTCTCTACAGGGCAGCCATTGTTGACTTCCCACATCTAGCTGAGGCCTACCCACCAAATCGGACCTGAATGATCAACATTCTCATAAGAGGGTCCCATTTTAGAAATGTTTTTCTATACATATGGTGTTTTTATTGAGGTATGCACACAAGTCCGGCACCGTATGCCAGGGATTCCTAGGGAGGGAGACAGAAACACCGCGAGGGGAAGAGGGGGGGCTTTCCAGTGCTTGGCACAATCTCGTAATGGTGCCCCCCAACTAGAGGGGGTCCTCCGACCGGGGGTGAGGGGAGGCAGTTGAACGGTAACAGTAAGGGAGGGGGTGAGAAGGGACACACTGCAAATCAAATAAGGTACGTGTGGCTATTTATGAGATGGGAGTCATAACCTATCCCTCCACATTTTAGACATCTTTATGCAAGAAGGCAACAGCTCATTGTGATCCGCATCACCGTGTCAAGGAAACATCTCAGGAATATTGCAAGTAACAATTGGAAATGTCAAAAGGGAAAATACTGACACACATAAAAAAACAGATACAAATACATATACTTTAAAATACAATGGGATGGTGTTTTTGTTTTACACATCAACATTGGAAAACATTTACATAAAACTACGACGTTTCGATCACAATCAGGAGCCCCTCCTTTTTTCCTCCTGATGACGATTGTTTGTGTTGCGATCGAAACGTCGTAGTTTTTTGTAAAAAATGTTGTTCTACGTGACTTTACAGGAAGACCCAAAGAAAATGAATTCCTGCAGTTACGAAAGCTTTAAGTCAAGATTTACATCAAGTTTTAAAACGTGTCAATTATAACAGTTCTTACAGAGGAGCAGCTATTCAATTTAACATTGATTTTGCAGGGAATTAAAAAATGTATTTTGGTGATGACCGGAGTAAAATGCACTACTCTTGTGGATGATATAATCGCGAGTGTTGCACTCTTTACGGAGGAACACACCATTTGGCAATTCTCTGTAGAAAACACCGGCGGCAACCAAAACATTTGCACCTCCGTCTCGAAGGAAACTGGCTCAGAGGAGAGCATGACAACTACGAGAACTTTGTAATATACGACTCTGTGGAATGGAGGTGTGGTCTGTGGATTTTGGACAGAAGCCAAGTCACCATTGTCACAACATAAAACATTTTTTGGAGTATGCTATTGATAAACATGTGGACAAATGTTCCCGCGTAGGTTTTCGTGGTTGTGGTGTATAGCTCTCCGATGGGTTTTTTGGGTTGTACCGAGCGTGTTTTTCACCACGATTGACGACATTTCACTTCACGTGTCAGGAGCTTTGTTCGGAGCTGAATTGATGATACATCACACCAAACAATACGGTAGAAAGTTCACTATGGGAACCTCATTTGCCAGTAAAAATATAATTGTTTTTTTACCCTTCTATCTGGCAACAAAACTGACACCTTTTTACAAGGAGTCATGTTTGCATAGACCACAATACCTGCAGTCATAATACTTTTGGCGTCATCTGGTCCAACCCATTTGAGACTAGGCTCTAATGAAAGCTGTCTCGGGTGTGGACCAATCAACTTCAAGGACAGTGCACATTATCAGAGTTGTGTTTTTTGTTTGTATTATGACTGCAGGTATTGTGGTCTATGCAAACATGACTCCTTGTAAAAAGGTGTCAGTTTTGTTGCCAGATAGAAGGGTAAAAAAACAATTATCACGGTAGCAAGTTGTTAACTGTCTCGCCTGCTATACAGGAGGTCGTGGGTTCAATCCCGACCCTGACGCCTGTATATTTGGAGTTTTCTTGTCTCTCTCTGTGTGTTCACTTGGATTTTTCTCCGGGTCCTCTGATTTTTCTCTCCACATTTAGAAGCATGCGTTTAGAGTATTTGGCTGCGATAAATTTCCACGTGACAAGCCACTTCGTTGAGCTATAATTTGTGGTCAGGTCGCTTCTGAAAAAGAGCTATATAGCTCAGTGGGCCTTTCCTGGTAAAATAAAAATATTTTGTAGTTTTCACACCACGGTACAACGCAGAAACACATCAGAAAGCATGCGGGCAAGTTACTCCACTGGCATGCACCCTCAATTCTTAGTTGGTGGCATTACGTTTGTTTGCCATTTACAATATAATGCAACAAAGGCAATAGCATGTATTGAACTACGCATGCTAACCGTTAAAATGTTTACCAGCTAGCTGTATGACACTATAACACAAGCCAAAACAATCTACTGGAATGATTTCCAAGTTTTAACTGCACATGAAACGTGTACACATAAAGACAGTCTGTCTCAGTGCTGTTGTAATAATCGAAGTATGTTCAACGTACCTTGATTTCTTCAATGTCAAATTTGGGGGGTATCTTGGAGAGAATGTCTGTAGCAAGCTCCTGCACAAAGTCGGAAGATGACTTGCCACCACCTGATGTCTTCGTTATTTGAATACAAATTTTACATAAATTAGTTAAAATAAACCTTCAAAGTTAAACGTTTGAATTTATAAAATAGCCAAATTGAGACCCAGTTATGCATTGAGTTAAACAAACAAACGTATGACTCAAGGTCAATGTTCCAATTCAAACTCTGTCAGTTTTGGGTCCTCTCCAAAATCTTGGCCCAATATTAATTTGAGAAGTGCAAGAGCAATTTGATTTTACAGGTAATCAAATAAAAACATCAAAAATATTTTTAAATGTTCAGAATGTATTAACCCACAGATAAAAAAAATATTAATCTCTAAGCAAGTTCATAACTACAGAAATATGTAATGTTAAATAATGGAAGCATTAAAATATTTTTAGGAATTGCAGAAACAAACATAAAAATATCTGAAGTGTTCAATATAGTACCATAATTTGGCATGACGTGGAATTTTCTAATTGTCAAATTACTCAAATTTAGTAAACACAAAGCCCAATTCGTATTGCAACCATTCAAGATGCTGTATTTCAGGCTGGGACCTAAGATGTTATTTGTGGCATCATGCCAGTCTCGTACAAGCACTGGATTCCAGTCACACTTCACAAATCATCAGTCATCATAACGGCCAAGATCAGGAGAACACCATGTACAATGTCACCCGATGCCACTTCACATCGCCGCTGCTTCCTTCTGCATGCCAGATTCTTCGGCTGCTGCACAACTTGACAACGGGGACCCTGGCAATTTGTTCTTCCAGTATACGCCCCCCCACCCTCTCCAAGTTTTGGAGATGCCTGATATACAGGAGGTCGTGGGTTCGATCTCGACCCTTATGCCTGTATATTGAGTTTGCATGTTCTCCTCGTGGTAACGTGGATTTTTCTCCGGGCCCTCCGGTTTTTCCCCTCCACATTTATAATCATGCATTAAAATAATTTGGCTGCTATAAATTTCCACATGATAAGCCACTTCGTTGGGCTATCATTTGTGGCCAGGTCGCTCCTGAAAAAGAGCTGTATAGCTCAGTGGGCCTTACCTGGTAAAATAAAAAAAATAGTTTAGTTTAGTTTTGGTCACCGACCCCTGCATACCGCTCCAATTCCCACCTTTCTCCATCCTGGACACGAACCCTACCTATTACCGAACCTTCCTGGTTAACTCGACAAAGTTATCCCATTGTGTTACAGTCTGAACTTTCTGAGCTGACTACACTATTCAGCGATCGTTTGGGAATTGATGAGTGATATCTGGGACCGGTCCTGGGCCACACACCATGCCTTCACGCCTTCAAGGTCAAACAACCTTCATGACTCACATTGAACAGGGAGACATTCATCTAGTAGGAGAGTTTAACAAGGGGATGTAAATTGGAATTACAAATTTTATCACAATTGAAGCATAGCAACATCCTGCAAGTGCAGTACCAACTCTAAATATGAGTTATCTTAGTATTTCAGAAAGTCCAAAAGCTATGTTCCTGTGGACAGACTACCAAATACCATAGGATGTGGAAACCCAGTAACTGAGCTCACCAAAGATCTGTGGAGCCATAGAGAACTTTGAATTTGTTTTGGCATGCTAGGCCGTATTGCCGCAAAGTCTTCAATTTGACTTCCATGTCAATTTCTATGCCGAACGCTTCACAAAGGTGGACATATATACCCACAGTTGATCAAAAATACAAAATGCATGAAAAGTTCTGAATAGCCAGTATATATGTGTTTAGTTTAAACAAGGAAAGCTCACCTCTCGAGGCAGTGTTTGTAGAATGCCATCAAAGAGCCTCTGGGTCTCATTTTGCTCCTTGGTAATGCTGGCATTCTCGTGCAAACCAAACACCTGTGAAGAGCCACCGCAGGGTCATGAATACGTGGAATTATAAACCCGAGATGGGTGCTGTGATTCTTTGTAAACACAATCCACCCCAACGTGAGAATAACCATATATACAAAAAAACCAGAATGTGGTCGTAGGTGTTTCAAAACATTGGACATCTTTTATTTCCTATAATGTGAAACACTCACTTATGATGCTATTAACAGGAATACAACTGGTTCTTACAAAGCACTGTGTTCCATTAGGTGTGATTTTTTTTCCATTACGTTATTGACGAGAGTCAGTTTACACATCAAGTGGCATGGCGAGTACATATCCATAATGACGTCAGTACAAACCGATCCTTACCAACGCATTAATTCAACGTATTACCATGTGCAGCACTTGAAATACTAACATACACCATGGCACCTGCTAAAACCCAGTTTCTAACTCAAGTACCACCACACCCAAGGATGTCATGTTAAGTGCCATTTAGTACAAAGTATTCATATTGTACTGTGCTTCGATATTATTTCTAAATCAAAATTATTACTACAGGTGGGGGAGTGGTGGCGCAGTGATGCTCTTGGCAAGCTGAGTCTGAATCCTGGCCATAGAGATGCTGTAATAATAAATAATGCATACATGTAGAGGTGACTGGTTCAATCTCCTGGTACGGCAGCTGAAATACTGGGAAAGTTTATTTCACCCCCTGCCTCTCTCCACCAATCAGTATAAATGGGTTCACCACGGTTATTCGATCCACCGGTTGCGTGTGGTCGGGTTCAATGTGGGTAATTCCACTACTTTCAAGGCGTTTGACCAAATACCCTCAAGTGGGCCTCTCTAGAGCTTCCTCTAGTTGAGGCCTTCCTGCGAGTAGTGGCGTGAGCACAACATAATTGCAGGGCTGCAAAAAATTGCACCTTTTTATATTTTTTTTATTATGGGCAGTCCCTCGATTTACAAACGGGTACCGTTCCCAAGACCTGTTCGTAAGTCGGAACACAACAATGTACCGTACTTAAATGCCCTTATGGTTAGTGTTATAAAATGTGTGACGGTTCAACAAAAAAGGGAAGCACTGTCAAACTAACAAACGAGAAGAGACATATCAGAAATTCTGCGCCGGACCAAATCGTTCCGCGGTTCGGTTCGCAAGAGCGAGTGCGCAAGTCAGACGGTTAAAAAATAAACATCTCACAGAAGCTCGTTCGTAAGTGCGGGATGTTCGTAAGTAGCTGCAGGTTAAGTATGAATGATTAGGTGCACGGCAGCAACGATTGCGATGCGTTTGGTGGCGAGGGCCCGCATGCACCTCTGGGTGGGCGTGCAGTGGCAGGCCCTTGATGTGCTCCAGGTGGCACTCGTAGGTTGCGCCGGCCGGCGGGGCGCCGTAGCGGCCCGTTGGGGAGAAGCGGTAGGCGTCGTCGCACACCGTGCGCTCGCAGTAGAAGGTGGCGAGCAGCGCCAGCAGCAGGCGCCGGTCGTGCTCGTCGGTGACGCGTCCGCCGTAGTTGCACTCGCCCGTCAGGTAAGCGAGCGCCTCCAGCGGCACCTCCTCATACTCGTTGAGAAACATCTGATGTGTGACAACGATGCATTCATTAATTTTTTTAGGTTTTCTTTATTCACAATTTCGACGCGTGGTACATTCAGAGTATAAGCACGCGGTCCGATGTGACAGGTCGTGCGCATCTTTATCTACGGAGGTCGCTGGAGACGAGGAGGAATTGTAACAATTGTATGTATGAATGTTGAACTTCTTTCGCACCGTACGTAGCCGACCGTGCTAAGCAGAGGTGCGGGGGAAGGACAAAAAACTAAACACAAAAAGCAGTTCTAATGAGATGAGTTTTCTATCTAGAATTGAAAGTGCATAGCTCCAGTGGCTTCCTAATATTGGAAGGAAGAGCGTTTCAGATGGCCACAGAAGCACATCTAAAAGTGCGGAATACAGTGACCGTCTTTGTTTGATGGCTAGCCAAAAGCCGCTGCGAGGATGACCGGAGTTTGCGTGATGTGTATCCGTTTTAGACACAGGCGGGACAAATAACCTTACTCAAAATGTATTTCAATAAGAATGAGCAAATTACAGTATTCCAAGAAAGGTGGTATGGTGGTATTAATGACATATTTGGTTTACAGTGAAGGTCTGATTATAACTGTGATGGGATGGAATCTTACACAAGTGAGTCATACATGTACAGGCCTTTCTTCGTGTCAATCCATTGCTGGATGAGGGTGTCTCTGTGTTGGTTGTTGGTGTGCAAACATCAGCAATGGGGAGACAAAGACGACCGGGTGTGGTGTTGGCCACCCATCCTCTTGTGTGCCGTGCTGACCTTAATAAGTGCTTGCTAACAGCACTTGCCCAAATAATCTCTTAAAGGATTTACGTGGCCTCAAAGTGCACCTGGCCTGGCACAGACGCGATGGTGATGCCAAAATCACTTGGTGGCGAATGACAGCTATTGGTTGTTGGGGTTATCGTCCTGGTCAGTGAAGACTGGTGAAGGTGGGGAACATGATGTGTGGAAGCATGCCAGTGGAGTACTGTACAACAATGTGTTTTACTGCACTGCCCTCTGCTGCTCAACACGGGGTCCTGCAGTCGCTTACCAGACCCGTGTTAGGCATCTGGTGGGTCGCCCATCCAAACACCACAACTCGACTTCAAATCTGATGATATTCCGAGGTGTGATAAGAGAGGGTACATCTTGGTCTATCTGTTCATAGGCATGCGTGTGCTATTTTGACTTAAAAGTTGAACTGTTGCCTAAATGCATTTATAAAAAAAAATATGTAGACAATATACATTACAATCCAGTTTTCAAGTAGGATACATACTTTGGAAGGCCATTAACGTAATTACCTTTTTATTACAGTATGATTTTTTAATCTTGATTTGAAGCTTTCGTGACTGCAGGATACCATACTCTTTGGTTCTTTCGGTAAAGTCACGTTGGTAGAAAAAATAAAATAGATCACGACGTTTCGATCGCAACACAAGCAATCGTCATCAGGTGGGACAACCACAGCAAGAAAAACTGCTGAAATACAGTTGACTACTTCTACCTACGTGACTTTACCGAAAGAACCAAAGAGTATGCTTTTTTTAGTTGAGAGACGTCAATTTGTAAACGTGGTGAGTTCCTGCGTGCCCTCTAGGTGGCAGCAACACATCGGCGAAGAAGAGCAAGCACAGCACTTGCCAGGTGTGGCGTGCTGCACGTGCCGCGACCGGGGTCAGAGGATCACGCAGATCCCATCGTGTGCTGTGAACACTTCTTATGCGAGGCGGCCGGCCAGCAGATTGCAATGCAGCAGATGGGTTCGTGACGTGTCTTTGACGATTGTCAATGTCATCCTCGTATTCGTGGGACTATTCATGATACTTTGATTCATCCCCTCTTGCCCAATGCAAATCAAGAAGACATCGCCCTCGTATCCCATTGAGGCTTTCCCAGGTTAATCAAAGTAAACCTTTTTTTTTGTATTACTCCCATGGTCTTTGGATAGTGCTCAACTATGTCGGTGACTCTGGGACAGTTGTGGAAATTCCACATGCTCACGGCAATGGGCAGTCTAAGCATTGCACAATTGTTGACTTCCAAAGACATGTCTAATTTTAATGAACCCCCAGAGGGATAAACAGCATCTCCATCGAATTTTAAAAAATCCAAACAGCCGCTGAGGCCTTCATCCACACCTTCAGTATATCACAACTCGTCAACTGTAATTCTCCACGGCAGTATTCTTCACTCATTTCCAAAGGGGGGCTCTACTTTCGCCGATACGACATCAGTGCGAGGGCCACCAAACATTTTTAACCATTGGGGTTTGACAGCACGATGATGGAGTGTTTTCACATGTTGCGTATTGTCGGGGGCCGCACTAAAGGTCACCAGGGGCCGCCAGTCGCTCGCGGGCTTGCAATGAAGAACACTGCTCTATGGGTTCCCAAAATATCTGCACTCACAAACTTTACATGAACCAAATTCCAATGGCAGACGGACTCCCAGACCCTTCCTCTGGTGCCCAATACAGGCCCGCATCAACTACAAGACTGCCCTCACCATCATCGAGGTCCTCCACTGACTCGCCTGTCTCCCCCTCTCATCTCACTCTACTCCAGCAACCAAGGCATTCTGTCAATGCCCCCAGTTAATGCGTGCACTGTGGGACCTTGCTCATTCTCCTCTGCTGCCCCGAAAGACTGGAACTCCCTTCTACTCGTTATTAATGCTGTTTTATTTTCTGTCTATGACTGACTATTCTCTTTCAATATATATAAAACCCTCCTATATAGCATGCCCCAACTGTTTTGTAGTGTCTCAACACACCATGGCATTTAGCTTCTCAATACATTCCAACTTATATTGCATTGTATGTTGGGGTTGTGTCAACCTCTCACCAGCATTTGAATTCACAACCTCCCCAGTGGAATAAAGGACAAATGAAGAACAATTATAGCCAACCTGCCCACTCCCCTCATCCAACCTGTTTTACATGCGCTGTGAGTTTGTGACTTCACATGCTGTATTTGCTTTGTGTGATACATTTTCATCATAGGTTGACTTTTTCAGGATTGGATATATTTTGCATTTGAATATAAAGAGGTAGTGTCTGTAAAGGGCCATACCAGACTGAAGTGATGTTCACTTTAAAAAAGAAACACAACTTGAGAAATTCAGTTTGCATTTGCAAAGCAAGCACCTCCACTCAGGCTTTGATATATTTTCAAATCACCACGGACACCGCGACAGTCCTGCACAATAACTTATCTACGAGCTGTGTGATTTGATCAATGAGACGTGCATATTTTGAGCTAAACGCGAATACACACGGACATTCAGATCAGATGTTGCCAATTCACTAAGGAAGTGGTTAAATGCTCAGAGATCATAGGCACGTTTTTTCATCTCATCAATAATTTAAGCATATGAAGATAATTGTTCTTTTAAAATTAGCCCTCAAAATTCCATGGAACGAAGGGAATGCTTATATGACATAAATGTGCTAATATTCAAAAAATTAATTATATTGTTTAAAATTTCTTAACTCCCTTCATGCCTCCACACACTGTACTTTCCCTCAAACGTTTGCAGACCTTCTTGTACAAGAGACACGCTGTTTCAAAAATCAGCTCAACAAGTTACTTACAGGTTTTTTGCAGTTGTGCTGAATGGCTAGCGAATGTGTTTACCGATGGTACCGACGTTATGCCCCACAGGTTGTTAGCTTTTCTCAGTAAATTAACCGCCATCATATTCAAGTTACATTCAGCTAGTGAAGCTCCCAGCACGTGCAGAGAAATGCCAGATATCTTGCCAAGCGTGAAAAAATAATAATAGGCTTTACCCCTTCTGGCAATAAAACAGGAGTTAAGATATTCAAACACCAAATAGAAACCCATTATAAGATTTTTTCATCATTGTGATACCGCAAAAAGGTCGCGAGATATGTTGCCAAGCAAAACACAGTTCAACCCAAAACCGTTAATGTGACACTCCGTGAACCGTACCTCTGATTAGCACGGTTGGCTACGTATGGTGTGAAAGAAGTTCAACATACGTACGAACCCCTGCACATTACCTGAACCTGCCGTGCGCTGATACGCAAGTCTGACTCGTTGAACTCGTAGGAAACGTTCCAACCCAGCGATCCGAACGTTCGACGTTCTTGTACCAGTGCATGGAAGAAGCAGAGGCCGAACAGCAGCTTCTTCCAGGGCTACGAATGAAAACAACAGGGCACATTTACAAAACACATGCCTCTGATTCGCGTGGTTGGCTACGTACGGTGATAAATAATTTCTACATACATACTGACAAATGCATGCCTCCGCAAAGACAGTGTACTGCGTAGCGGCCCAATTCATCTCCAAATTACTTCAACCAAAGTAAATACAATGACATTCGGTCTGCTGAAACAGTCTCTCACACTAATTATACGTGTGATAAATATCACTTTGCACAAAAAAGCCTTCAGAATTAAAGGCATGAAGCACACACTCTCCCTTAGGGCTTATTCAAGCAAGGATCAAAACTTGGATGGTGATGACTGTAATAAAGCAACCTTGCAGAAGCAAGGGCATGGGATGATATTCAAATTTTATATAATAGTGCAATGGCTGCCCGTTATACAATTCCTGGGCAGTGCTATTTCAACAAGTAAATAAAATGTAAAAGAGCTTCATAGCTCATTGCATTCCTCCGGTATAAATAAATACGCTGATTCTGATACGCCGCCGCCATGCCCAAGGCCTGGGGTGTCAGAACGCAGAGCGGTAAGCAAACAACAGATTGCTCGGGCACGTTCGCATGGTCACTGTTGAGCACATACATAGCATGCGCCCACAATGGAACATTTGACATTTTATCTTGTTTATGGGACCAGCTGTGAGGCCACATGAATACAATTTAAAATATGTTCACCAATATATATGGCCAAAATATCATAAATTACACAAGAAAGCACCAGCACTTTAAAATCTGGGGTGTGAGAATGCTGGAGGACACCGACCAACAATCAATTTTTCAGCTGTGGGAGTGGCGGTCGTAAGGAACCAGCGCGCTCACATCGATGAACATCCTGAACATACCGTGTCTGTCTGAATGCTAACCAACTCCGATTATCACGGTTTGGCTACATACGGTGCAAAAGAAGTTCAACCATGAATACAAACATGTAACTCTGAGGCACGCATTCTGAACATTGTCTTCTGTTCCGTTCTTCCCCCACTTGAAAATGATAGTTTATAAAATATACAAATTGAATTGCATATAAACGGTTCACACAGAGGCCAATGCACACTGTGTCATGCGGAATAAACACAGCAGGTACATTTTATGACCACATTTGGAACTTGACGTGACACACATCCCTCTTGAAGAGTTAGAATCAGGCTGCCCCCAATCAGTCTCCTCCCGGGAGAGCAATTTTATTTTCTGTAATGTTTTGGTTTTCCGGTAAAATTATCTTATCCTCATTGTGCTTTCAGCATCAAGTCATAAGACGAAGGGTCCACTTGGAAGACACACAGAACGGTGAAATCACCCTGTTTTAGAGAACGTTCCACAGATTAAGATATCATAAATCTACTTCTGAAATATATCCACACCAGAAAATAGCATTTTCCCACCAAGAGTTTTAATTCCCAGAGGTGGAATTTAGCCACATTAAGGACAACATTTAAAAAAATGTAGTACGTGTGTTTGTGTGCGGCCATTGTGGGGAACGGTAGTGCAGTGGTGTCCCGAGCATGATTCCCGTTCACGAGCAATAACAGTGGCGATTATTTGAATCGGTCCTGGGCCTCCCCTCAATCGACTCAGCCTTAAATTAGTGTAGAGGAGAGAAACACGAGGTGCGCACAGTTAAGCGGGTGTAACTGAGGGCAAACAGGTGTGTGTGTTGTTACATGAGGTTTGCACCGACAAACCGCCAGTAATTAAGGGGAGAAGCGGGTGCAACCGAAGTCGAACAGGTGGGTACGCTGTGACCGTGGGTTGGCGTCTAGGAGACGTGAGATGGGGGGTGATGATAAGGGATTAATGGAGCAACAGGCGCCAAGCTGACGGTGGAAACACGTGAGGACTCGGAATGAGCAGGGGGATATAAGCGGGAGTGTGTGTGAGCGAGGGGTGGTTGTTGCCGGGAACCAAGATTGAAGACATCTCGCCGCTGCCGCTCAAGCCGTCAACGTGACCTCAACCCTCACGCCGTCGCCGGGCGGGTGTTGGCTGAACCCCCCGCCCGGGACAGACGGGTGAGCGGGTATGAGGGAGCATAGGTGAGGGCAGCGGTGAAGTTGCTGTGTGCAGAGTTGGTGTGTGTGGATCGCTGAGTGCGGAGCTGCTGTGTGCAGAGTTGCTGAGTGCAGGATAAGTGAGGTGCAGAACAGATCAGAGCGGGGAGAAGGTGAGTGTATGTGACCGTACAGATAGTTATAGGAGTGCCTACAACTGGCGCAAGAACAGGTGAAATAAAGTGTAAGCAGGTGACTTGTTACAACGTGTCGGTGTGAGTAATTTTTGAAGACACTACATTAGTACCTGGTGCGGTGTGTGAACATCAGCAATGGGGAGACAAAGTTGGCCGAGTGTGGTGTTGGCCACCCATCCTCTCGTAAGCCGTGCTGGCCTTCATAGGAGCTCACTAATAGCACTTGCCCTCATAGTCTCTTGAAGGCTATTTGGTGGATATTTGTCTAAACTAAAAAGAATAAACTATTTTAATATTACCAGCTAAGGACCACTGAGCGATAGCTCTTTGAAAGAAGCTACCTGGCCACAAATGATATCCCAACGAAGTGGCTTATCACGCGGACTTTTATCGCAACCAAATACTCTAAAACGCATGTTTCTGACTGAATGTGGAGGGACAAACTGGAGGACCAGTAGAAAAATCCACGCAACCACGAGGAGAGAGACATGCAAACTCCAAATATACAGGCATCAGGGTCAGGATCGAACTCACAATCTCCCGTATACCAGGCGAGGTTAGTTAACACCTCGCCACCGCAGCATCCCTAATTCTTTGCGCAGCCATTGGTGACCAGGCTGTCTCGAGAACCCAGTTTTTTTTTTATCACAGGCAGCTGACAGGACTCAAACTCAGGATCGCAGCGACACCAGAGCTTAGTGCTCCAACATCGGTACCACTGCATGTTGCCAGCGCACCACCACAACAATTACATTTAACATCTTCAACACCCCTGGTTTGGCAACGTGACGAACCTGAGGGCACTCAACTCGATGCTGATTGTGCAAAGTAATTGCAAAGTGTACCTATGATCAAATGTGTAAGAGGCAGTGCCCATCTCTGCTGGTGGCCCAAAGTCAGTGGTGGGAATTCCCCATGGATATGGTGGAGATGAGGCTCCCCATGAACAGCCAATCTTCATCGCCCACGAATGTTTACTTTGTACCAGATACGCAAGATTTTCCATGTGCACGTGTGAACAACAATTGTGTTTGTAAATCCAAGGTATGGAAATGTGGCAAACGACGAACACCTAATATGAGCATAGTGACTGCCATGGCAGCCGTGTACAGGCACAAACCAAATTACTCACCACTGACAAAAGAGGACTCCCTCAAAGCAGAACCATATAAATCAAGATAATTCCTTAACGAAATAGGCCATGTTCTGAAGAAGGGCCCTCGAGGCGTCATGGTTTGTGCCTGTAGTAAAAACCATTTGATGAATCAGTCACTTGACCCTGAGTGTTTACCTATATTGACCCTAATCTTTGGGTCTTTCGGAAAAGCCACGTAGATTGAAAAAATAATAAAAATAATAACACGACGTTTAGATCGCAACACAAGCAATCGTCTTCAGGTGACCTATTATGGTACTCGTTGACTATAGGGAACAAATTTAAAGACCAAAACAGCAATTTTAAAAAATGACAAACGAAAACACGGGCTGCAGCAAAAACGCTGCATGGACCGCACTTTCCAGACTGCGGTTCCATCGCATGGAACGTTCGTTACACCGCACAACAAGAGCTCTACCACTTGAAGCGCGGCTTGACGACGCAATTAACATCCACACCGCGGTGAAAAAACACCGGGCATTGGAAACGCCTTCAGCACAATTTCGTAATTTTTAAACGACTCTTCACATTGCATCGTGTTGTTTTTTTGCTTTAGCCAGGCTTGCTTTGGAACACCACAGTGGCGAGATGTCAACTACCTCGCCTGGTATGCAGGAGGTCGTGGGTTCGATCCCGACCCTGACGCCTGTCAATTTGGAGTTTGCGTATTCTCCCTGTGGTCACGTGGATTTTCCTCTGGGTACTCCAGTTTTTCCCTCCACATTTAGAAACGTACATTTAGAGTATTTGGCTGCTATACATTTCCATGTAATAGGCGACTTTGTTGAGCGGTCATTTGTTGCCATGTCGCTGCTGAAAAAAAGCTCAAAAGCTCAGTGGGTAAAATAAAAATTGTTTATAGTTAGAATTACCGTGGGCTTGTTGCATCCATTGAAGAAGGCAGGATCGGAGATGGGGTCATTGAGGAAAGAGCGCAGGAGGTTGGCCCGGAGGCCTATGGGCGACTCGTTGGTCATCTTCACGCCGTTCTCCAGCACGGAGACGGGGAAGCGCGTGCTCGGGTAGCTGGTGAGCCACAGCCGAAACTCGCTTCGGGTTCGGTCCGGATCCAGGAGCCGATCCTCGCAGATGCGCTCCAGCTCTGATAGCCAACTTACGGCCAGGTGGCAGTTCTGCAGGACCACCCAGGTGCCCTCGCTTGCTGCCTGCACACCACAAACCACAGCACACAGTGAGCTTCATTCGCAATTGATGAGAGAGTCATTCATTCTGCTCGTGCCTTCGGCAAGGTGTTTACGGTTTCATAACTTAAAAAATAATATTAACAATGCTGGTGGCTATTGAGTCATGCCAAGGAAATCGATAAACACCTGTCCAGAACTTACTCATGGTTCAACCCTGAGATAGCAATTCCTAATACCTTGCATAGAGCTGCCTGTATATATGTTAGTTCTCTCAGCTGGGCCAGGCTAAAGGTAAGGTAATGGCCTGCAACTACTTGCTCATGTACACCACCATCATAGTCAAAAGCCGTTATCAATCCACCGCTGGATGAAGGCCACCGCACATCGTCATCATCCCTCACACTTAAGAGTATTTGGCTACTATAAATTCCCACGTGATAAGCTACTTTGTTGTGCTCTCATTTCTGGCCAGGTTTCTTCTGAAAAAGAGTGATTTAGCTCAGTGGGCCTTACCTGATAAAACACCAAAAATAGTTCAGTAGTTTAGTTTCTCACTATCTTGCGACACAATATTCCATCTCGCTGCTGCACAAGAGCTGAGCTCAGAGCTCCACCTCTGGTAGTCATCCTCTCAGGCATGCTCCCTCATTCGGCTCCACTTGAGGAACGTGAAATTTACAGCCTTGGTTCACGACTGCCAATCGGGCATCGAACTGCGGCCGCTCTCATTTGTTGAGCATGAAGGCACTTACACTTGACCGCCGCTACGAGGGAAAAGGGTGGGCATTTGACAATTGCCTCATCCTTTCGTTAGCCATCCCTTTTGGTCAAACGGATTGCGCAATCGTAACGCAGTACATCGACAGGGAAGCGCGGAGAAGTGCATGCTGGCCAGAAATGATATCCCAACGAAGTGGCTTATCACGTGGACATTTATCGCAACCAAATACTCTAAACGCATGTTTCTAAATGTGGAGGAACCAACTGGAGGACCCGGAGAAAAATCCAGGGACAGGAAAAAGAATACATGGAAAGGGACAAATGCAAATTAGAGGCATCGTTGACTGTTCCTAAAAGAGAGTGGACTTGGGCAGGATGTGTTGCGAAAAGGGATGAGGGATGATGGCCGGTGGTCGAGACTAATGATTGAGTGGCAGTCAAACGAGGGAACACGCCCAAGAGGACGGCCACAGCAGAGATGGCACAATGAGATCAGCTATCGCGCAGGAGTTGAATCAATCGTTGCAATCCGGAAACCACGAGGCATGGTGATGACTCGCAAAGGCCTTTATCCAGCAATAGATAGAGCACAGATGATAACCTCTCTGTTTAACCGTGGCGGTTTCTCTGCACTGTGAACTGTGCATGACTCCACAGGCAAAGTCTGTACATAATGGGCAAACGTGTGAAAGTCGTATCGCCTCGCAAGAGGCTAGAACTGGATCACAGTCCACAGTGGAGAAATTCCTCAACGGATGGTGTGGTTTCTTTTTCAGGGGGTTGATAATCTCCTGGTGCTTTGCAGGCTGGAGAAGCTAACAACATGGCTGCGTTGGCCAGGACTCACCTGCCAGCGCAATGACAACAACGACGATCATGATGATGTTGGTGAGAGAGATAATGTTGATGATGATGACAACATGAGTACCAGATTCGTGGGAAACAACAGAGGCCATTGGATGGCTTAGCAACCTTGATATAGACATTTAACGTTACTTCCTTCACCAACCCGTATTAAAGAATAATGTAAGTACCAATTATGATGATAATGAAGATTATAAATGTGAACAACGGTTATGTTAATCAGTGATAATGGTCATTATTAATGAGAATAATGATCATGATGACTGATGATGATGGTGGTGATGGTAGCGGAGGCATGCCTCAGACCATAGAAATCCCTCTGCCTCACCCTTCACCCCTTATCCCAATCAAAATCCGTCAATGATGTGAACAGAAACCTTTGCTTTTGTTGTGAAAAAAACCCCTAAAACTAACATTTAAAGCGAGAAAGAAGAAGAATGCAGATGCAACAAACGGAATGCTTAAGCAAATACTCAGTAAACATCATAAGAATACAAATAGAGTTAAATGCGTGGAGGTTCGTGGATAATGTGATGAGGAAACAGGGCAGGCATATTTTTTGCTCTGCAAAGAGCAGCTTATCTGCTAAGAGCTATGCAAACGTATGCGTTTGCAGGTTCCTGCACATGATGTAAATTTGCTATTTAATGGAATTTCAAATGAGATTCTGTGTCTCGGAAGGATTGTCATGCCAAAGTTGGAAATAAAAAGGCTGTGCCTTGTTGATGCTTTCCCATAGTCCGCTATAGGATCATTGGCTTATTCATTTTATACAATGCAAGAGTTTGTCGTTGGCAAATGGTTGCCATTGATTGTCAAGCACGTTATCTGATTTTCTTATCGAACTGGCCAGTAATTATATTGTGCAGGCCACTTCTAAATTAGCTGTATCAAAACGTGTATCTATCCTACTAATTAAACAAAAACTGCAATAATTGTTGGTTCATCGATGCCCAAATGGAGGAGTCTTTAGCCACGAGAGATGCCTGGGCTACAATCTCAACAACAACAACAACACTTGAATTGTGCCAATAGACGTACGGCTCAATGCCGGAGGATTCTGCTACAGAAATGTGAACTCCACGCTTCAATATAGCCCCACATGGCCACTAGAGTTCCCATGGATGTTGCGATGGGAAAATCGGAGTGCCTGTGGTTTGTCATCACTACGACCGCAAATATTGAATCGGTATACACCAGGTGTAGTGTCTCCTTGGGTAAAGGACTCGAAGGATGAAGCTGGTTTGGCATGGAAGCATATGGCGAAGTAATTTTTTTGGAATCACTTTGTTTTTAAACGCCAGAACCATTTCATTACGCTCAGACACAAACTACAATTATGGTGCATATCACATCTTATTAAATTTGCATCCAGTCCAGCGTATATATGACTGCAATGACAAAAATGACAACTATTTAAAATAACTCTTTACTTTATAATTACACTCTATCTAATTACATCTCGTTTGCAATGAAAGCAATGTGCACTCGATTAAATAAAGCAGTGCTTGAATACATTCGCTGGCTGGTCGTGTGGATCTGTGGATGTGCAGCATTCATTGCAACGGTGGTGATGTGGCCTAGCGGCAGAGTTTCACAGTTCTACACCAACAATATCTGCTTCATGGTGGACGTGAGAGATCACGTGACGTCATTCATTTGCAACAGTTAGGCCATCGTGTGCCAGCGTTACGGTCCAATTTTGAAAAGTTATCTGGGAAAATTACTTGGTTGGAATATATACATCGACTCATCGCCGCCTTCTGTGAACACTTGGCAGGACCCTTCTGAAATCACAAGAGCCTGCGAGCCTTTCCCAGATAAACAAGCGTAATAATATCATTAATTAGAAAATATACGTAGGCTTCCACAACCAATATTATGATTCATTGTTGGGTTAAGTAGTCGTGTAAACGTGTGTGTTGTAAACCCCCATCATGATTCAAGGGACACTTGCATTAATTGGCTGTGTCGGGTGGAAGAGGGTTTATGACACTCATTTTAATTAACCAACCGAACCAAATAATTAATATGTAAATAAAAAATAACGAATTAATGTCCTCCACAACTCATCAGCTTCACCTGAGCATAGTCATCATGTCATGGCTTGGCTTCGCGAACGAAGATCTAGACCTGAGCATAGTAGGTGCGTAACAATTATACCCCCCCACCTCACCTTACAACTCAATGAATCTTGGCTATTCAGGGCCACAAATTCGTTCAAGAATTGATTATGTTCTCAACAACGTGGTGACCGAAGCGGTCACCAAGCTCTGGAGACATCACATTAACCCGTTACATACAGCAAATATGAAGAGGAAATAACTTTTTTTCCACGTGAGATTTGATGCATTGCCATGAGCATAAGAATCACTATTCATTGTGCAATCGATGCGTTTTCAAAGACTTTGATTATACCATAGGAGGATATTTTGTTTTAACAGGTAAGGCCCACTGAGCTATGTAGCTGTTTTTCAGAAGCGACCTGGCCACAAATTATAGCTCAACGAAGTGACTTATCAAGTGTAAATGTATAGCAGCCAAATACTCTAAACGCGTGTTTCTAAATGTGGAGGGAAAAACCGGAGGACCCGGAGAAAAATCCACGTGACCACAGGGAGAGAGAACACGCAAAACTCCAAATACGTAGGCGTCAGGGTCAGGATAAAACCCACAACCTCCTTCATACCAGACGAGGGAATTAACATCTCGCCACCGCGAGATATGGAGTGAAAGCTGAGCTAATGTTAACGCGCTTCAACATTCATCCGGTTAGGCTGAAGAAGCAAAGCAATTCGCATATTTTCCCATGACGTGACAACCTGGTTTGGATTGGCTTTATCTGGTGGTGGATGGTTACAGTAAAAAAGAAACATTGACATTATACTTCCACGACATAACCCAAAATAAACTAATTATGGATTATATATGGAGCAATACAATAATTTAATGCAATGGATCTTACACCTCCGATTAGCACGGTTGGCCATGTACGATGGGAAAGAAGTTCAACATACAGTACATTCATACATGCAGGGGAGAGAGGGAGGAGCTTTGCATGTATCATTGCAGCGCCAACTGGGCATGCTGCCAACACGTTTGTTTGAATACTAAATCATGGGCAGATAGTGTTTTTAAAAATACAATTTCTAAAACTTTACAAATATTGTTTGGAAAGAACACACCAGAATAGAACAACATTGTAATATAGCACGCGCATAATTTACCGTGATCACCGCGTTACAATACAAACGTCTGTATTGGTGCCATTGCTAGCAATGGTGTTCAAAAACACAAAGGTAAAACAAAGGTTATATAAGAATGCGTGCGTACCTTTTCAATCATACGAACTGCGATGGGTCCCTGGCCTTGGCCCAGAGATATCGTTTCGATTTTGGAGCCTCCCATACCTGCAAGGGCATGCAACTGGCAAGTGATCGATCATTTTAATAATGTCAAGTGTACAAACTATGGTTTGTTACTCCTTTTAGAATTCACATGCCTATTCGTATGCTTCTTCAATTAAAGATGTAAAATTAAATGTGTTATTTTGAATTATAGCCAAATGTAGGTCGGTGTGTGGGTCGGTCTGGTAGGTAGGTGCGTGGGTTTGGTTAGTGGGCAGACTTGATCTTGAATGTAGAAAAAGCAATTTGAGAAAAAAAAACTGTCCCAAATGGGAAGCTTTGTGAAAATACAAGTTTAAATATTTCTGCAAGTGTACACATGGCATAGTCAGTAAAAAAACTGATCAACTAGCAATAAGTATACGTGGTATATGGGCACAAAAAAGCATAAATTAAAATGTCTTTTAATCTTCGTGCAGATTTCGTGCGTGGTTACAAATTAGCGGCATTGTATTCTAAAAAGACGAGTTTCTGACTTAAACATAAAATTATAGATAATAATAATAATCTGGTGGTCTATCAAGACACTACAATTCACCAGCGAGTCCTTATATATATTTATATATGTGCGGGGAAAAAACTGCTATTATATAAAACCCAGCTGTGTTTAGTTGGTATTAATATGGCAGGAGAAAACGCCTCTTTGCTTTCTAAAATGGCTTATGGAAAAGACAATTTCAGTATAATGTCCATTCAGCAGTATAAATGGGTTCACCATATTTTTGTTATGTTCGATCAGTAGGTCAAACGTCTGGTCAGTGTGGAAGAGTAGGCCAAATTACCCTCTCGAGAGACTCCTTGGAGCTCCCTCTGTTGGGAGGCCCTTCCGCCAGCAGTGACATGAGCAAGCAATTGCAGGCTGCACCTTTACCTATGCGTTAGTAGTTGCCGGTAAATATATATATGAGATATCAAAAGCATTTCTGTAATATATTTTCAGGGTCTCTAACAGTATTGCACTACGTCTAACCCATGCTGTCAATAGCATCCTCAATTGTACTTTAATGTATTCTCCCTACGCTTTGAAGCTCAGAACCCAGGTGGGATGCACAGTTTGAGGCAGCAGAACAAAATTGTTTGAGCGAGGCAGGCATCGCGAGGAGGGTGGGGAGGCAGGGTCGTGTTATACCGCACACCGCCTCCCCTGCACACTCTTGCATGCTGGCCTCACCACTACAGCTCCCGTCCGTCGCACGAACATTACGGCGCACCCATAGTCTCCACAAGGTTGGTCATTATTTGTGCATTGCCCATTAAGGAAATAATAGTTGATTATGTTCAAGCCACACTAAGCTATAGGCTCATCTGTATTCAGGCACTGGTAAGAAAATCACTGCATGTGTGCGAACACCCCCTCAAACTGACGGGAATGGCTATTAACTGACAAAACTTTAGTGGCAATATATTACCACAAATTCCTTTGCACAATGCTGCCACAGTGTAGTGATCGGCGCAATGGGCCTTTCAACCCACGGGTCGCCGGTTCAATTCCGTCTCCGTGAGGCAGTTGAAATAATGGAGCGAGTTTCTTGAACCCCTCCGCCGCCCCCGTCCACCCAGCGGTGTAACTGGGTATGCCAAAGGCGATCGGCGTGTAGACGGGCACGGTGTGGGTACTGCCACATCTTCCGCCTGGCCATGTGTGGAAGGGCAGCCTAAGATGCCTTCTAGAAGGGCTCCATGGAGCTCCTTCTGGTGGTGGCCCTTCCGCCAGCAGTAGCATTGGAAAGTAATCGCAGGGATGAAACTTGATCATTTTCCTCTATATTGCTTTGTGTTTGGCATGCAAGAGGGCTAAACTGCCCAGCAGCGACACTCCCTGGTGCCAAACTCCCACCCCGGGGGGTACTGCCACATATTCCACCAGGCCAGTGTGAAAGAGCAGACCAAGATGCTTGTAGAAAGGCTCCATAGAGCTGTATCTAGTGGCGGCCATTCCGCCAGCAGTGGAGTTAGCAAATTTATCGCAGGGCCTGCACCTTTTTCGTTTGCCTCTATATCGCTTTGAGTTTGGCATATAAGAGCGCTAAAACTGCTCACAACTCCCACACCGGGCCCCCCCCCCCCCCCCTCCATGTGCGTGCTCTGTGAGAGTGCGAGACCTCGCTCGTCGGCAAAGTGCATGAGCAGCGCCATCGGATCGGCGCCGGGTGACAGCACGAAGACGAGTGGGGTGACGTGGCTCGAGTCCCTGTAGCTGTGGGCCAGGTCGAAGGGCGGTGGCTCAATGTACCGCTCGCCCATCTCCTCAGCGATGTACTGCTGCACGGCCGGGATCACCTGCATGACACGCGTGTTTAACTTGACGTGCCGGTTGTTGTTGCTGTTGTCCTCTCTCTCTCAATTCTTATTCCAATTCTGCGATGGGTTTTGGGTCGAGGGACAAAGAGGTGCCCATTTGGAAATCTCGCAGCTTAGCAGTGCACCACCCTGTGTCGGAGACGAGAACACAACTCTGCAGGGTTGATGTCAGAAACACAGGGTGGTCCGTTTGTAGATACCTCACTATTTGGAGGGATGCACCTGATGCACAAATGGAAACGTAAAAACCTTTCAGCAATGCGCGACTGTCAGGGCCGTATTATCCAATAGGGCACAGTGCCTACCGTGCATTTTGTTTTGTTTGTATGCATGATACAAATATGTGACCAAGATATTATCTTGAATAAATATATTCATATGGCTGCTCGTTGCAAATTTATTTGCAGCAGTAACAAGTCGTTGACTCGTTGCAAGTGAGGCATATTATACTTAAAATAACAGACAAATCGTTAAGCTTAAACGAAAGTAAAGCAACATGGCGCTCTCAATGAGTCATCCTGTCAGACCATTGCATTTGTTATCAATGAAAATGAACGGCATCCTTTTAAAGCTGCGCCATCCGATATAATCAGAGCAAAACATAGTTGAAGGAATGTTCGCTAAAGCTATTTTTAGGCTTACCTTGTTTTTTTCCCAATAACTTCGAATTAAATCTGCTTATCTTGTGGCACATGGCGCGCTCCCATCGAATTAGGGCGCAGACTGAATAATGAACGTGTCAATAACGACATCTGTCCAGTGGCTGGACGCAGTAAGCGTGAAACAAGCGGAGTAACAGCGGCGTTAGCAGTAACACGGGGCAGCAGCAGTACCAACTGTGGAAAGTGATCACTGAAGGCCTACGAAACAGAAGTGCCTGGGGCCTACAAGAACCTTAATCCGGCCATGGCGACTGTGGTCATCCAGAACAGGCCGTACAACATACACGAAGGTGACATCACAGCAATACAACTCTGCTACTCCTGACGCAGTTATCTAGCTTGACCACATGAATGTGAAATTGTAGCTGTGGCTCTGCGTCTATATAAGAAAGAGGATACAGAGGGAATTCTAAGAGAAAACTATATTTCATTTCAAAGTCTCCCACCAATCTCAACACAATTATTATATCTTTTCACACTCTCCTCTGTAAAAGATGGGGCCATCGCTTGCACAATATTCCATCACTTTTTGGGGGGAAAAATGAAGAGGGTTAAATGAAATGTGGGGCAGCTGTAAATGCATCACACTCTACGACTGATGTCACTTCAATAGCTCTCTTTATTCGCACTGGGGGCTCATCTAGGAAGAATGTTCAATGTCAATCAGACCAACATTATGAATTCTCAGAGCTGGAATGATTCAAAAGTAATTTCTGAATCAATTTTAGCGTGAGGTGCTGAATTATGCAGTAATTGGTGATCAGTCTGAGTTCTTGAATTTTCTGTAATTGAGAAGTTGGTTCAATCAAGGGTAGTGACTTGAATTTGAGTCCAGGCTGTCAGAGGAGTGGCTCCGTGCTCTAACAAAATAATTAGACCCCTGAGCCAGCAATCCCTGAGGTGGGTGACATCAACATCAGGTGTACTTATCAGTTCGAAATAAATTAGTTTTTGCTCTAGAAGTAAAAGTGCATAGCTCCAGTGGCTTCCTAATATCGGAAAGCAAGAGCATTCCAGACGGCCGCAGATGCGAATCTAAAAGTGAGCAATGCAGCGGCCGTCTTTGTTTCGATGGCCAGCCAAAAGCCGCTGCGAGGATGAAAGGGTCATGTCATTGACTCAGTAATATAATGTGCTTTGAAGAAGCGCAGTTGCCAGAAACATCACATATTATATACTTTTCCTCTTAAAGGCAGTGTTATTGACGAGTTTTTTAGTTTTGTGGTTATTTGCGCTTGTGCACCATTGCCAATGCAACATCACCAAGTAATGCTTGCTATATTTAGGCTAATTGAGCAACAATAACAAAAACAACTACGCAAACTAGACTGGAACATGATCAACAATATAAATAAAAGGGTAAAATCGAGACAAATAAATATATGGAGTCTTGAATCACAGCACGACCCTTCAACTTTATCATTGAATGAATCGATGTTGCTGATGCCAGGGAAGGGTGCACGTGGTTACATCCCTGCACTTTGCCGTAAAGCTATTACAACTAAACTATGAAACTATTTTCATTTTACCAGGTGAAGCCCACTGAGCTATACAGATATTTTTCAGAAGCGACCTGGCCACAAATGATCGCCCAATTAATTAGCCTATCACGTGGAAATTAATAGCAGCCAAATACTCTGAACGCATATTTCTAAATGTGGAGAGAAAACCCGGAGGGCCTGGAAAAAATCCAGGTTATCCCGGGAAGAACATGCAAACTCTAAATATACAGGTGTCAGGATCGAACCCACAACCTCTTGTATACCAGGTGAGGTTGACATCTAACCACCGTCACACCCCAACATTGCTCAACCAGGATGATTGCTGTTGGCTGTGTGACTGCAGAAAAATGTCCATTGCGTTTTATCACCGTGCCTTGTCTGGTCGGATGCAGCGGAGGATGAGGAGCCGTTGGAAGCGAGTCAAACGCGAGCCCCAGGGCTCCGGTAGGTGGGCCTCATGGGGGGCAGGCGAGTTGGTAATGGTCTTCCACTCATCCAGCTGCACCGACAGAGGACGGAAACACACCACACACACCAAGTTGCAGCAGTTGGAAATAGCCTTCCATTCATCCAGCTGCACCAGTAGAAGAAGCAATGCCCGCCACATGGGAAAAGGATGGGCCCTTTGTGCAAGAATTTGTCATCATTGCTTCATCAGTTTTATATATATATACTTGTATATAATTCACTGGTTCGTAAATGCCAGCCCTGGCTATTGTATGTCTTCTGCCGCTTCAAGCAACAAGCCCTCCGTCGAAGAAATAAATGTCAGCATTCAAGGTTGGGCAAAAATGTTCGTTTCAATGTAAAATGAATGTGCATTGGATGTGGTCGTTGATTGAAATGTATGCACATCTGAACAACAGGGTAAAAAGACTCTTGTTTTGGACAACTTTTAATAAATTATTGTATATGTTGAGCAATACTGTAGGCCTTAATCATGACCACCCGTATCAGGAACAGCTGATACGGGTGGTCATTAAAGTTTAAACTTTAATGAACAAATTATAGTTAATTCAACTTCAGTTACTTTACACTGTTAATTAAGGTTGGGTTAATGACATGTCCCTTATTGCTGCCCAAAACTTGGGACCCACTGCTATATGTCCATTACGTTTTTTAGTTAAGTAACACAATGTGCTCGCTAAACATTCTCTGAAAGTTGATCAGGCAACCATATACAAATATTGCATCAATATTTATAGTTCTCATAAATAATTGTATTATTATTATTGATTGTTCACCCAGGAAAGCCTCGCCAAGTCTTAAGACACCTTGCTCAGGAGGATCCTGCCAAGTGTTCACAGTAGGGGGGTGATGCTACTGTGTGTAACCCGAATTGAGTAATTTTTAGGTTATTCTTTAGCCTTGGAATATTAGCCAATTACCAGCAGCTAAACCCATAGGCCAGAAGCTACATAATCAGGTATAATACGTTGTAAAATGTTATTCATTGGCCCTGATAAATTACAAGACATTTTAATCATGAATGCATTACTTTAGAATAAACTGTGAATGTCATTTTCTTGGTTCTTTTGGTAAAGTCACGTAGAAGGGAAGTAATAAAATAATACAACTAAATATATTATTATATTATATTATTATTATATTATGTTTATAATTTTATTACTTCCCTTCAACGTGACTTTACCGAAAGAACCAAGAAGATGAATCCCCGCAGTCACGAAAGGTTTTAAATCGAAATGTGAATCTCATTGTTTGTTACCCGTGATGTCGTGGTACCTACTTCAGGAGGCCTGATCATCAGCTGGCATGGTTCATCTAAATTCCTCAGTTCTCACTGTGAGGCTTAGATATTTTCCCCCTGATGGTGTGCAGTGTATTTCCGAACAAAATGTCATGACTTTTGCTATATGTGGTTGTGAAGATTACTCTTCAACATGCCGGTGAGCTGAAACAATAATAATTGGCCCGTGAAAACGCATGCACGCCCGATAACTAATTTGTTTTGGCTGTGTGCGATAGTGGCGGATTTCACAACATATATTTGGTCACATCATTACATGGCCAAACCCAAAAAACGATTATGAATCACCATTTGCATTGGTTTTTTTTAGCTATTGGGAGGAAATCTGAGACCCCAGAGGAAACCCATGCAGAAGAGGGGGAGAACATATACACCCTAGATAGAGCGGTGCCCCCAGTTGGAAATCGAACCCAGGCCCTTCTTGTCGTGAGGAACAAATGTTACCAATGTGCTATCCTCTTCTTGGTTCTTTCGGTAAAGTCACGTAGAAGGGAAGTAATAAAATAATAAAAATAAAACATAATAAAATAAAATAATTCTCACGACGTTTCGGCTACAACGCAAGCAGCCGTCTTCACCTGAAGACGGCTGCTTCACCTGAAGACGGCTGCTTGCGTTGTAGCCGAAACGTCGTGAGAATTATTTTATTTTATTATGTTTTATTTTTATTATTTTATTACTTCAGGTGAAGACGGCTGCTTGCGTTGTAGCCGAAACGTCGTGAGAATTATTTTATTTTATTATGTTTTATTTTTATTATTTTATTACTTCCCTTCTACGTGACTTTACCGAAAGAACCAAGAAGATGAATCCCTGCAGTCACGAAAGCTTTAAATCGAAATGTGCCACCCTGTCGCCCCAAATCACCTTCATGGTTACCATGTCCATGAATTACTATACACAGAAGATGCACATGATACAATAATCTTGACTTTAGTCGGGAGAAAGGCATTGTTAATTCAGAGTGGTCTTTGCAGCACTTTGAAGCTAATGTATGCATGTTAGATATTATTTGACACCGTACGTCGCCAACCTTGTTTCGATTGCTGTATACCACGTACATTTTGTGCATCAAGCAGGAGAACATAACTGCAAGACTATTAAAACTGGCATGGAATCAAATTAGTTCCATCTCAGACACTTTCATTAGTCGCAGCACGTGAACACCTATACTACCGTAGGTTCCAGAGGCAGTACAAGATTGTATATATACAGCATACACATCTCACGAGTGTCACACAACGTGTTGTGTAGGCACAGGAAGAAAGCCAGGTTACGCTAAATTATGCATAGTTTTAACAACTTATATGCATTTCGATTTAAAGCTTTCGTGACTGCAGGGATTCATCTTCTTGTTTCTTTAGGTAAAGTCACGTAGAAGGGAAATAATTTTACATATATATACGCTGCCAAGCCTGGTGGTGTTCATTCAGACGCTGTCTTTCCGACAGACCTGTTCTTCACCTGAGGGCGGCTGCTTGCGTTGTGGCCGAAACGTCGTGAGACTTATTTTTATAATGTTTTATTTTTATTATTTTATTATTTCCCTTCTACGTGACTTTACCGAAAGAACCAAGAAGATGAACTTATATGCAATGTAAGTAAAATAAATATTTGTTGAAGTATATTGATGTTCAAACAAACATTGCAGCAGTGCTCATCTTCATTGGTGGGCCTGAGCCAGTGGTGGAAACTACATTACGATGGCAGGGCTCCCTACAAGTGACCACGACTTTGAACGGGAGTTGTTGGAGGGGGGGGGGGGCTGTTAGGCACTGGGGGTTTGTGTTTGGACTTGAACACAGAGCAGACATCGGCAGTGCGGATAGCCAGCAAGACAGAACTCCAGATGGTGTGGGCAGCAGAAAAGACAAACCGATTTAATATGTCTACGTCTGCCAATATACCCCATTCATATGTAAATTATAAAATACATGAAGCGTGCAATTAAGAGGCTGGGTAGCCTTGGCGTGCTCGTACTGAGGTGGTAAATTGCAATGGTTTAGATGTTTCAACGCCATCTACACCACTTGCAATGCTGCAGCGCAGTATTTCCCAACTCCGGTCTCCACGGAGCCCACAGTCCGCCTCTCTATAATTACTAATCTTTTCTATTCAGAGGTGAATTAAGCCACTGCGCACTGCATGCACGTGATGGTTGGTAATCAAGGGAAGCGGCAGAGTGGAGGAGGGTATGAGGATTGGAAGTAGAAATGCTGCTATATGGGGCATTATCTAAGCACTTTGTCTACGTCCAGTGCGTGGCTAAGACCCTAAGGATAGATTTCAAGGCAAAAACCATCGTATATCATGTGATGTTTGAATTATTATATTTGGAAAGTTTGTGAAATTGCTACTTGGACAAACTTTGTATAGGCGGGGGGGGGGGGTTAAACATGCAGATGAGTGGATCGAGTAACCCCTCTGTTCAACTGTTTAATTAGAATCGATGTTATATTATGTATCACAATTGTACTTGATAAAATGTCCCAACTATAGCTATCTGGTCTCATTCGAATACAGTCAGTATAATAGTATAACCTCTATATGCTATGCAGGCACTCCTAGACTTTATTTGGTGTACAATAAGTCTTATATTCTAAATTCTAAAACAAATGTCGTGATTTTAAATGGACATAAATTTACTTTGTCATAAAAGTAACAAACATCGGCTATCGTGAATGTTCAAATAAACCTGTGCCTCTGAGGCTAAAACAGAGTTCTAAAATAGAGTGAAAAGTTTTCATCTCATGTACCTTGACATGAATTACATTTACAATATATTTAGTTTTGTCCTAGTTTAGTCCCCATTGAAAATCCATATTCCTATATATTTTACAAAATATTAACCCAGACATCTCACAGGCCTAAAAAAAATGCGAAACTCTTTTCACCGTATCATATACTGTAAAGTTAATAAGGTGGCCATTTTGATTATGGTCATTAGTTAATCTGTAATACTGCATTCTGTTCATGAACAGAAATGCACTCTGCTTATTAAAATGTGTATAAGCATATACGAAATGCTCTTCATAGTTTTGCACCACCTGCTGGGAGCTTCTTCAGGAGCTTCTGGAGCAAAACGTTGGACATCATGCCAAACAAACAGCATGCACTACAGCCCGAAAACCCGTTGGAAGAGCTGTCGAGCATAAACCACGCAAAAAAAACGACCCAGTCAAATAAGTATTTGTCTCGTGTGTACGCATGTTGAACTTCCTTCGCAACATACGTGCTAATTGGAGGTGCGGTTAGGCCTCGGCAAGGTAAGGTAAAAGGCCAAAAGCAACGAGCCTACCTTTTACCCTTACCCCAAACAAATTACCTGATTACAAGGTAATTACTGGGGTACTACACATGAAAAAGGTTTATAACGGGTAAATGCTAGGTAGAGCGCTTTATCTATATATATAAAAAAGGGAAATTTGGGAATATGTGTGTCTGTTCGAAATGTTTAGCATACTTCCCGACATGCAACAAACTTGAAATTTGAAAAAGAAAAAAAATACTTTTGTATTTGGGGGGGGGGGGGTGCAATAATGGATATATTTTGCACGGCAAGTGAGCAGTGACGTCACATCGGTGATGTCACCCGCACGCGGCAGCGTTACGCGGTGTGCCTGCTGACGTCACGCATCCCCTCCCCCCCCCACCCTCTGCGTAGGCCGTGTATTAATCCAAGACAAGAATCCAAGTCTTGGGCGAAGCCGGGGTAGTAAAACTCGTAAAGAATACTCTTGATGATTCAAATTTTAAATGGAGGCCACGGACTGAGCCACGGAGCTTTTAGCGAGTGGTAAACAAGATATTTACCGGGTAATACTTTGCGCTACCTTGATCCTACCGGGTAATTCTTCTGTGCTACCTTTACCCTACCCTTTACCTAACCCCTTGGCATGTCGACACCTTTACCCTTTTACCCGGTAAAAAGGGTAAATTACCTTACCTTCCCAAGGCCTAGGTGCGGTCAATCATTCGCGATGCGAGGAAAAGTACAAAACGCAGTGCATCTCCCTGCTGCCGCCATAGGAGCCTCACGTTCTCGCAGAAGTGTCCTGCAAGTCCGGAGAAGCCGGGGAGGTCAGAGCAGCGAGCCAGCTCTGCCCACGAGCGGTTCTCGAGCCAGGCCGGCGCAGGGTTGGAGGAGGGACTGGGCAGCGCCACGCCGCCCGTCAGCAGGAAGCGCCAGTCGGCGTCGCTCACGCGGCCGCGGCTGCGTGCCAGCCCCACGCACAGCAGGAACGAGAAGAGCAGCTTGTCCTTCTCGAACAGTGAGCGGCACACGTTTGTGTAGATGCTGTGGGGGCCACACACACAGGCGCGCCACGCCGCTCCGGTCATTTTACGCTTGTCCTGTGCCACGCGAGGTGGCATAACTTTACTGGTTCCAATGTATTTATGAGGCCAATAACAGTGAGTTAAATGAGAACCATTTAACTTGAGTGGGTTATTGTATTAGCCGCATAGTTGTCGGTGCTGGTAACATTATCTCCCTTAGCTGATACCAATTTCTGCTATGGCTCATGGACTAACAGTGACATCTGAATGTGCTAATGAAATTTGAGAATATGTAAATTTTTATCATTAAGGCAGAGTGTTTTCGATAAATTTTACGTTAAAGACAACCACTTTTTTCTAATTAGTGAATGTGCAACACAACGGCCAAAAATTCTTTCAACAAAAGTCGTTCTGGTCTAAACTCGAGTTGATTTAAAAATCGAATTTCAATGCTTGACATTTAAAACGGAGGGGTAGTGCAGTGGACTGCGACTGCACTACGAACCCAGTCCTGGCTGCCCCATTCACCAACACAAACTGACCAGTGTGGTGAAGTATGGTCAAACAACTGCTGTGATAGTTACGGCATGGGGAGGCCTTCAACTGACAGTGGATTGACAAAGGGCTGTATTTATTGGTATTATTACATACTTAAATATATTATATATGGTTGCTAAATTAAGTTGAATACATTTCAATTGATGTTTACAATTCGCTGCAGAAAAAAAAATCTTTATTTGTTTATCGTAGCCTCTGTAGCATAAACACCAATGAGTGTTAAAATGTCAATTATTTCTGAGTGTATTTTTTGTAAAAAGTGTGAACAATTGCACGTTTGGCATTAATCATGTTGTGTATTATACATAAAATACATTCATATATATAAGCTTGTTCAAACATTGCTTCCAGAAATTAAGTGTTTAGTAACACTAAATTGGCATGCATCATTACAAAGAGCACCAAATGAAGACCAGTTCAACATTATTCATGAATCTCATAACATCAAGGACTAAATCTGCTCGGTAGAGAGCTGGCGTACCCTGACCATATTGTGGCAACCGTTAATGAATCTGAAATGGTATCTTTTCATTGTTGCATAAAAGATTACACAACTAAAAAAACGTATTTCTATACTAAAATTTTAACTGACCCAATTAGCAGTGATGCCATTCTCAAGGCAATGTATTGCCAAATTAGGTGTGAAATAAGGGCGCATTACTTTTTAAAAAATCCCAAGAGCTTATTGACGCCGCTAAAATGAATTGTTCAATGCCAGGTGGCACGTTCTTAACTGGCTCGAGTCTTTGTAAACACACATGAGAAGCTCTGCAACGGTTGAGTTCAGGAATTGCTTATCGGGTGAAAGCAGGTGACACCATCAACTGGTCTGTGGCGTCTCATTGAGCTGCACAGGAAGTGCAATTACTTCATGATTTTGGATTGATCCCACCGCATGAAACACAATCCTCTGCAACGAATTCATGCCAATGTTGCCCCTAGAGCCAGTATATTCACAAAACATGGCCTAAATAATCAGAGGCTATGGCATGTCGAAGTGCATTATCAGCAACTGCTATATCTCATTACTTTTTGAAGCCATTAGCTGATTCAATGTCTACTTGTGAAGATGTAGTGAGGAATACAAATCACGCATATGCACGAGGTTCTGCCAAGGTTTTTAACATTGGTTTTGTCTTTGGATATATATTAGGGATGCAGAAAGCCAACGGATAACTGCATGCAAAATGCCTTTGTGCTGGATTATGTCCTACAAGTTTGGGCAACCCCTCGGATCAATTTGGCCCAACTTCTTTGGAGCAAGTCCCAAATTGGCAACACGACGTTTTACGAAAAGTAAATTTCTATTGGATCACCATCAAAAGCGTCATCATGGTCCCATGATTCAGGCAGACAGAGAAGGCCTATGCATTAACGCTTTCACCCTCAGTTGGAAAGAGTTAAACTTGTGGAAGGCACTCGACTCTTGAGCCTCCATTATCATTCATAACACACGCAGGCGATAAGGTTGAGCTCAATTATAATCCTAACATCTCCAGTTAATGAGAATTCCCCTGAACAGCCCCTCCCCACCCGGCTCACATTAAGGCCAAGTGTGGGAAGAGCTCAAACGCTGCAATTAGCTGAGGAGAACAAAAATTAGACGTGAAAATCACCATTAAAAAAATATATATATCCAACAAAGACAAATGGCCAATATTACCCAAGTGAGGGGATGGCAAACCAAGGTTGTCATTTGTTTGGTGATTTAAAATCTAATTTTTTCTTCTGAATGTGAAATCATAACCTATATCTACCGTAAGTGTAACACATATCTCCCAGCTCTAGCGGGAACTGGGCACCGTGTACAGTATAGCTATTTGGCAGTCCTGAGACGGTGGTAAACATGTCATTTTCCCCCGGTGGAGGCCAGCGTCTCCAGAGGATGGCCACTGTTGATCTCCCGCAAAGTGGCACTTATTTTACAGACTCTGGGGGCGGGGGGGGACACCAATGAACTGAGTTGACTCCGGGCAGTAATTTGAACCCACAACCTTTCCGAATGCGAGTGGAGCTCAGCCTGAGAAGGACCATAGCAGACCACTGGGACCACATTTTGGGGAACCACTGCTTGGGAGCGATGAGCACGAAGGCAACAATCTGTGAAGTCTCCAACGCTTTGGTGGCAATACACGTTCACCATGAATCCGTTAACCTATGTGTGGGGTTACGTAAAATAACGTCAACAGCAGCTTAAACAGATTAACATTCTTATTTGTTTTGCCACTTTCTGATATATGTAGATATTTCTTTCTCATCAGGAGGAAATTGCTTTGCGTGAACACACGTTTATAATGTATCTGTAATTGTATTTTCACGGCTGGAACAAGATGTAGGTAGTGGCAAACATTATGTGCTAGACAAACTACATCACTTAATTATATCACAGCTACATTAATAATTAATTATGCTTACAATTATTTTTCGTAGTTATATAAGAATGATGCTACCTATTCTTTTTTAAATGAGATCTGCGTTTGAAGCTGATATCTGGTGCACCCCTATAATTTTATGAATCTGCCCCCCCCCCCCCGAGCTAATTAGAGCTCTCCAACTTTTGCTTAGTTTACTTATACCCAGTGCCACCAGTGCGCAATCGTTCATATTCACGTGCAACTGGAAAAGCTACACAGCAGAGGGTGCAAGCGCACACAGAGCTACGGGCAGAGCACCCCGTGCCCTTGGCAACGTCCCCGCCGCACACCTGTAAGTGAAGTGACTGTTGAGGGCCTCGGTGCGTTCGTGCAGGACACTGGAGGGCCGGCTGGAAGCGATGGACTGCACATACTGCCCGATGAACCATGCCAGCGAGTACTGGTACATGGGGTCCACATGCGCCAGGTTGGAGATGACGAAGAAAAGGACACTGGAGTGTGACGCCACCTGCCAGGGAAGACGAATTGTGGACAGGAAGAAGACTTTTGGCGCTGCGGTGTGCGAGATGTTAACTGCCTCGCCTAGTATACAGGCGGTCGTGGGTTCGATCCCGACCCCGATGCCTGTAAAATAGTTTAGTTTAGTTTTAGGATGCGAGGCAAGAACATGAGCCACTCTCAAATACCAATACATATTGAAGGAACTGCGTTGCGAAATAAAGAGTGGTGGACAAGCACATTTAAAAATACCTTGATTAACACGACTTTTTAACAAAATTATATATTAGTGTAAAATTAGGACAATGGTCTTTCTCACAGCAGATAGACAGACTATTTCGTAGCGACATATATGCAATGAATGATTTGGTGGTGCTGCATTGGCAGTGGTACGCAATAACAATTAACATAAAAGCTCGATTATACAACAGGCACCCTGAAATTTAAAAGTCCTCCTCCCCCAGCCTACGTTCAGAAATGAGTGGGCAGTGTTCAAATGCTACTATTAGCCAGGAAGAGAGCACAAGAAAAGCCAATACATACACACGAGCAACGTCATGAAATTTAGAGGAATGGAAATACAATTAATATCCCCTGACACAACAGGTGCCCTCAAATGAAAAACCTGTTATATAATTACATAGTTTGTTTGCTTTGTAATATTAAAAAACAATGATCATATCTCAATGATGCGTCTGAAATTCCCCTGTGTCTTCTGGGCACCGCATTGTTCAACGCATCCTCCAAATTTAAAGGGCCACTGCGCCGAACGTTTACCGGCTTTACATTATTTTGCAATATACCAAAAACACGTGCATTACGTTAACTCTTCAAGAGACGGTGGACGGCTCATGAAGGCATTCACCTGGCGGTCGATTAATCAGGGCCCGATCAAGAAGGATTTTGTGAAGCAGCTCTCGAATATCAAACCTCTCGAAGAAGTGTTCTCTTAACTCCTCCAGCCCACCTTCTTCAACAGTGCAACCCAAAGTGCCGAAGAAGAACTTACGGTAAAATTTTTATTTAAAGCTTTCGTGACTGCAGGGATTCATATTCTTGGTTCTTTCGGTAAAGTCACGTAGAAGGGAAATAATAAAATAATAAAAATATTAAACAATAACATTCTCACGACGTTTCGACTGCAACACAAGCAATCATCATCAGGTGTGAAATACACAGCAAGAAATTTTTGAAAAAAGTGGCGTTTTTTTCTTAACATAGATGGACTCGTCCATCTGACCAACTGCCAAATCGCCGTCCGTGGTGCTGACGTTAAGATAAAACCGCCACTTTTTTCAAATTTTCTTGCTGTGGATTTCACACCTGATGATGATTGCTTGTGTTGCAGTCGAAACGTCGTGAGAATGTTATTGTTTAATATTTTTATTATTTTATTATTTCCCTTCTACGTGACTTTACCGAAAGAACCAAGAATATGAATAAGAACTTACGGGTTTGTATCCATTTCGGGTTTCATCGATCTGCTTCTCGGTGCGCACTGTGACCTCCTGCTTGTCGGCAATCTCGCTGGACAGCTGTCGGCTGGATGACAGGATCGCAATGGCCGTCTCGTCCTCCAGAATGTTGCCTTGTGACGTAGACAGCACCTCCAAGATCTGGTCTTCCAGCTCTTTCAGCTGTTTCCTGCAACATCCGTCCAACAGTACCGGGTTATCGATGGATTACTCCAGATACTGAGTCTGCATGAACCACTACACTCTCTCCATCAATGTACTTTGGTTTTTGTATTTAAGTTTGTTGTCTGTCCCCGCACCTCCGATTAGCGAAAGAAGTGCAACACATCAACAATATAATAGTTTTATTAAACTATAGTACCTTTAATACCTTCCTTTAGATAAGGATGTAGAATTTGCAGGTGGACGCAGCACCAGCCTGAACATGGGCAAGTATGCCAGTAGGGGGCAATGTTGCTACGTGGTATTCATGGAATCACGGACTGTTGGAACAATCACGGAATAAATTTAAGACACAGCGTAAAGAGACATAAAATAAAAACACACAAAGATTGGGCAGCGAGAGAGATCGGACGTTGAGATACTGGGACACTGGAAATAAGTAGCGGGAAAAACATCGAAGAGACTGAAGATGAAGGAGAGAACAGAGAAGGAATATGGAGAGAAGTGAAAAGTAGAGAGAGGAAAAAAAACATAATAATGCAAGACCTGAAAATCACAAAAGGAGGGAGCGAATGAATGGAAGCTATTCCATGGAACAAGGTGAAAGAAGCAAATGTAAATCTACAAAATTAATGCTTGGGGATACTCACAGAGAGCCTGAGCACTCATGATAGATGTATAGCCATACCAATTCCTGTGTAAAGCCAACGAAAGTGAATTATGTGCCAACCTTTAAAGTGAGAACATGATCAGTATGTTTTTGTTTTTGTTATTCATTACATATTTTGCCACCGTATGTGGCATCAACAAAGTGAACAACCTAGCGAGGGCGAGATAAGTATTGAGCAAGCACTTCTCAGGGGCTGCCTGCATACCTCAATCACCACACCCATCACAAGCCTCATGCGCCAACCATTGCCACACCAGAAAAATATGGTTTGATTTCTCATGTTGAAATTCACATTGAAACACACACTACTGCAGATTATGTCTGTGAAACATAGCACCTTTGTGATATTTGTGCTGTTGGAATAGCGTAAATTTTTATTTTACCAGGTAAGGTCCACTGAGCTATATAGATTTTTCAGAAGTGCCCAAGCCACAAATGATAGCTCAACGAAGCGGCTCATCATGTGGAAATGTATCGCAGCCAAATACTCTAAACGTGTGTTTATGAATGTGTAGGGAAAAACCGAATGACCCGTAGAAAAACCCACGCAACCACGGGGAGAACATGCAAACTCCAAAAATACAGCAGGCGTCAGGCTCAGGATGTGAACACCGCAACCTTCTGTATACCAGGCGACGCAGTTATCATCTCCCCACCGTCAATTGTACTTTTATTATTAATTATATATTCATTGTTAGATGCATTGTGACTCATTGGCCGTTTTGTAGCGTTCAGATTTCTACAGCACAGCATCGCATGACATCTATTCGCCCTTGACATATAACGCTAAATAAATGCACAATACAGTTCCGCTTAGTAAAGCATCGTTTTTTTAAAAATAGAAAACGTTTCCGAATCAGGTTTTGTCAATACAAGAATTATTTTTCACCAGTTTCAATTCCAGTTCGCTGATCTTTTGGATAAAGTAACAATTGTCGTACTTTAAGTTGTACGCGGAGCTTCTGGCACCACCATGGGCTTGTGGAATGTTTACCACTCGCTTCGGGGCTGGCAAAAGAGACGAGTTTTTGTCCCATCGAGTAGGAGCAGGAAAAGACTTTTTAAAGTTTCCTTCAAATGCCCAAATTTCAGGAGGTAAGATAGGCAGGAAAGGTGCAGCCCTGCAATTGTTCGCCCGTGCCACTACTGGTGGAAGAGCCGTAGGGAACCCCTCTCTAATGTATTTTCCATACTCTCCCACACTGGCCAGACGTGTTTTGAAGAGGTGGGGGTGCCCACACTTTACCCCGCCACACGCAACCCGCCCATCGACTGGCTGTGGCGTTGCCCATTCACTCTGCTGGGGAGACAGCGGCGGGGAGATTTAAGAAGCCCTCATCATCGTTTCAACTGCCGCGCCGTGGAGATCGAACCGACGACCTCCAGATTGCAAGTCCAGTGTGCTCAACGTTACAACGATGTGGCAGCATGCTGAAGTAAAATATAAACACGTTAAAGTTGGAGATAATAAATCAAATGATCATTTGCGAATGTTATTTGCCTCTCATGGAAATTATATGCGAGCTGTGAATCATTGGATGTAAGCCTTTTGTTCAACAATTTCCGGCGCATTTATTGAGCTGTTCTGTCAAACACGAAATAAAACTGATAATGGGGAAACACAGGCAAGGCTGCATTGGTGTGAAACAAATAAAGGCAATCCCCCACTCGCTGTCCACATTGATCTGGATTCTTTTGCTCAATTTGCACGTTCTGGTTAGCAATGAAACAGCTCTGTACAAAGTAACAAGGGAGGAAACTACTTAATATTCTAAATGAGAAAGTGGAATTGCTATACCCACAAAAGCCTTAATAAAATGACAAAAACCTGCTGGATTCAAAGAGAGAAGAGTGTCAGCACAGCCAACATTCGCGTAATCACAGAGACAGGGAATGGGGTTAGTGGGAGATGTCCTCTCAAAGGAATAGGAGACTTAACCCCAACCAGCAGAAATCAAATTAGGATCCCACGTTGAGCCCCTTTCCAGGCCCGACACTGCGTATCACAAAGCACGACTGATAATGCATCCAATAAAACATTCCACCGCGTGTTGCTGTGTTGTCAAGCAACGGCTGTATTTTCCGCATACAAGAGAGGACTCGTGGAAACTGTAAGAGCTGTTTTTACTTTGGCAAAGCCTTAAAATTATAAGACGTGCTTTTATTCCTGTATTTTAAAGGTTAATTTTGTAATCCCGATATATGTGATTTATTGGTGCTGCACAGGCACTTGCCACCATTATCGTATTCTCCCGGATAGTAAGACACGCAAAGTATCAACAAGGCTCGATTATTGCAACTCACTACTCTACGGGACGTCTGAAAAAAAACCATTACAAAACTGCAGCATGTAGAATAATTATCTGGCACGTGTCGTAACTGGTACTGCAAGATCTGACCATGTCCGCCCAGTGCTTGCTGAGTTGCATTCACTTCCGGTTGCCGAACGAATACATTATAAGGTCACATTCATTACAAGTGCTTGACACAAATGAACCTCAATACCATGCTGATCTCGTCGGGGAGCATAAACCATCATGTGAACTCAGCAGCGGCTTTTGGATAGACATCGAACAAAAATGGTCACCGCATCGTGCGCTTTCAAATGCGCTTCTGCAACAGTCTGGAATGCTCTTCCTTCCGATATTAGGAAGCCACTGGAGCTATGCTACTTTTAAATAATCTAGATATAAAATTAATTTCTTTAGAACTTATTTTTGTGTTGAGTTTGGTTTCCTTCCCCCGCACCTCCTGATAAGCATGGTTGGCTCCGTACGGTGCGAAAGAAGTTCAACATACATCGCTACTTCCCAACACCTGGACTAAATTCGCAACTACAGTACACGCTTCATACCCTTGTATACCACCTTCCCAGAACATCGCATCTTCCATCTAAAACTTTTTTTCTTCCCAAAAACACTGATAGTGTGCATCTTATATTCCACATCGTCTCATAACCCGAAGAATATGGTGCATAATTAGAAAGTATTTTGAAAATGCAGTTAAATGACAATGGTAAGTTAATGATAGTAATACAATGGCAATTCTAAAAACCAACAATACTTTTTAACAATTTTCACGTCCACACTCTGCCAATAGATAAGCGCAAACACGGTAAATGTCCACATCATTGAATATAATCCATTCACATGTAAACCAAATCAAGTTAATTGCCATATTTGTTGAATTGGTAACAACAGAACAATTAAAAACTCATGGCCTACCATGCATTAGGGAAAGACTTCACTCTAATATTAGCCATGTGCTTGTGGGTAGCTTTGCACAATGGAAGCTCACCCAGCACATGAAGGATGGGAGGAGGGGGTGGGTGCTGATTAATTCCACAGAAAGCGATTGATGACACAGGAGCTCGTAGCTTAGAAGTTAACGTTGCTAATGGAAGGAAAATGTGACACAAGTTGTGAAAAATAGCGAACAGAAGCCTTTATCTATGGGAGTGCACGATGCACACCCCACGAGGGTTCTCCTCGGCCTCGATGTGGCTCTAATTCAAGTGCCCCGAGCAGTCACTTCAGGAGCAATAGTTTTCGCTGCAAGTCAGCGGGTTTGCATCTGATTTAATTATATTTTGTACAAAGTCATTATGCCCTGTTGTGGCGCATTATGGGTAATAGCTGTAATAATAAAGACCTCTGTTTTGTTGTTGTTCATCTCCACTTAACAAATACAATCTTGCGTAAGAAGCATGACTGCAAATGACACAAAGTGGAAACCGGTGAAGGGTTTGTTTGATTAAACAAATGCTGCTGGAAAATATCGATCAGGAATGCAAATAGGCCGGTGAATATTTGTTTTTATCTGTACACGGAGATGTGGAGATGCAGAAATGTAGGATGAAGGTCTCCCGAAGCTCCCATCACCACAGCTGTCAACCCACACGGTTCACCACGTATTCTTGTCACAGGGAAATTGAGGTTTTAGGTCCATACGGCGTACAGCCGTTTCAATACGGGCAAACAAAATATATTTGTTTGTGTTTCTCCCTCGTGATGGGACTTTGTAGGATGAACGTTGAGATTTATAAGGGCACGGGGTGACCAATAAGGTCTGAATTGGTCTGAAATAAGGTAGGCACTGATAAGGGGTTGACATGTATGCATCGTCCTCATGATTCTGCGATGTCAAAATCCACCAAGGACCTTCACACGAATTGATTTTATTACTCCGTCTCCTCAATTGCATCCACTCAGAGATATTCCAATTAGTTGTCTGTTTGCATATGTTTTTGATTATATTATTCTAGGTGCAATAGGAACATGGACCCAAAACACAGGATGCTTTTATTGAGATAATTTCACTTGTTTACTCAGGAAAAACTCAGAGTCTCAGGACTGTTTTTCATGAGGGATTTTCGCATGGGGGGGGGGGGGGGGTGATGAAATGCATAATCCCACCTGAGTAACTTGTAGGTAATTGTTCAGCTTTGGGGATGTTTGACCAACATCAGTTACATTGTTTTTTTGCTATGGGAAGACACCGCACAACCCGGAAGGAAACCCACGCAGAGACAGAGGGAGAACGCGCACACACAATCGATACAAACTGCACACAGAAAGGTTTCCGAGTCGCGAATCGAACCCACCCAAGGCCCTTCTTGCTGTGAGGTGCACGCGCCGCCCTGTTCACTGGCTGTGTGGCACCGGTGAACCTTACCGGTTGTGGGCCCCTTCCAGGTAGAGTTGATTTTTGGCCTCTTCCAGCTCCGGCTTTTCCCTTGCTGCCACAATGCTGAGCAGCTGGTCCTCAAGCCCCCGGGGTGTGATCATGAAGTTCAGCAGGGTCACCTGCAGCACAGTTACAAGCTTTACAACACCGGGGGCATCTTGGGAGTGTCGCAGGTCCACGGGTATACTCCACAGATAATTATTAAGCCCTTCGAAGAATTAAAGCGATTGAGAATGCGTGCCCCAGTTACCAGGGTGATGTTGTGGTCACATAGACTGAAATAAAGAGATAATAAGTGGGTTTTTATACGAAGAAAATAAAAAGTTCAACAACATTCTGTAAATAAATGGAAGGCTACTCTCCAAAATTTGTATTTGTTTGTAGAAAAATCTTATAAATTTATTTTTGCAGCTGCATACAAATGGTTTGGCAATTTATTTTATTAGAATGCTCTGTTAAACAATTACGTACCATTCTATTTTGTTGGAATAATTTCAGTTTACTAATAATCTCTACAAACAAATAAAAAGGCAATTATAGTGTTAAATCGATAGCTTCCAAGCACGACCTTAAAATCAGAAAATTCAGGGCACTCGTTAACATCAGCCCAGATCTATCCACTGGTGGATGGAGACCCTCCCCATGCTGGCATTATACTTTACCATCTTAATCCACCTCAGGAGATTAATCCTCCACATGAGCTAATTACATAACTCTATCTCCACCCGTGGTCATCCTTTTTGGGACGTTCTTCATCTTGGCAGCAATTCCGTCACCAGTTTTGTCCATCTGTTGTCTTCCCCACATAGCGACATCCCGCTCATGGCCACCTTGCTTGCCTTAACATTCAATATGAGGCCTCTTAATTTGCATTAATTCTCTCATCCGCGCGTTCCACTTTTAGAGTAAGTCCTAGCGTGCACAGGAGCGGTTCGGATATTACTCTCCACTGATGTTGGCTGTGGCGCGATATTGTAGTCAGTCGGGTTAAAAATTCAAAGTGCTGTGCCCTGCGCCACTACTCCCTCCTACACGAGCATATCCCATGAACACATAAACACACAATATGAATGTGCTGTTCACACACTGCATATGATATGTATGTTGAACTTCTTTCGCACCGTACGTAGCCAACCGTGCCAATCGGAGGTGCAGGAAACACACACACACGCAATGTAAATACTGCACAGGTTAACTGTAAGAGTCTCCAATGTACGGAACGTAAATGTGTCATCCGTATACCACACAGACGCGCCAAATGCAGTTGGCACACTATGGCTTACATTTCAAACACACTCGTGCCCCGCTGCTGCTTACACTATATCACACACGGACAACGCGGGTGTTATGTACGAAAATCCACATCTTCGATTAGCACGGTTGGCTACGTATGGTGCAAAAGAAGTTCAACACACGTACACAAAAGCCGATATGCGTACAATTCATACAATTATCATTCCAAGAATTTGCCACAGCTCAAAACTAATTCCCCACAGCAATACAACGCCAGGAACATAAATACCATGCACCTCGTAATAAAAAAACACAGCTTCTTGGTTCTTTCGGTAAAGTCACGTAGAAGGAAAGTAATAAAATAATAAAAATAAAACATAATTAAATTATTCTCACGACGCCACCAATATATTATTTCCCCTGCCGCCCACGTTACGATAAACGGATCGGCAGACAACATTCCTTGTTTTCGTTGTCGGCAAGTAATGATTAATTTATTAAAAACTATTACGACAACATTGCCACGCAGGAGCTGCCTACTGCTGTGATATGATGCTTGAGAATCTCGCGGGGCATTTTGTGCCGGGGGGCCCAATGCAGGCACGTCCACACACTTTCGCACTTTCGGGTGACACATTTGCTGGGAGCCACGTTCAGTGATCGTAGCCACTGGAGACGAAACACACCATCAGTGCTGTCTATTAACCGTACATTGGGGTTCAAGGGACGAGCCTCTTGCACACTGCCTCCCAGAGGCAGCCTCCTAATTGCTTGGCAAATTAAACCTTCCCATTTACTTTTCGTCTGCCTCGACTTTTCTTCAAACTCATTTATCAAATGTACGGGCGAGAAATAGGTGCACGGTGCGGCTGGCACGGAATGGCAATTTGGCTGATTAGAGGCGAGGAGTGGTTTGATTGCTTGACGATGGGGCTACGGGTAGACATTCATTTCCAATTACAGTACCGGGCAGTGTATCAAATTAGCCAACTTCAGGGTCCATTTAGGACAGTTGCATTTTAATGGCTTATGTGTGTATTCAAATTGTATTGCCTTTTTGGGCATTAGGATGTTAACAAGCCATACATTCAGCATGTGCCTAACAACGATGCACTCCATTACTGTATTATTATAAAGGGATGATTAGGTGGCTTGGTAGCTGCCACTCCTTCGCTCTGGATGAAGGCATTTCTGGATTGAGTTGAAACCGGAGTCCCTTGATGGGCGCGATGCTCTTTATATGCAATTAGTTCTTGTTTTTCCATGTACTCACAAGGGGTCGCTCCTGCAAATGAGACTGTCCTTGTCTCTTGAGTTCTCGCCGGGTTCAACAAATAAACTGAACTCGACTTGGTAGTTTGCAAGCTCAATGTACAGCGGATGGTTGATATTGTAAATAAATTGTTTCCCTTATGTACTATTTAGTGATACTTTGTATAAAAAATGTTTCTCGTCAAGGAGCATAAACCATCATGCAAACTCCGGTCATCATCGCAGCGTTTTTTTGATAATCATCGAACAAAGACCGTCACCGCATCGCGCGCTTTCAGGTGCACTTCTACGGCCGTCTGGAACGCTCTTCCTTCCAATATTAGGAAGCCACTGGAGTTATGTACTTTTAAATCATCTAGATTGAAAACGAATTTCTTTAGAACTGCCTTTTGTGTTTAGTTTATTTTCCGTCCCCCGCACCTCCAATGGGCTATATACAGTGTGAAAGAAGTTCAACATACATACAGATACATACGTCGGAGAAACGTTGCTACAAACGTTAAACACGTTGTAACTACTGGGGATGCCAAGGCCCTAGTCGTGCCAGTAGCTTATCTCAGTGTAGAAGCTTTCATGTACCCAATCAAATTACAACTTAACCATTCCCAAGTGCTCTGCTGTGGAGAGTTGCTCCATGGCCAATCTGGCTGGAACCACTGTGGAGCGACACTAAAGGCCACACCATGCGTTACCGCATAGGTTGTCATGGTTGTGCTGTACAGGAATGAGCCATATATCCAAAAAACGACTCTTTCGTAAAAAAAATAGTCTTTAACTCAATGAGGGTTCGAAGGGGAAACAAGGCACGTAATTAATCTTGAGCTCTCCGATGTGTTTTTGGGTTGTACTGAGTGTTTCTTAGCATGATGTCCGACGTTTCGCTCCACGTGTTGGGTGCTTCGTCAGCAAAGCTACCCTGGACAACGTTCCATCCGATGGATATTCCAGGTGAAATACATTTCTGAATAAATAAACACTCAATGAATACTGCGGTTGCAAGAAATGTTGTTTGTTTGCTGGAAGCTACTTCGGGAATATCTCAGGATGTGCAGCGAAACGTCGGACATCACAGAGAATGACGTGCGGTCATCATCATCATCATCACGATCCATGGGCAGCTGGCCCCGTACTGTGTCCACTTGAACATTTCGTCATTTATTTCCACTTTCCTCTGTCTTGTGCCAAATATGCTCAAGCAGCACCGCATCTTTATGGCCCCAATCTCTAATGTCGTCGTCAAGTCATTCTCCGTTAGGTCTTCCGACGCGCGCTAGAATCCCAGAAAGGAGGAGGAGGACGCGAAGAGGAATCCCACCTTGACGGAAACCTGCGGCAAGAAGTGCGGGTTGCGCAGGCGCGTGGTCATGTAGAGGCGGAAGTCGCCGCTGTACTGCACCACGGCGTCGCCCAGCCGCACGCACTCCACGCCGCCCTGCCGGAAGGTCTGCCGCAGCAGGATGGGGTCCAGCAGCGGGATCCAGCTCCTCGGGGACGTTCTCCAGGAGCACGGGGTAACCGAACTGGGGGGAGAAATGAGCCGCAGCGCGATCAGTTTCACGGAATCCGTGGCCACGGGATGACCGTTGTTATGCTGACCTCCAATTATCAATTCATAATAAATAGAACATTTTCAAATGCGCACGTATGTTTGCGGAATGGACACATGATTGTGTGATCGCGTAGCATAAGCTCGCGGTTCCTCGTAACCAGCAGGGAACCTGATAGAGTTGTCACCACTGGCTCAGAACCATCGATAGACATGAGCATCACCCCATTGCTGGAGCGGAGGGACACTTGAGATAGATATGTTTAATTCCCCTTCACTGAATATTTGAATCGGCCGATACCTACATATGCATTCAATATGATTAGTTTACGATCAGTTTATCGTCAATATGCAAGTGTCCAGGAGGGGGTGATGGTGCGCTGCACGACACCAGTTACTTCAGTCGCACAATTAAAAACGTCTCTGCCTAAGGTACCCTTGGCACAATCAAAGTATTGTTTCAGTAAACAAAACTGCAGCATCCTGCTGGGGTTTAATTGAATAGTCGCAGCTGTTATTACAACTTTAATTAATTAGTTAGACCAAACTTCCATTTGAGTAATTGATTGGTAGCGTAGACAATTAAATGATATGGTGTAGAAAGTCTGAGAATGGAGACACTTTGACTTTGACTTGACTTTTTAAGAAAGTCAGTAATGTGATGTGCACCTTCATTATACGGCAGTTCAGAAATTGTATTGAAGTTAATTATCAGTTACAATGGACAAGTCTTAATTTAACGGTGCCATTCATTATCTCTAATTGGCAATATATTGTACAGAACGACTCACGGAGCCATGCTTTAGAATCAGGGCTTTTACTAATGGGCAAAATTAACACTCAGAAATAATTAAAATCAGAGGCATGTATTATAAAAGTGATTGTGACTACTGGCTGAAATAAACTTATTAAAAAAATGGTTTAAATAAATTATAAATTAAAACGCTTATTTAATACATAATGAATTTTGACATGATGACAATATTCTAATGCTTTTTTAATAACCGTAGAATTTAAATTAGTTTTATGCAAACTGCAGCTTGACAAGCACTGCTCGACATTCAAGATATTGAAGGGTTTTTTTTTTTACTAAAACAGTTGGCAAACCAAACGCAATGTGTCACATATAAGTTCTGCACCACTGTCTAATTGTTATAATCATATTGATAAATAAAAATAGACTTTCACATAACCGATACTACAGGGGTCAAGTATCCATTGCGGGTGAGCAAATCAGAGGTGGTGGCTTACAGTGTTACCGTGGACCAACCCAATGTCAAAGTTAAGAGCCAGAGGTCAGTCAGGGTTTACATTCATAGATGGCCAATGCCACGAAATCTCACCACCCCTTCCTCCTAGATTCCTCACATGCTGCCCAGTTTGACCTCTGAGATTTGATCAAACGGTATTTCACCACGGTGTACAAACCACCACAACACAAAAAAGGGATAATTTATTTGTGGCCATTTATGGAATCTGGCCGGTGAAAGAGTCAGCACAATAGCAAGCTCTTGTGAATGATGTTCACAGGGTGATTAATGTCCCACTTTGTTACAGGTTGCACACTTTGGTCAACGCCCAGAGAAATAACTGTCCAGTTGTGGAAATTTGACCAAATGACTCGTATCCTGTCACCTATATAACCGTGAATTGGCAGGCTGTAATTGTTCTCCTCATTGACTGGGTAAAAGGATGCAAGCCAATATATATCACAGAGTGTGGGCATAAATATATATGTACACACCTATCTTGAGATAATGTTAATAGTAAACAAAACCAACACCTCATGGCCATACGGGAAAACTCAAGGCAACCAAAAAGAGTATGGTAATCATGTCCTTTTTGCAAATCAGATTGCTGAAGTCATCCTCTAGCTATCGCCCTATCAGGCCCCTGAGCTTGCCCAGCAATGGGTAGAACAGAAAGCCACTGTTGCTGCAGAGAAGATACCGCCTACTTTTGCCGATATTTGAGCTACACCAGCTCGTTTTTTATGGAAATAATGACGCATTGATTGTCAATTAATATTGATGTTTGAAGCTCACAATGCATGCACACATTTGCAAATGCGAGAATCAATGTTTTCCAATTTGTACATGGCAAATGTAATGCTTCATATGACCTCTACAGCCACGAGAGGCTGCTATCTTCATCACAATGCAAAAAAACGAAGGTAATTGATTCACAACCCTTAATTGAGACCTTAAATAGCAACGATTCACTCAACTGTGTGGGGAAAATCGTTACAGACCTCATCCTTGCTACTTTTAACTTTGATACACATACGTGTGGCACATTAGGAATGGATCACTCTTTTAATTATATCCTTGTGCAGCAAGGGAGTAAAGTGTGGTTCTGTGAAGGTCCTGATGTGCTGTGCAGTGCATCAATGCATGTGTGTACAGCAGCATGTAATGTCTGAGGCGGGCCTGTAGGTGGCTGGTAGGGTTAATGAATAACCGCACGTGTAAACCAGCCACGTGGTTAATGGCGTCTCGGAAGAAATGCTGTTGTAACTCGCGCTGGTGCATTTTACAGGTAAAGGACCCAAATGTTGTTTTTGATCGTTATATAAATGTTCTAGACTTCTTATAGACTTGTTCTAGACGTTAAGCTTGGCTTTGAATTGTTCGTTTGTGATATATGCAATTATAGGCGTTTTAGCACTGTGCATTGTAAAGGGATGATGCACTGTAATTACTTACTGTCATTGTAATTCTCTAACTCTAATACTGTTTAGTCTATAACCATGCCCATGTACCCAGAGTATGACTACTTGCAATGCTATTGAGAATAGAACACATGTAAAGTAGTAAGCTGTACAATGGTGATATACAGTACGTATACTGTACACATACAGTACACATACAGTACATATAATGGGTGTAAGATACCGATATAAGTGGATGGTATAGATAGACATACAGCTTAGGATTAAAGTAATAGTCGAATAGTGATGTGCAAATGTGATTGTCAAAGACAAAGATGGTTTATCAGTAGTAGAATTAGGTTTAAGAGAAAGGGTTAATGAATAACCGCACGTGTAAACCAGCCACATGGTTAATGGCGACTCTGAAGAAATGCTGTTTGTGACACGTGCTGGTGCATTTTACAGAGTGACGGTGCTGTTCTTCACAAGATTAATATTAACCACAATAAATAAATGTGCTTGCCCTCGATTTGGAGCACCTGCCCACGTCCTTCATTTCGAGTGTGCAACATACGTATCACAAAATAATGCAATATTCAACTTGTTCAACGACGTTATTTAGTTATGCTTCACGACTGCACCCCATTGGGCTAATTTTCGATTGTAAATGCGGGAATATTTACACAGTAAAGAACTCTTATTCGCCAATTCAACACATGTAAGACCCGTCCCAGAATGAAACAAATGGGGCGATGGGATTTTGTGGCATTGCTACACTAACGGTCCCTCGTGATGCTTAAGACCAGTGACTGTACCACTGCTACTTTGCCATTCAGCAGTGCCCTGATTGTATTTAAAAGTCTATGAATAACAATTCAAGGCAATGCCCTCGGTCACAATACATGTGCAGCCCTGGCGAAAGGGACACTAGAGAGGCCCCTGCAGAGGATATTTGGTCAACTCCTTCACGCTGGCCGGAGATTTTAAAAGAGCTGAGCGTATTCACACTTTACCTCACCACGCTGCTGGGTGGACTGAGGTGGTGGGGGTGGGGGGGAGGATTTGAGAAACTTGCGCCGTTGTTTCAAAAGCTGCACCGGGAAATGTAATCCACCACCTCTGGACTTTAACTGCAATGTGCTAAGCATTAGGCACCACGGCCATTCGTGATACCCATCGTGGTTACGGCAACATCCCGGCAGCAACAACGTTACCAATCGTGATTATGGCCACAAATCGCATCGCCGCCACGAACCTGCACGCAGTTGCTGAGCGTGCGGGCGTAGTCCGAGTCGGTGAGCTTGCACACGTGCAGCTTGCTGGCCCTCTCCATGTTCTTGATCCACTTGTTGGCTTGGACCTGTGGGTCGATCATCAGTGGCCAGCGCTGCGCCGACGTAACGATGATCGCGTTCTCCACTGAAAATCTGGAGAAAATAATTATTAAGGCACTTGATCAGATATGGCTTCCTCGCATGCCCGTGGAATGACTTCCAAAAAACTAAGAATACAAATGTGGCACGTTGCTCCGTTCATACAGCATACGAAAGAAGATGAAGACTGCACGGATTTTATTCGTTCGGACAAACACGAAAGCACCAACGGCAATGTTAGCCAACCTTTGATTGTTTTTTTTTTAAATCCCTATTCAGAAACTAAACCTGGACCATACGTAGAAGGATCTAAAACGTCAACGAACGTTGATTTTTTTAAAAAGGAAGTGGATATTTGGTTGCTTTTCTACGTTGCATAGACAGAAACAATCTTTTACATTAACTTTAATTAACCCCAGAATATACATCCTAATATCAGTATTTCAAAATGTAAATGTAACAGCTGAAGTAATTTTGTGGGCACATGTATACAACCCTTTAGTCAATTGTAAAGCCTCACCTCTTGTCCATTTTCCATTCTCTTCCCTCCCCTCGCCCCTCCACTTCTTCCCGTCCCTTCCCGACCTTTTCGTGACCCCTCAGTCTTGGTCACCCATTCCTCAGCCCTTGCACGCCCCTGCCATCTAAATCATTATTTTACGACACCGTCTTTTTTACTATGTTAAGTGCCTTGAGCAAAGGCCCTCTATAAATATTAAATCATATAAGATAATCCGCTGCTGGATGAGGGCCTTCCCACGTCTCATGTGGATCATGGGGGTTAATGACCACACTTTATCATGCTGTGTATTCTACTGAATTCTAAATGTTATTTTAAGTCTAATGGTACGTGCAATAGCATACTCATTGGTTCTTTCGGTAAAGTCACGTATGTAGAAATAACATTAAAATAAAATAAATCACGACGTTTCGAACGCAACACAAGCGCTCGTCCTCAGGTGAAAATGGCGTAAACCACACAGCGAGGGAACACACAGAGGGACATGACACACATCACACACAGAGGGACATCACACACATCACACACAGAGGGACATCACACACAGACCACACCGACAACGGCAAACTGCACGGAGGCAAATACAACAAGAAGAAATATTGGGATATGTTATAAATGTTCATTTTGAAACGCGCTTGCATTTTAACTGTGTGCAATCCCGAAGGCAGCCATTTCCCTCCAAAACTTCCACCTACAGCGCTTCGGCAGAGCAAATTTATATTTTGACTGCAGCATTGGGCAAACGCGACGTGTGAAGAAGGTTAAGGGTCAACGTATTTTTTTTTTCCGCCGGAGGAAGTTAATTGATGCCGCGAACTCACATGTCCCTGGGCAGGCCGTGCAGCTCCCACTCCATGATGCGCACGGGGTCACCCAGTGTGGCCGCCAGTGAGAAACCGTGGGAGACAGGGATGCTCTTCTCTCTGCACATGGCGTACCACTCACGCAGGATTTCCTGTTGGGATGAGACAGGTGTTTTTTGCCGACGGCGTTGTCATCGCAACATCCGCTGGACGACATTTGTGAAACTACTGGCATCTTTGAAACTACTGGCATCTGTGAAACTACTGGCATCTGTGAAAATACTGGGTATCTGTGAAACTATGGGACATCTGTGAAACTAGAGGGCATCTGCGAAACTACTCGGCATCTGTGAAACTACTGAATACCTCACCACGGTGATGAGATGTTCACCACCTTCCCTGGTATGCAGGAGTTTGTGGGTTCGATCCCGACCCTGATAATGCCTGTATAATTGGAGTTTGCGTGTTTTCCCCGTGGTCCCACTGGGCGTGTGGATTTTTCCACATTTATAAACATGCGTTTAGAGTGTTTGACTGCTATAAATTTCCACGTGATATGCCACTTCGTTGAGCTATCATTTGTGGCAAGGTCGCTGGCAAAATAGAAGCTTAGTTTATTAAACTACTGGACATTTGTGAAAAATATTTTTTTTAGCTCATCCCATTCCTCCAGTGTAAATATTTTGATTCCGATAAATGTTTTTATTCTGACTCCAATGGCAGTGAACGGCAGGGAATGTTATAACAGAAGTTAGGGCTCGGGGTAAACGTGGGCAGAACAAAGATCACGCACGACAGGGTCACTGAACACACGGAGGTGTCTACTGAAGGGAGACAACTGGAAAACACAGCAGAGTACGTGTTGGGATGGCTACTGAAGGTGGACCGAGTTCAAGAATATTAAACAAAGAGAAGGAGTGGTTTTGGAAAATTTAATAAAATCATGAAAAGCAACATACCAATGTGCCTACAAATACAGTTTTTAATGAGTGTCCTCCTATGGCATTAGGTTCAGAAGCATAGTCATGAACACAAAATAAATGGAACAAAGGCACGTATGTTCGAGGGAACGTACGCAGTTTAAAGACACAATTCACACTCGGGCTTGGGCGGGACGCATCACTCGAAGGGAAGACGGCCGACGGTCAAGAAGAGCGGCAGAGTGGTGGCAAAGGAAGGGACGCGTCCGAGAGGACGTCCACCGCGGACATGGCGCGCTGTACACGACTCGTGTGCAGGTGCCGAGCGCACCGTTACATCACGCAAACTGTGAGGGATGGAAACGGCTTGGGGAAAGCATTGATCCAAAAGTGGATTATGGTTGACGATGGCGATAATGATACACCAGATGGACATGAGGTTAAACCAGATCTGCTGATGGGGTCACCTAAAAAGCACTGCTCAGGAAAGCCCGAGGAAGCCATCTCTACTTCCCATCGGTAATGACGGCTCAAGAACCCTAAGTGTGGAGTGTGGTGTTCCGAGGTGAAGGGGGGAGTGGGATTGGATGGGATGCAGAAATCTTGAGCCATACATACATAACACACACACACAAAGACAAATATCCCCAATATAACCTTTCACAGAATGTTGGGGTAAATCTGGCATGGCACAAGAAAGGGTGGGTGGCCAACACCATGCTGTCGGACGTGAGCAGGAATTGAACTTGGGTTGCTGGGTTTGTTGTGCACTGCACTTACCACTGCACTCCCGTGCACCATAAATAAACAAACAAATAAAAACAGACTTTCATGGCAAGTGTTGTTAGCGAGCACCTATGAAGGTCAAGACGACACACAAGGGGGTGGGTGGCCAGCACCATGCCGGGCCGCCTTTGTCTCCCGAGTGGCGATGTTTACGCATCGCACAAGATACTAAAATGAGGCTGAGTCAACCTAGATGAGGGCCCATGACCGGTTCAAATAATCGTTACTGGTGTTGGCCGTGAGCGGGAATCAAACTCAGGTCGCTGGGCGGGTTCATAGCGCAGCTCGCTAACCGCTACACGACCACTCCTCAATAATAGACATACACACATACACGACATACACACACACATACACACACACATCTCTGACTCTTCCACCTCTATTTTACATTCGACACCCACATGCATGGACATGGGACACTCAATTATGCCCTCCGTCACCACTCATTGTCACCAGGCTTGCCCTAGAAGTGAAGGGCATGCTCACTAAGATGACGAGATTGAGAGGCGACGGCCGAGTAGTCAACAGTCATGTTCCTGACCCCCTACATCACACTCGGCGAGTCTCCAAACCACTACACACAAACGGCCTGCCGCAGAGAGACGGTGTCCCCGCTCTCCGTTGTTCTACTCCTTGAACCCGCGAACCCACAGTTGATTCAAAAGGACACTGCCGTGGTTCGATCTCCCGGCACGAGAGTTCAATCGATGGCACACGTTTCTCAAAGCCCCACGACCTCTATCCACCCAGCAGCGTAAACGTGTACGCGCGTTGCAGGGTAAAGTGTGGTTACTTCCAACTCTTCCAAGACGTCTGAACAGCGTGGAAGAGTAGACCAAAGACCCCCTAAGAATTCCCTCGAGCGGAGGCTCTTCCACCAGCAGTGGCGTGGTGACCAAGACATTGCAGGGCATCCCCTTTGCCTGCACCTTACAAGGACTTCAACTTTCCTGACCCGAGACGCCCACAATTCTCCATCTTTACGACCCGCTCCATCATCTCCGCCACCCCAACCCCCGTCCTCGCCCCCGCATCTTCCTTTCAGAGCAGCAGCAGCGGCAGCAGCAGCACCGAGCTCCCCCGCACCTCACCCCTCACCCTGCACTCGCCTGACTCCGCCCAATACGACCTCTGCTTCAAGGACTCCCTCGTAGGGGGCTTTAACCGCTTCCCCCCTTGACCTTCCCCAAAGAATGGATAATCCTATGCAGGTGATACACCTCCTCCACCCTACGTTGATGACTGCATCTCACCCGATTCGCACACCCAAACTGTTTCAATGCCTTCTTCTGCCATGCTGCACCCTCCTCCTCGGTCAAAATGCACTAGGGTTCACCCGTATGACTGCTAACTATCGAACAAAGGCGGTCACCGCATCACGCGCTTTCAGATGCGCTTCTGCGGCCGTCTGGAATGCTCTCCCTTCCGATATTAGGAAGCCACTGGAGCTACGCACGTTTAAATCTAGATGGAGAAACTAATTTCTTTAGAACTGCTTTTTGTGTTGTGTTTGTCGTCCTTTCACCGCACCTCCGATTACAGCGGTTGGCTACGTAGAGTGCGAAAGAAGTTAAACATTCATACATACACCCTCAATGTCTACCCCTGTACACCATTCCACCAAACACCACTCGTGCCCTGACTGCCGGCACCATAGCCCTCAGTGGGCTCTCGCAGTGCCCTCTGGTTCCTCTCTCGTTTTAGTTCATTATTGCTACAGCTCAGATCCCTCCGTCAGCTTCCAATCTAACCCCAGTAGAGCTGCCGTAACCGAGTGTTAAACTGATCCGATGACTCAACCAACTATTGGTTTGATTCATGGGTTAATCAACATAAGGACATTTGCTTAAAATGGTAATGAACAATTAACACATACAAGACTAAAACATGCATTTGTAGGCACAGTTATTTATTGTAAATGTGTGCAGGTAGTAATCAGAATGAATAATCTTCATTGAGACTGGATGAATCCAATGAGCTGTGAAACTCTTTTTCACAGATGTCCAATTGGTACTGTTAAGATAAATCTTCACAACTCACGTATACTTATGTAATTACTTTTTATTATTATTAATTATCTCATCTATACTGTAATACTGCTGGTGACTATGTGTTGGTTCTTACCGGGTCAACTGTCCCGTTTGTCCAAGCTGTTCTTCCTCACTACAATGTAAGCCTGTAACCCATGACTTACTTTGCATGTGATCAGACCACATACTTGTTACATTCTGCCCCAGTTGAAGAACACCTTTGCACTTCTACATGAAACTGGATTCGTGTTAGAAGATTTCATCCCCACCATTCATATCGGCACCTCCAAATTTCACTCCCTGACCAGCAAACACAAGTTTGCACCCATCCATTGCACCTCACCAAGTTACATAATCATAGCCCTCCACCCGTCCCCCACAATGCAATGCATGCCCCACATCCCCAAAACAAATTCACGATCACATCTTTTTTTCACACACACACACACCACTATTCGCTTCACCACACCACCTTGTTTAGTTGTTGGGTTTGTCGATTAAATTATGTAAAAAAATGTTATTCATTTACCCCCCTCTATTTAAGACTGAAACAAGAAGATTTCCCCACAACTGTGGCTGTCGCCTGATGATGCTGGTTGTAATTACCGGCGAAATGTCACGGTACTCGAATTGTAAATGTTGTGAGTTTACTCTCCATCATACAACCGGTGTGTGCTGAGCTCGTAATGCATTTGAATGTTTTGTTTAAGTGACAAACCTTACTACTTGGCTATTTCGGGTAATGGCAGGGTTTACGACACATTTATATTTACGCGATCTAACCCAAAAAAACTATATTATGGATTGTAATATTTTATTAGAAATTACCAGTAATAGTTGCTAATACCCATGTGTAATTCCATGCCACACAAGTGAAGGAAAACAAGGATTTGCAGTTGCATGCTGGGGCAGGATAAGCTCACAACTGTGTACTTACATATGTGCCAATTTGCAAACAAGTGGTGAATTCCCAAAGCCACCCAATTACATCACAACACACCAGCATGTAACGCTATTGTAATGGGGATGTTAATGAATTGTCTGCGAGCATTAGCACCCAATACTTAAAGCTGAAAATGACACACAAACAAGTAAAATTAGGAAACCATGATAACAGTAAATTAAAATTTTTACGGTTACCCATATTCAACCATAGTAATAATCTATTATTTTGTGCTTTTGCTCAGGTGTATGAAAATTGAATGAGAATGAAATCAGTGCGTTGTCGCCATGCACCATATTTTGGCACATATTACGTATAACTGCACCTCGATTTGGTACATTCGTCCACACAATCCTTGGTTCTCGTGATGATTATTGATACTGCCACCCCCATATATGTACCCCCCTTCCATGAAGCAAAGTGCCCTTAATAAAGTCCTGCTCCATCATTGATCCAAACCCCACTAAACTTATCCCTTCTTGCTAACCCCCTAGGGTCCTCCACATCACTGCCACTGTTAAAAGCCTCCATCTGCTCTGGAGCTGTCCATCTAAACCTCAAAATAGTTGCTGTCAACTTATCCTGAAAAATACATCACTGGTCCTAAAGACCCACGTTTGCAATTGTTCCTGGCAGCTTTGTATTTGGCAGGAGATGAGAGTGACCGGCAGTGACATCATCTCGTAAGTGATCTCTCCTGATATGATCTATATATATAACCTATCTGCCGTCTCATTCTCCTCAAACTCACTGCGGCCTTTGACACTGTCAGCCACTTAATCCCCCTCGTGTGCCTTCAAGACTGTGGAGGCATCTCCGGCGCTGCTGTAGCATGCTGATGCGCACATACAGGTGGGATGTGGTCCCCTTGGAGGTGCACTTGACAAAGTCACAATTCCAGATTGTGACTTTGTGAAGTGCCGTCAGTATTTTGTTGCTTCGCCACTAAACGTACGCACAGTGCCCACCTGCTCTAGCTCAGCCAGTCATTGGGGGGCTATTAATTTATAATGAAGATTCGCTCATTGGAGCCAAGACGTGAAAATTATATATATAGCGCATATTTATCGTACGTGAGTGCGGCCATAAAAGTCTAGGGGGGGGGGGGGGAAGTACACCGTATTGGAGGGCATGTGCATAGGTATGCAATTAATCCAATTAAAGTGTAGCAGAACCAATTATTCCAATTTAGAGCTCTTGCAAGCCACAACAAAACAAGGAGCAGTCAGCCCTCAAGAGTGCAGATGGCATTCATGCTGTGAAATGTCAGACAAGCCAATATACTGGGTCTGGCAAATTCCACTCTCATATATATGATGTAGTGAACAGTGGTATTCAAGGGCATATCGTTGTTGTTTATCTCATGTAAGAGCCATTGAAATTCATTATCCATCACATATTTTCAAGGGAAATATATAAAACTAAAGTTATAGCACACCATGTCTTATTTTATTTTTTACAATTTGGTGATGGGTGATGCAGTTTAAGTATTTGGCTAAGATAATAAGCGAGGTTTGGCAATAATCAACCTTTAGAGTTGTGCATTAAAGAACCAGGCTTGGTAACTTTTCTGAAATTATATCAAGAGCTCTGGTGCTAAGGTTTTTTAATAATTTTATGCAAAAAATGGCATGGTTTTTCCTCGAATATTGATAAGAAATTGCAGCTGCCATAAAACCTCTCATATCATTTTATGTTGGCTATTTTTCATTTGGGGTGAAGCAGTGGAGGAATGTTTAGCGCACAGCGCTGTAAACCCGACGTTGCTCATGTCAGTCAGAAGTGATATCTGAAATGGTCCTGTGTCTTCCTTTTACCAAACTGCACTGACCAGTGTGGTGAAGTATGGCCAAACAGGGTGACCGCCACGTCATGTCACTGCCCAGGTACCTAACAGGCCACGTTTTTCTATACAGTGGTACCCCGGAGATCAAACTTAATTAATTCCAGAAGGCCATTCGAACACCGATTTGTTCGAACACCGAATTAATTTTCCCCATAAGAATTCAAGTAAATGACATTAATTGGTTCCAGACACAAGAAATCTCTCATTATAAAACATTTTTACACGAAGTTTACAGTAATTACATGCATTACAGCATACAAAAAACAAGAAACACAATAAATAAATGGAATAAATCAATACATATATGGAATAAATTAAATAAATTAACATTGAACTTCACTTTACCTGTAGTAAAGAGAGTTGATGGCTTGAGTGGAAGCTGGTGAGGAGGAGGAGGTGGTGGTGTTATTGTTTGGAAGGGGAGTCCCCTTTGCCTGGGCAAGCGTCATGCACGCTGGCCATACACGTCTCAGCCGTACAGGTTCTTTCAAGTCGCGATTGCCCGTTCAACCTCCGAATTTCGTTCGGTTTCCGGGGCAATTTTTTTCCGCAAATATTGTTCGAACACCGATTTGTTCGAGGTCTGGTGCGTTCGATCTCCGAGGTTCTACTGTCATTCTCAGATATGATGGGCTGTCCACAGCTTTCCACTGCAGGTCAATGGACTTACAATGTACATGTATCATACTGGTAGGAACCACCTGGTTCCACCAGCCCACAGGGGATTATTGTGTTTGTCTGTCGTGCATCCAAAAATGGGAGGGGTGGGGCTGGGTGGAGAGGGGAGAGTGGGGAGGGGCTGGGTGGAGAGGGAGGGGCTGGGTGGGGAGGAGAGGGTGGGGAGAATGGGGCTGGGTGGGGAGGGAGGGGCTGGGTGGGGAAGAGAGGGTGGGGAGAGTGAAGCTGGGTGGGGAGGAGAGGGTGGGGAGGGGCTGGGTGGGGAGGGTGGGGATGGCTGGGTGGAGGGTGGGGCTGGGTGGGGAGGGGAGAGTGGGGAGGGGCTGGGTGGGGAGGGTGGGGAGGGTGGGAAGGTGGGGAGGGGCTGGGTGGGGAAGGTGGGGCTGGGTGGGGGGTGGAAGGGTGGGGCTGGGTGGGGATGGGCTGGTCACCCCGTGGTTCCCTTATAAAACTCAACGTTTAACCTACTCACGCCGGCTTGTGCCCGACCTCACATTCGGGCATATTTATGGAATCCACCACGCCACCGTTGACCCTGGTCATTGACCGAGCAACCCAACGTCACTACCAGCTCCCTCCGCAGGAATGTGTTAAGGGAGGTATGCAGTGATGTCATGATGCCACTGTGCGCACAGTCTGAGATGCACAGTACCTGTCTGAACTCTGGGGTGAACGGCCCCAGATATGCCACGATCCCAGAGCTTAGGAGTACATCGCCGACAATGTTTTGGTAGGTGTTGTGCAGCACGGTTGCCAGCTCTGCCCAGCGTTCTTTCTCCCCACCCAGGCCACTCATCAGCTTCTCCGCACGCACCAGCTTCAACCTAACTCAGATGCACCCACATCACACAGAGCATCACCACACAATGCCACACCACACGATAAGCCATTAAACGTTTAAAGTTACGTAAATTACTGTGCTGAACAATACATCTCAGTGTTGTGCAGCCCATTATCCCTGATTGGATTGAGACACTTTGGCAGAAGCTGGAGTGGACCTGCTCAGGCTGCTCTGAATGTCAGATGTGAATATAAGAGAGCAGTATCTATAGAACATTAGCTGATTCATCTCAGTTTTGTTTTTAGTTTCACCAAATATCATAGCCTCATTTGTTGCTACAAGTGTTTGGCATTTAGTTTAATTGTTCAACCATAGTGCTTTTCCTCCAAAAGAATAATAAGCATTATGCATTTTTGTACATAGCAGTGTTTTCATATTTGGGCAGCAAACATGTTATCCTTGTTTTATATGATTTTAACCAAAATAAATGTAATTCTAAAATACATTTAAATAAAAAGCGAGTGTGAACATTAATGTTGCCCATTTTCCTTTACTATTTACAAAAAAGGGTTTCTTCACAACAACAAAGAAAATAACCTCATCACTGATGATCTCCTACCCTTGCTTTGGTGAAACGTCTGGCGGACCTGATGGAAATGACATCACCGGTTTGTGCGCCAACCATTTACACTTGCCTCTCGATCTACCAGATGACGATTTCTATTTTATCTAAATATCCTTAAAAATGTAATCAGACCCGGGAAAACCTAACGCTGAGGGGAAATGAAAATCATCCGCATGCTATTAGAGACGAGTTCCATAAAATATGTAAAGAGCGCACGACAACATTCACGCCACATGACGCGGCTCAGCTGACAACGGCAGAAACATCGCCGTGGCGCCTCAACCCGAGGCGAAAATGGATACCTCTGCGCCCGTTGAAATATTTACGATTGTTTTAATTATGCATGGATTCATTTCCGGAAAGAATGTTGCTCAGTCAAAATAGCATCTGTTCAGCACGGAGAGAAAGCTCACACTTTTAGAAACAGTGGCAACTGGCAGCGTAAACACTGGCACAGCAACACTCAACAACACAAGTTGCAGATCCTTCATGTCTGCGGCCGTCAGACACATTTTTCCGAGAAAAAATTCGCACGTTATAATTTTCACACAAATGAGCTCGGGGTGTGGTATGTAAGTACATTTTACATTCTTTCTGAGTATTTATATTTATCGCTTTGGTTTAATTTGACTGAGTTCTACTCATAGATGATAACGCTTTAAAACAACTCATGGATTTGCATACAATTTTGATTTACTGCGTTATAGTTCAGATGGAGTGCTCTCGATTATAACACCAAGTAACCCAGCAGCATTCGTTCGTCTAATGATCCTGACTTATGCTGATGAGACCCAGAAGGTTGAAACCAGTCCAGAGGTCACTTGCTTAATCAAACACTGTTGGATACTATTAGTCTGGAAAGCTAAGAGGCAGATGGACGATTTATATATATATTTTGTATTTATATGTAGAGACATGGAATGGAGTTCTACATGTATATACCAATATAAAGACAAAGATACCATGTATAGCCTTGACACACTTTTCCGGTAGGTGCTGTTAAGCGAGCACCTACATACACACACGTTACTGAATGTACTTTCAAATTGTACTCACAATGCTGCGGTCAGAATGTACTTATGCAATGAGCCATTGAGATCAATTTGTACGGTCTTGATACATGCTTGGAATCGTGTGCGTGTGTGTATTAATGTATACTTTTAAATTTGTATGTCATATGCATTTTCGTTCGTGTGACCCCTGCAGCCACCAATGGTTCTGCAATCAAAGAATGAGACCTGCGCATGCTACAACGTAGGTGGACAATCCACAAGGGCAAAGGGCAAGTGTTCACCTGTCAATTTGTTCACCTGTTAATTTGCAATCTCGGCACTGTTATTCTCTGAAAGAGGCACATTCCTGTCACCACTTCATGGGTTTCAATAATGCAATTCACAAATAAAAAAGTAGTAAAAGCAGGGGTGTGAATTACGTTTAATTTCATTATCGACAGATTTGCAATTAGTGCGTGCCACGTTTGTGGGCCACAACTGCTCAGTAGAATTTGGAATGGGTCAGTTGATTAATGTTGTTTGATTAAATTGTGTACGTTCCAATTCATATGCCTCAACCGCTTCCAAACGGAGACCCAGGTTGGAGCAGCAATGTAAAAGCTAATCAATAATATAAATATTGTGAATGTTGTAATCCAATTCATATTTGTTCTATTTACATTAAGCAAAGTCATTTTAAGTCAGAGAACTTGACTCAACATCCGACAATTGTGAGTTAAATTCCAGTTGGGGCTGACTCAACGAATTGTACTTTTAAGGTTAATAACAAAATGAGCACAATTTTTATTCCATATTTTGTAAAATTAAGAGTTATATAGGCTCATGCCATTGTAATGTGCCTATTTTCACCACTTTCTCGGGGCTGCCAAAAGAGATGAGGATGTTGACTTGAGTTTTGAAGAACGCGAATGTTCAACAGATTATATAAATTAAAAGTAATTTTTTTTTGGATGTGCTCACAAGTCATAAGCTTTTAAAACCACTCTAAAGCATGGCAACACAATTCACAACCATCATCATACTTGCCTGCTAAGGCAAAGTTGCCAAAAAGTTACAAAAGCTGACATTGTGCTGAAAATATTGTTCTTGCCAACGCCGGGAATTGAACTTCTAGGACGTGAAATCCCTCGCCCCCCCCCGCCAACAATGCCGAAAGGTTCGTATGGGCACGAGGCGGAGCGTGAAGTGGCACACCATACCGCGTGAGCTGGATGCTGTCCTCCAGCTGTTGTTTGTCGGCGAGGCGAAGTGCCAGGCGGTCCTGCAGGGCACCTAGCTTGGCGCTCACCTCGCGCAGCTCCTCCCGTTTCACCTCAAGCTGCTCCATCTGCAGCGCCAACTCCGCCTCTGCCTCCACCAGGCGCGCCCTCTTGGGTGCCACAATCTGCCGCGCGACCCACACACGGGCGCAATGACCATCGAGCCAGTGAAGCGGCCTGGCATGGGTTCTCGCGTTGTTTGGCGTGGCCAGTAAGTGGTGCCGTGATGATTATTACGAGGCATTTGCACTCGCCGGACCTGCTCCAGTTTTCAATCGCTGACCCCAAGTCTTGTGTTTGGTGCTCGTATGGATGCCCACGTAGATTCTTTATTACATTAACGATAAGCTGAGAGAACTAAACTAAACTATTTTTACTTTACCAGGTAAGGCCCACTGAGCTATATAGCTCTTTTTCAGAATGTATGGATGTATGTTGAACTTCTTTCGCACCGTACGTAGTCAACCGTGCTAATCGGAGGGGCGCGGGAAGGACAACTAACGAAAAACAAAAAAATGCAGTTCAGAAGCGACCTGGCAACAAGTGAGAGCTCAACGAAGTGGCTTATCATATGGAAATGTATTCCAGCCAAATACTTTAAATGCGTGTTCCTAAATGTGGAGGGAAAAACCAGAGGACCCGGAGGAAAATCCACGTGAACACAGGGAGAACATTCAAACTCCAAATATACAGGCGTCAGGGTCGGGATCGAACCCATGACTCCTGCTTAGCAGGCAATGTATTAAATATCTCGCCACTGTGGCAAACATGTGGAAGCACCGTCCATAGAGAGTTTGGCTCACAATCTACACAGGGGGAGAGGGGGTTGATCATCTCTTTTATGGTCAATAGAATAAGTACTACTTTGTGAGAAGATAAGAACAGGTTTTTTTTAAACATTGTATTCCATTCGTAAGAAAATGCAGATTTTTTTTCTAGCGGCTCAAAGGCACAAAAATAGATAAATACTGCCCAATGCTAATTTAAAAAGGTTAATTAATTTACCCCAATATGACACGTGTTGTAAAACATAAGTATATTACCAATTTACATGGATTTCCTAAATCTGGAAAATCATCATATTTTAATCGCTGGATGCTTATAATGATGTTAAACAAGGTTGAAAAAAAACTGCTCATATCTGGTCTTAAATTAATGGGTTAGGATTAACAAAAGTGGTGCTAACTTAGTAAATGGCCTGGTGGTACAAACAATCATTTTACAGCAAAATTAGACCACAGTTGATACCATCGGGCTATAAAAAATCCCAGTAACATATGAAGACGAGAGCGGAAGGCGTAAATGTGTGCGTGTATGTGTGAGTGCACGTGCTCATACAAATGCAATGATTATTCTTTCTTGTTAAACTGTTGTGGCAAATTCTACAAAATGGGTATTTATCTATTGAGGCTGGTAAAAGGCAAGTGACAGAGTGTATAACACGCACACACAGAGACGTCTGAAGGGGCCTCAGAGCCATTTGTTGGCTCAGGGCATCTATTATGCTAAATCAGCCCCAGACGGCACCAAATTCAAATGAGATGCTGTCAACGCTGGCCCCATTGTGGCTGTCCGTGATGGAGATGGCACTGCACGGCGAGGGAAGCCGTGCACAGTGTGACCTTAACTCAACTCACAAGACCAAGGAAATATGATTAACCTACCGCACGTTCATGTTTCAAATATTTTCTTTGAAACGACTGATGATTTTACTCATTTGTAAATACATATTTGAAAGTTTAACACGTAGGCTTTCGCGACCAATATTATTAATATAAAAAAATATCTGCACAATCCTGGCGAATCACCTGATGAAGCTGGATGTAATTACCAACATGCTCAAATTGGACTGGTTGTGGCTTTGCTCTCCAACACACCGGTGTGCTGAGGTAGTAACTAAGTAGCATGGTTGTTTTTTTACATGACAAACTTTACTAATTGATGTGTCGGGTGGTGGAGGGTTAACGACACATTAATACTTACGCGATCTTATGAATTTTTTTTTATTGTGAACATATCTGAAATATATTCACGTGATACTTCAGAGGTATCTGCGAAAGCTGAGGGGGCTAATACTGCACCATGTCAGACCACTGCTGGGTTTGAATGCTGCCAGTAACCTGCAATTAAACTAGATTCATAAACGTAGTGAGTTCATGCTCGTTAAGTAATTAAGAGTGGAGTGGTGCTCCTCTCCATTGGCAACCCACAGCCAGAGGTGGGAATTCTACATTCGTATGGCTGGGGCAGTCTCTCCAAAAATACAACCAAATATTCAATGATGATGGGGAATTTTTGTAAAATAGCAGAGAAAACAGGTAGAGATGCAGCCCTGCAGTTGTTTTCTCGTGCCACTGTTAACGGAGGGGCCTCTGCAAGAGGGAGCTCTCGAGAGGATATTTGGCCTACTCTTCTACGCTTACCAGACCCATACTTTAACCCCACCACATGTTACCTGTATGTTGAACATCTTTCACACTGTACATAGCCAACCGCGCTAATCGGAGGTGTGCGGGAAGAACAACAAACTATACGCAAAAATCTTCTTGGTTCTTTCGGTAAAGTCACGTAAAAGGGAAATAATAAAATAAATAAAAATACAAATTTATTTTATTTCTTATTTTATTGTGTTTTATTTGTATTACTTTATTACTTCCCTTCTATGTGACTTTACGAAAGAACCAAGAAGATGAATCCCTGCAGTCACGAAAGCTTTAAAATCGAAATTTATACACAAAAAGTAGTTCAAGGAAATTTGTTTTCAATCCAGATTTAAAAGTGCACAGCTCCAGTAACTTCCAAATATCGGAAGGAGGAGCGTTTCAGACGTCTGCAGAAGCGCATTTTAAAGAGTGTGATCCAGTGATCGTCTTTGTTCGATGGCCAGCTTAACTGACGAGGTGTGACGTTACCCATGTACTGTATACTGCTAGACAGCCAGAGGCGAGGAATGCAAGAAACTTGCACCATTGTTTCAACTTCTACTGCCGGGAAATCGAACCGGCGACCTATGGATTTCAAGTCCAGCGAGCTGTACCTACATATGTGTATGTATTTATGTAGTGTAACGGTTAGCACGTTGCGCTATGAACCTGGTGACCCGAGTTCGATTCCCAATTACGGCCAACACCAGTGATGAGATGATAATCTGAACTGGTCATGGACCTCCCCTAGGTAGACTCAGCCTCAAATGAGTACCTGGTGCAGTGTGTAAACATCGCCACTGGGGAAACAAAAGCAGTCGGGCATGGTGCTGGCCACCCAAACCCATCGTGTGCCGTGCCGGCCTTCATAGGTGCTCGCTAACAGCACTCGCCCCAACAGTTTGTTAATGTTATTCGGGGGATCGTTGTCGTCTTCATATTGATGTTGAACCTCTTTCACACCGTACGTAGCCAACCCTGCTAATCGGAGGTGCTTGACCCTTACACCGCTGTGGCAGCGTCCCTCCTACCCCCAGTGGGTGGCGAGGCGGTGGGGAGGGGGGGAGGCTTGCTCAGCCGCAGTCGAGCGACGGCTGCTCCGAGCGAGGGGCGGCTGGCGCCCGCTCGGCTCGCTCACCTTGGCCACTTTGTCGTAGACCTCGGTGGCACGAACCCAACTGCAGAGGCCCTCGCACGCCGAAGACACATTACGGATCACGTTCGGCTGGAACTCGGGGTTGCCGATGTAGTCGCGGCGGACCTGCGCGATCACTTTCGGTGGGATGTTGTCCTTGTCGAACTCCTGCAAAGTTGGGAGGAAAAAAAATATAACCGAAGGAATATGTTGTTTATATTTTTAAAAAACGAAGTAGAAAGGAATACTAAGCTTTTCGTTGTGCCGCCCGCTCCAGTAATATCCAAATTGTGCTTTCAGAGTCATGGCACGAGCCACAGCAGGACGCAGTGAATACCCTGTGGCACAGAATGGCCTCAGGATTTAAAATAACAAAATAATTTTTGCTTCCATTGACCTCTCTATCCACACTCGGGGTGGGCACTTTTTGTATGTACCCTGCAAAGACTGTTCATCGTATGTTGATCAAACAAAAAAATGTAATGCTTATTACTTAAATATATCTAAATTAAGCTAAGCAAAAACTAAATTCAATGTTTTTTTTTTTGTTGAGTCAGTAATTGGAGTCTACTTATGCAGAAGAGGGGGTTTACCAAATGAGTTTGCAAAGCAGCACTAGGCTAATGTAGAGATGTCTTGTAACCTACATTTAATTATCTAAAATGATTTTTTGTTGTTTAAGGTTTATTTAAAACAGAAATGAATATGCGAAGGAAAACACACGTGAGGGGTCAATTATTTGGGGGGTCACAAGACATCTGGACGACCCTGTACACCACTTACAGTAATAAAATCTGGGACAGATATTAGTTTCCCGCTATCATGAGTAAATAAAAACATTTTGGAGCTGATCCTTACACAAGACCTGAAGAGACCTGAACCGTAGGCGGCATCTGCCAATGAGGCACCCCAATCAATAGGGCTGAGTGAATTATTTACAACAGGTAAATAACAAACGACATCGCAACGGGCTGAGAGACAACTCAACATTTTTAATAGAAAAGCAACTGTGAGTCTCAAGGGTAATCCTTGAGACTTGACACGTATGCGGTATCATATGTGGACACATTTGCATAATGACAGACAGAGAACAGTATTTTGTATCATTTTCCCTTCGCTTTCTTTTTCTTAAAATGCTCAGGATGACCTTGCCGGCTCGCATCACGGAGACTCTTGAGGGGCAGTTATCTACGGAGGACACACGGGTGCAGGTCTACGTTGCACACATTTATCTTTGCTGCTGTCAAGCCCTGGGCAAAAACAGTTTCTGACAAATGAAGAGGATTTAATTACTGAGCGCTACCTTCAGGGATTCCAAAAACTTCATATCTCCCAGCATTTTCTTGGACGACGGCCAGTAATCGTCCACCATCTTGCCATTTGCATCAGTCTTCTTCTCCGGTTTTATACCCTGAAATAAATAGGCAAAGCGTAAATTAAACAGGTCAGTTCTATAAATAATATCAACGTCAAAAAGTTTGTGAAAAGCAATCTATTTCCCTCAAGGAAATCACGACATTTTTTTAAAATTAAGATGGGATGATAAGGCATTGTACGGCAGAATCTTTTTTTTCTTTCGGAAATGTTCAATGAAAGCGTTCAAATGGATGCCAAAACACGTTCAGGATGCTGCTGAGCAGGACATGGCGTAGGATGCTTCTCCGTGCACTCCAAATGTCACTCCTCAACAAGCACGTGCTTAAACAGAGTCTGTGAGTCGAATGTTGAAAGGAGTACACTTATAATAGCAATTACTGCACTTTGGAATCTGGTCATGAGCATTCATTTGAACACCAAATCCTGACGTAGAAATACTACGAGGAAATTACAGCTTTAGCGCTGTGATTTGTATTTTAAATTTTCAGTTATCATTCGATAAAAAAATATAACTGTCAAAATATGCGGTATATATTAAATGAAAATAAGTAAAGTAATTATACTCAAAAGTACGTATTGATTCACCTGATTTCTGGTCACTAGACACAACCTCGAACAGGTTTTCCTAACCACTGGTCCTCGCAATTCACCACAGCACTGCAGGTCCAGGTTTATCAGTGTTATCTAAATACAAGTTAAGTGGAACACGCCTGCATATGTTTGACGATTGCTAATCACATCTGATGTGGAGAGTGCCGATTCAAAGTGGGGGCACTACCGAGATTAAATTCGACAAAGATAATGATCCCTCATAAAGCCTTAGCAGAGCATTATCGAGCACCAGGAAAGGTCTGCCAAGGCCTAAATGAAAGGGGTTTCTGTCGCTGGGCACACATACACACGATCTCTGTCTTATATGAGAGAACAAACTCTGTCACATGGGACACACACACACACTGAAGATCTCTCCTTTGTTGAGGTGCCATGCCCTGGCTTTCCAAAAGAATGTGGTACAGTATATCTGGACTCCCCCTGTTCTCTCTGTGTAGTATGGTGCCAGCCTGAGAGGGCCACGGTACGCGATGCATTGTCATCGCGGCCACCCTGTAGGCGGGTATAGCACCAGCCCTAGCGAGGCTTGGTGTTGCGCTGGGATAGCACGGGCACCACGCACTGCAGTGTAGTGCGGGCCCCCACGAGGGGGAGCGGGAGAGTGTCAGCCCAGGAACAGGGTTTCCACGGGCCATGGCACTCTGGTTGACCCCGCAGACACGTGATCTAGAGTGTCCACAGAGAAGGCCCCAGGTGGGGGGGCTAGGGGGTGAGTACGTGTCCGGGGAGAGCTCTCGAGAGGGATCGAGAGGGAGCTAGAAGGCTCCAGAAGGCGGGCGGGGCAGAGGGCGGAGCAGCCCCGACCCGTAGGGGGATATAAGGCGGGTCCCTAAGAGGGACCGGGGTCGCTGCATCTTACAAGCTGAAGCTCCACGTCCACAAGCTGAAGCTCTACATCCTGCAAGACATCAACACGTGGCCGAGGCCCCGAGTGAGAGGGCCTAACCCAGGGGTCGGCAACCAAAATAACAAGAAGAGCCATTTCTTTCCAATTCGGTACAAAATTCAGTATTTCAAGAGCCGCAATGCATCTGAGTACATACGTACATATCGTCAAGAAGCAGCCCGTAAAGAGCCGCATGCGGCTCCGGAGCCGCAGGTTGCCGACCCCTGGCCTAACCCTTCGTAGCTGTAACTCCTCAGTATAGCGTAGTTAGCTGGGTGGTCACCACCTTAGGCTGTATCTGGTGAAGGGGCAGTTACCCCTTTGTGTTAACAGGTTGATGTTACAATAAAAGTGTTGCCTCTAAAGAACAACGTCTGCGACTCAGTTGGACTCACTACATCTGTATGGGATAGTCCTGCCACCTCGCACGCTTCGGTTTTCTCCAGGTACTCCGGTTTCCTCCGACGTGCAAACTCTCATTAATTGAAACTAGATTCGAATTGGCCATGGACACCTTCATACATAGAAGACTGCAGAGCTCGGGGACAAATTTGGCGCCTGCTCACCGCCTGGCTACCTTTCCCACTTGTCCGTGTTTCCTTGCTCCTCTGGGTCGTTCTCTCTCCACGAGAGTGAGCGAATGCTGATCTGTGCATTTAAAGTTGATATTATTATAACTTTAAATCAACACGCTCTGCGCCACACGGGACGCAAACGTACACATATGCACTTAACGTCTCAATCTTAATTTGAATCAGCACTCTCGATGTCATTCAGGTGTGTTTAGCAATCTTCGGGTGCATGCAGCGTGTAATGACTTAATTTAAATTGGAACGGAGGAGATTGGTAAACATGAACAGACAGAGACCACAGTGGGTCACATGGACTGGAATTTGAGAAACTCTGATGTAGAAAAGTTAAATTGAAGTTATGTTTCTACGTACATTACTCTTTTCTAAAGCGTTCGCACAAAAGACCCACTTCTACACATAATGCACCAAAAATAACACATTAGCTACGTGCGCGAATATATTACGTGCAATACATCAGAGAGACAAAACAACCCCAGTTTGTTTAACGGACAATCTGAGAAAGTGCTGCTAGCTAAGCATCTATTTCTAGCCAGGTGCTTATTAGCGAGGGCATTGCCAGCACCACATCAGACTGCAACCGGTCAGGTGCTGACGTTTACATCTCCTACCAAGATACAGTACTCAATGTAAGGTGAGCCAACCAGGATGAGAGCTCGGCTAAGTCCAGACGGCAATTGCGAATGGTGATGTACATTGCTGATGATCATCCACTTGCTGAGGTAGGCTGTCCTGGAAATGTTGTGACTCTTCCCGCAACATCAAAAAATACAAGTGCCGGTTTCCTGTCAGCTGCATAACAATGCACCACTCAACACAATGCACTTACATGTAGTGCCATCCTCCTCTTGCGGCATTTAAGACATTAATGTCCCCGCGATAAATCCTGGTGTTTTTTTCACCACTTGGGCGCAACAGTGAGAGCAGTTTAACACGTAGGCTTTCACGACCAATATTATCCGTAATAAAGGTTTTTGGCTATAAATCGCACGATGAAGTGGATTGTAAACACCAGCAAAACGTCGTACCCAAATTGTAGATGTTGTGGGTTTACTCTCCAACACACCGGTGTGCTGAAATAGTAACGAATTCGCACGTTTCATTGACGTGCCAAACCTTACTAATTGGCTATGTAGGGTGGTGGTGGGTTTAACGACACATTAATATTTACGCGATCTAACCCCAAAAAAAAACGTATTATGGACAGTGAGAACGACCGCGTGTCGTGGGGAGGAGGTGGTGGGTGGGGGTCAAAGGCCGACCTTCAGAACGCAGATTGCGGCGAGGGTGAGACGCACTCCGGACGGCGGGTTCTGCATGGTCTTCACGAGCGTGATGTCGCTCGACTTGAGCGTGTCGAGCGCGGCGATAGCGGCGTTGAGGGCAGGCGTCGCGATGCTCAGCTTCTCCAGGCACTCATCCTGCATCACGCGCCAGCAACGCAGCCAAGGTGTGTCAGATATCTAGCAACTCGCTATATTTTTTTTTATTTCACCCAGCTAAGGCCCGCTGAGTTTTAGAGCTCTTTTTCAGAAGCGAGCTGGCTATCGCACATGAAAAAAAACCACGGGATCGCAGGGAGAACATGCAAACTCCAAATATATAGGTGTCAGGGTTCGGTATAGAACCACTGACTTCCTCCTTGGCGCCACGTGAACAAAGTGTGGCCACTGTGCCGCTAAGCCCATTTGAGCACAAACAATGATCATAAGACTAATGCAGTTTAACACGCAGTAAGTAGGCTTGCGCGACCAATATTATTCATAATAAAGGTGTTTGGGTTAGATCGCGTAAGTATAAATGTGTCGTAGCCCTCCTTCACCTGACACAGCCAGTAAGGTTTGTCACGTAAACAACGCGCCAATTAGTTTACTACTTCAGCCATACCGTTGTGTTGGAGAGTAAATCCACAACGTTTACAATTTGAGTACGACGTTTCGCTGGTAATTACATCCGCCATCATCGCTCTTTATTATGAATAATATTGGTCGCAAAACGTCGTACTCAAATTGTAAACGTTGTGGATTTACTCTCCAACATAAACGGCGGGAGAAAGGACCAGAGGTGGGACAAAGTCATTGTTATGCAAGTCCAAGTCGAGTCTGAAGTCATCAAATTCATGACTCGAGTCTGACTCGAGTCCAAGTCACATGACTCGAGTCCACACCTCAGAGGTGGGACAAAGTCATTGTTATGCAAGTCCAAGTCGAGTCTGAAGTCATCAAATTCATGACTCGAGTCTGACTCGAGTCCAAGTCACATGACTCGAGTCCACACCTCTGGAAAGGACACCTGGTCGTGATCATGGTCCTTGGTTGTAGAGAAAAGAAGGTTGTGAGTCACGCTGTTTCTACTGTGAGCTGCAGTGCAGGGTGACGGACGCATAGAGAAATACAGTGGACGAGCAAAAGTAGAGGTGGCGTATAGTGGCACAGGCAGGCAAGCTTACGGCTGACCCCGCTGCTGCTGCTGGCAATGATTAGAAGCCAGTGGAGCGAGTGGAGGGAGGCGAGAAAATATAGAATGTGACTGGGGATAAGGAAAAACGTGGCCGAGATGGTTTTGCAAACCGTTGGGAGTTTCTTGAGGTTACTCGATGAAGTTCAAATAGAGTTGCAGTAGTTGAGTGGAGATCCCACTATGCTGCCAGTGTAGGTGTTGGTGGTGATGAGTGTAAAGAACAGAGGTCCCACCCACAACGTTGAGGAGAGTCTTGTGGAGACAATATCAAATGCAATACATGGTAGTTTTGTTTTGGTTTCATTACATGGGCTTCATATGCTAACTCAAATGTAGCAAATGGACAAATACATATGACCATATTTTTTAATTGTAATACTAAGCCTATTAAAATAACTACGTGATAGGAAATTTGTATTTATACATTTTGGATTTAAATGTAACCACATCACTACATGCTCGACACAACAGTGGGCATTTATATTTTTTACAGAGCGAACGAGTCAGATATAGGCAGATGAAAAAGGGAAGGCCTTCAGCCTGAACATAAACGGGTGGCAGGGCATCGACAACACAGAAGGCAGAGGGAGAGAGTTGCAGACTACAGGGGCTTAAAAACACATTCCTGCGGGGTTGCTCGGTCAATGGCCAGGATCAATAGCGGCGTGGTGTATTCCGCAAATATGCCCGACTGTGAGGGCGGGCACAAGCCAGCGTGAGTAGGTTAAACGTTGAGTTTTATAAAGGCACCACGGGGTGACCAGCCCCTCCCCACCCAGCCCCACCCCACCCCTCCCACCCCCACCCAGCCCCTCCCCACCCTCCCCACCCAGCCCCTCCCCACCCTCCCCACCCAGCCCCACCCTCCCCAAACCAGCCCCTCCCCACCCTCCCCTCCCCACCCAGCCCCTCCCCACCCTCTCCTCTCCACCCAGCCCCACCACTCCCATTTTTGGATGCACGACGGACGGACACAATAATCCGCTGTGGGCTGGTGGAACCAGGTGGTTCCTCCCAGTAAAACAACACTTCGTATACCCAATTCATGCATGTTACATGAGCTTGAAGAATCGATAGCAATGAAATAACTGATATATCGCCCCGCTCTGAATGAAAGTCGTGCAATTCAGATTGTGGTAATGTGCTGCATAATGTGCAGTGTTTGGTCACCATCAACCAGTGCAAATAACTGTCATGTTGGCTTTCCCTGGGTTGTCGTTATGGGCCATCCATTTAGTACGTTACGCATGGAGGGGGGAAGGGGGGTTAACCCAAATGCGTAGCTTGCGTATGGGGGCTCTACTGACAATGTGCGTACGCATAGGAAACGGGGGGGGGGGGCGAAGCCTCGATAATAATTTGTCTACATTGGCCTTCAAATTAGTTAGTCCGTCGGGTGGACTATCCGTTTGCTTAAACACGTTAATATTATTAATCCTTGATCGTTTCTGCGTGGATTAAATATCGGCCGTTCTATAGGATTCGGGGGGGGGGGGGGGGTGGTGCGTCAAACGTACGTATACAGGTGCGTACCTACTCAATGGATGGCCCCTTACTCTGTTTTCATAATTTCACAATTAAACGTCAACTCAAGTTCAAGTGTCTCCTTGACCAAACACGCAAGGGGATCATGGTCATCTCCAGTGGCAGCCCTAACCCAGTGGTCGAACTTCCACAGCCCTAAATTTCTATTTAAAGCTTTCGTGACTGCAGGGATTCATCTTCTTGGTTCTTTCGGTAAAGTCACGTAGAAGGGAAGTCATAAAATAATAAAAATAAAACAGAATAAAATAAAAGCCCTTTGGTGGACATAAGTGTGCCCATAGGGTGACTGCTTTTGACATCATTTGTATATAAACCTCAGATAAAATAATTTAATTTTCATGATGGATTGCACCAATGCGACTACGGGTTGTGTACTCTTACCAACAGCACCGAAAGCACCACTCTATGAGCATGATTAGTCACGTACGGGGCGAAAGAAGTTCAACATAAATACAGACGTGTTTATGGCGCATCTATAGTTTATATAACACTTAACTCATCAGTAGCGCCACTGTGGAGAATGCAAGTAACAAAATAGATCATCAGACGCCGCCTTTATACAGCTGTCTCTTCACGTAATAAATGTTAGTACATTTATAGCAAACCTTCTGGGAGTGCATAATTTTTGCAGCATTTGTTAAAAAGAAGCACGTTCAAGTCTGGATTCAATGCACATTGCCTCATTAGCCCTGCTTGAATCAGACTTTCTTGAATCAATGCTGGTGAACTGCCAGATGCTACAGTATATTTATGCCGTTATACCTCATAGTACACAGTCATTATGCACTGCCATCGAGTATTATTGGTAAGGACAAATAAAGGCAGGATTCCATTCTGTATCTCCTCATACAAATAAAGAAAACATGTGTTTTTTCGAAAACAAGCCTGACGCAGCTAATAAGAACTTAAAGGTCGAAACTGCTCTATATATTTCTTGTTTAAACAAATGCTGATTTTAAGCTTTCGTGACTGCAGGATTCACCTGATGACGGACGCTTGTGTTGCGACCGAAACGTCGTGTTTTCTTTTAATATTTTTTCTATCTACGTGACTTTACCGAAAGAACCAGAGAGTATAAACAAATGCTGATTAATAATATTGGTCTGGACGAAAACATACTATTTACTTTGAATGGATTCTGCATATTATTAAATTGACCTTTTGATTTCGATTTAAAGCTTTCGTGACTGCAGGGATTTATCTTATTGGTTCTTTCGGTAAAGTCACGTAGAAGGGAAAGACACTGTTCTTCAGTGTCTTTCCGACAGACCTGTTCTTCACCTGAGGACGGCTGCTTGCGTTGTGGCCGAAACGTCGTGAGAATTATTTTATTGTTTTATTTTTATTATTTTATTATTTCCCTTCTACGTGACTTTACCAAAAGAACCAAGAAGATGACCTTTTGATGTTGCTTACAACTGAAATCCCGCACCAAGGGAATCGTCTCAGTGCCATTCACCAAGTTCTCTCACAGCTATTAACCCTCTAAACCACTCCAAAGTATGTCGTTGTATATGTAGTGGTGATACGCGCTGGCAGTAGGGATCGTGTGGCAGCGCGTGGTGATTGGCTGTGTCGGTGACGCGCGCTGACGGTGAGGGATCATAGGGCAGCGCGGGGTCATGGGTTATGTGGTGGTGATTGGCTGTGTGTTGGTGACGCGCGCTGACAGGGAGTGATCGTGTGGCAGCGCGGGGTGATTGGTTGTGTGGTGGTAACACGCGCTGGGAAAACGGATCGTGTGGCAGCGCGTCGTGATTGGCCGACTAGGTTGGATGCTCACATCGCGGTCCGCATAGGCTCCGTCTCCTCGGGAGCGGAGGGCTATATAAGGCGGTGCGCACGGGCGCTCGGGGAGTTGGTGACCAGTGAAGACAGAAGACGGAGAAGGCAGAGGTAGGGCCCTGAGACCCCTAGTCCCGCTGTCCTTGTAAGGGCCGGGACCCTGTGTGGCTCAGAGGCGGGACCCGGGGCCGGACGTCCGTGTGAGGGCCGGGCCACGGGACCCAGTGGTCGTGACCCATACCCAAGCTGGGGTGGGTCTGTAGGTTCCCCTGGAAGCTACGGGGCTGGAGAGCCCGTGTGTGTGTAGCCGGGTGGAACGGGTAGCGTGAGCTGTAGTGTCCACACGAGTTATTGTGGCTAAGGAAGAGCTGTAGTTGTCCACACGTGTCATTGTGCCCAAGGAAAGAGTTAATAAAGTGTGCTACCCGTCAAGTGGTCTCCCGCCGTAATTTACAATATTACATATATATCACTGCATCTTGATAATTTATTCGTATCATGAGTATGATTCTTCTTGGTTCTTTCGGTCAAGTCACGTAGAATGGAAATAATAAAATAATAAAAAATAAGTGAGAATTGTTTTATTACGTTTTATTTATTTTTATTATTTTATTATTTCCATTCTACGTGA